CTAGCGACATCTGGATTTCTGTGTGACTGCTCTGCCAAGCTCTCGCCGGCTCTCAGATCCTCTCTCAGTTTCATTCGACAACGGCGATAAAAAGTAGGTTGAGGCGTAATTTGGTTGGCTGTCGTTCAATGGTTGGAGGCCTGGCTGCAGTAGCGCCGATTCTAGCGTTTCCTCCTATAGAGTGAGTATATGCGGTAATGGAAGTACTGATGACACCCTAACCCTAGAAGATGCTGTCCAACTTGCCCAGTCAAAAGTTCGTAATCTACATGGAAGGACCTTCCCTTCCTCCAGCAATCGAGGGCAGCCCGTACTGTTGAAAAGCATACCGCAGACTTTGATACCCAGATTCATTCACTTCTTTGGTTGTCAAGAATTTGACTGCAGAGACAAGAACCTACAATGACTCCCGTTACATTACAGTGTGAATTTCCCCCCATCTGGTATCACACACGTTGTGCGTTCTCGATGCTTGGCACGTCTATTTTTAAACCACCAAGTGCTCAGGCGGCGGGACGGCGTTCCCCTTGTGAGCTGGAGATCCAAACAAGATGGCTTACCATTTGCCCGTCCCATCTCCCACCAACCTGGCATCTGGTCGAGCCAGGTGGCGCTTTTCGATGCTGAAGAAGCACTTTCAAGCTTCTTTTCATGCTCGGAGTCAATCTTGTGGATTGGTGGTTTTTGCGACTGTGCCTGATCGCGGCGCGCCTTCTCGACACCGGCCCGTACCTTAGTTCATAGGGCTGCGCGAGGCTGTGTGAGGCTCAGGAGACGCCGACGATTGATTTTTCCATTCCACATTGGTCGCTACAGGGTAAGGTACGGAACAGGAGATGGGTTTCTGTGTGTCTCGAGAAAGCCGCCCTTTGAAACCATCTTCTCCAGATCCATGAGCCGATGCGACTTGGGTGACTGGGGATGAACACAATGCAGCAGCCGGGGCAACGCGTCTTGATGGCCTCTCCGACGTCCATTCAACCGCTTCCTCCGTCGCCGCCGTCTACCATGCGACTGGCGCTGCCGGACAGGAACGTCGACGTGGACACAATAGAGGATGCCTATGTAGCCTTTATCCTGTGCTGCAACCCGGCAGTACCCTTGGAGACCGACACAACCGCCTTGCGGGAGGCATTCCGCACGCCGCCCAAAAGCGGAGGCAAGAGCTTCAGCACATTCACCTTGTTTGAACTGATCAAGAAGCTTGAGACCAAGGAGCTCAAGACGTGGGCCGAGCTGGCATTGAAACTGGGCGTGGAGCCTCCAGACCAGGAGAAGGGCCAGAGCGCCCAAAAGATCCAGCAGTATGCCGTCCGCCTCAAGCGATGGATGCATTCCATGCATGTCGACGCCTTTTTCGAGTATCTCATTGGTCGTCAGTCCACCTATTGGACCGAGATACCGTCCGAGCATACTCCGGTCGCCGAGTTAGAGCGCGATGGCGTCGCCGCCGAGGATGACATGGCCTTGCGCGCTCTTCTCCCGCACATCAAGCCGAGGAGAGGCAGGAGGAAACCCGAAGATGTGGAGACAGGAAAGTCACCTTCTCGGCGCCCGTCACCCCAAGCAGACGACGGCGGCGCCAGCGGCGGCGGTTCTCGGCAAGAGGGCATGGAACCGTGGACCGCTCAGCCGGATGGGAGAGGGAGCGTCTTTCTGTTTCCCCCGGCTCCCGACCCTTCAAGGTCAAATCTATTCGCAGTTCCATGGGCGAGCAACGAGATGGTTCAAACGCCGCTTACAGCACACCCAATGCCACAATCAGCCATCACACCGTCGACGAGGAACACATTCTGGGCAGACGAGCCCAGGTCTGCTCTCACTCCTTCAAAACCTAGATTGACAGGTAGACGGCATGGGGCGAAAGTTGTGTCCTCGGCATGGCGGAGCAATGGACTCGGTGGAAGCGGTAAGACACGAGGCAGGCCACCCATGAACCGTGGCGCGAATACCGATGGGCCGTTCTCGGCCTTCCCAACATCATCAGAGACACCTGTTTTCAGATTTCCGTCCCCAACACCAGAGAAAAACACAACCCCCTACACCTCCACCCCTGGCCCAACAAGCAATCCCCAGCCGGCAGCATCAGCCATGACACCTCAAAGCACTGCACCAACCCCGGCCGCCGCTCCGCCTCAGCAAATGCATAACCAAAACCAACCGTCACCAATTTCAGAGTCACCCCATCCTCGTCCGGCCAAACGAAGCAGGCTGTCGCTCCAGGTGCCCGAGCGGGTAGGGGGCGAAGTCCGGCTGGCGACACCGCCCTTGCCAGAGCCGGTCGTGACGCCGGTAGTCATGGTAAACGGGCAGTCAACAACCAGCGCACCACAGCCCGGGCTCTCGACGAACGGGAATCCAGTCTACGCTCACCCGTCACGGACCACACCTGCTGTGGGCGGTCCTCCTACTACTACCCTTCCCGCGGGGACAACGGCTACGGGCGCCGCCGGGCAACAGCAGCCAGTCCGGCTGCAGGACCCGACGGACCGGACCAACATGGACGACGTCGAGGCGCTGTTCATGCACGAGGTGCTCCGGGCCGAGTGGTACGACGCGCAGGGCAACAAGCTGCCGCCCTGCGGCGCCGGTGAGGCGTGGGCGCTGGTGCAGAGCGTGATTGCGAACCTGCTCAAGACGGCGGCGACCAAGGAGGCCTTTCTGATTAACCTTGCCGCGCTTGTCGGCGGTAAGGTTCTCATGAATAAAGGCAGTCTGCGCGTGACGCGCAGCGAGGAGCTCCCCGACCGCACGCGCTACTCGTGTGTTTGGGAGCTGAGGTTTGGGGATATAACGGGGCAGTGGACCATGGAGGAGGTGGTGATGCATGATAGTTGGAAAGGGGCGGAGGGTAAGAAGGATGGTGAGGGTGGCACGAACGGGGACGGTAGCAGTGCCAGCGTGGGGAAGGAAGAAGAGAACTCTTGGGAGCGCAGGTACATGGAGCTTGCGGCGATGCTGCAGAACCGGGACCAGGAGATGGTGCGGCTCAGGGCTAAGGTTATTGAGTCGATTAGGGACTGTTGAGCCAGCTCATGATTCCTGGTCCAAAGTGGATGCCACGGCGATGTATACATGTGTGATTTATCAGCAAGGTTCCTGGCGGCCTGATACCCCTACGAATTTAACGAGACATTTTGGTTCAATCCTTGTTATTAAGTTTACCTGGCATGGAGAGGATAGGAGCAATGCCAAAGCAATCATCCATGAGCCCAGAGGTAACCCCAGTAGACCCTAACCCTGGAGTTTCGCACCCTTGTCAATATCGAAATGCGCGACGTGTGGCGTAACCACTGGCGTTCGTATCTGATTTACTTCATATGATCGCCAACCTCACTTCGACTTCCGTTCTACGGCTTCGCTTTCACAGCGATTCCCTTGGGTCCCGCTCATGACAATCAAACCTGCGCTTCTTCTCACAATGATCTAGTTCAAGTTTTTTCGCTAATTTCTCCCTTTTTTGATTTAAACTTCCGCTCGCTTTCATGACCCACTTAGCTTCGTCAGCTCCGAGTCTGACCAACCTGCGACTTGATGGTACTGCCGCCCGTCCTTAATCGACCCGTCAACTCGAACCTCTTTTTCCCCGTATAATCTTCGCCGAGTTCGATAGATATACTACGGACACGATGCCCAAGCAATACGTTGTCTGCGGGCGGTTGGTGCCCCGGCTGGGCACGCGCCACATCTCGCTCCTCCTGGTCGCTCTCGCCCTCTTCTCCATCTTCAGCCTGCTCTTCACGCTCCCAGCAAGTCCTCTTCCGGCGAGCGCATCGAGGCTGCAGGAGGCGGCCAAATTCTCGGTCCCACAGTCGTTCAAGAGCCCCTGGGTGGACAAGCTCAACCCGTTCAAGCAGCCGGCACACCAGCCGCCGCGCCAAAAGAACGACACGGACGGCGAGTCGTGGTGGTACGCCGACTGGAAGTGGCTCACGATGCCCTTCAGCAGCTCCGTGACCCTCAGCGAGAACCGCGCCGTGCTGCCCGTGCTCAAGCTGCGCACCCCGATCTACTGCTACTACGACAACACCGTCGACGACAAGGACCACGCGAGTAGGGATGCCGAGAGCGATCTGCTGCTGACGTGGCGCCGGGCGTGGTGGGCGCAGGGGTTCAAGCCCATCATCCTCAGTCCCGCCGAGGCCATGAACAATCCCATGTACGAGGAAGTGCAGAAGCTGGAGGGCTTGAAGGCATCCCTCAGAACGGACATGATGCGCTGGTTGGCCTGGGAGAACATGGGCGGCGGCCTGCTCGCGGACCGTCTCCTCTTCCCCATGGGCGGCCACAACGATCCGCTGCTTACCTATCTCCGAAGAGGAGAGTTTCCCAAGCTGACGCGGTGGAAGACGCTGGACGATGGAATATTTGCAGGGCCAAAGGCGGAGGTTAGGGCAGCCATCAAACTCGTCATCGCGGCGGCGCCGGGGATCAAGGACGCCAAGGACTTTCTGGAGGCGGTGCAATCAGACAGCAAGACCGCCGACCCGTTCGCCGTCGACGGCACCTCGCACTCCCTGGCCTACTACTCGCCGCAAAAGATCAAATCCAGTTACTCCAAGGTCGACGAGGCCATCAAGTCCTCCAAAGCCGCCGGACTGAAAAGCCTCAACCAGCTCATCACCTCCCACCTGCACATCACATGGCAAAACACCTTCTCAGACGGCATTGCCGTCGTGAAGCCCCTGCCGGAGCATACCACACACCTCATCGCGCCCGCCCTCGACCTCGCCTCTCGACTAGCCCACTGCCCCGAGTCCCCCTTACCGGATAGCTGCCCCCCGAACCGTCCAGACTGCACCCCCTGCGACGACTCCAAACCCATGAAAATCACCACCCCATCCTCCTACTCCAACTCAACGACCCTCTACACCCTCGGGACCGTCCCACACCCCTACACCCTCGCGACCCTAACCTCCCGCCGCAAAATCCTCGACATACCCTGGATCCGACGCAAATCCCCGCGCGACGCCTGGATCACCGAACTCACCTCCTCCCTCTTCCCCGACCAACCTCTAATCTCCTCCGGCCCGCGAATCCTCCGCTTCAAAGAAGCCGTCGCATCCGACCGCGCCGCAGACCGCTCACTCTGGCTTCCCGCCGAGCAGAGCCACGTCGATCTTCCCGAGTCCGACCTGCCCTGGCACTTTGGTTTCGCCCTGCCCGACAGGGCTACCTACGCCGATGACACCTCACAATCACCGGAAAAGAAAAAGGAGGAGGAAGAAGGGGAGGAGGAAGAGGAAGAGATAATAATACGCCTAGCCCAAGAGGTAGTCCTAGCCGAGACTTCGACGTTACAAAAGCTCCTCAGCGGCAAATCCTGGGGGCGCAAAAAGTCTAAATCAACCTCCGACAAAAAGAATGAGCTACCACCAAAGGAGCTCGCCGCCCTGCGCGACGCCGTCGAGGCCTGGAACCTGGCCGACACCGAGGCCTGGCGGTTTGCACGGGCTTACCTCGCCCGCGAGACGGTCGAGCGCCGCAAGTGGGAGGAGGAAGAGGCCAAGTTCGCCGGCGGGATGGGCAGCGAGAGGAGATCGAGTGATCATTCTCATCACGACCGTGGTCTTGGCGGTGGTTAGATAGGAGGTGATACGTCATGTTTTCACTTGTTTTCAGGGGTTCCTTATGTATTGTATGTACATACCATGATGCGAGTTCTGTGCATTCGAGAACAAACAATGGGATTGGCGGTGACGGCGTTTTGTGTTGGCTTTCTGGTCATCATCTTATTCCCTGCATAGACGTTCTAGACTCAGCTCAGTGTAGGAATAGAATGGCAGAATGATACCATCATGTCACCGGACATTGGCAGGCTTAATTCTTGTTTTCTCTATCATAGCCCTACTTTACATGACCTAATAGTAAGCTGCCCTAAATACGGGATACGTGGTCGGTTCTTTCCCCTAACATTATAATATTCACAACACTGCCTTCATCCGGCAGCTAATGCGGCAGTGAATCCGTGACCCTAACATCGTATGAATGGCAAGCCATAGCACTGTTGACTCAAGAGACAGCTCGGCACCCACCGTCTCCATAAATTATTGCTGTTCTCTCATCATCATACCTTAATATCTCCTTCAAACACCATAATCATGTCGCATACCTCAAATGTTAAACACTGGCGACAGGTGGTTGCGGTCCGGAGAATGCAGAGCAAGGGACTTGAGCTGATCTCCAAGAGAGCCCAAGCCGTTGGCAGGCATGGTCTCCGCATGCTTCTCCGGAGTGGCAGCCAAAGGGATGCCGCCGTCGTTCATGCCATTGCCGGCAAGGAATTTGTGGGGAGTGCCGTCCCTGCTCGATGACGCGTGATTCTTGTTGGCGGAGGGACCAAGAGTTGCGGCGGCGTGTCCTGCATAGTGTGGCAAAACACCATGGGCGGTTGTCGACGAGAGTGCGCTGCTCGTGGGTCCCTTCTTCAAAACAGACTGCCACAGTTTCGTGCTGGGCAAGATGGTTAGCGGCGGTATTTGGATGGGAGGAACTGGATGACATACCCTGACTTCTCCGAGCGACGCTCGACAGAACCAACAGAGCTCGCATCCACGCTGTTCTCACGGCCCCCGAGGGACGCTCCGCCCGCCGGGAGAAATTCGTCCGACCCGCTATTGACCTGCGTCTCAAACGACAGTGTTCTGGTGAGCACAGTGCAATTGTCCTCACTGGCCGCCATATCCTTGGCATCGACTCTTTGCACAGGAGTCATGGGACGGAATGGGTCGCATTCCGACTCGGTCAACCGGCAGCCACGGTTGGCATCGCGTCCACGGTTAGGAGTACGGCCGACTGCTTTCTCCTCCGCGAGTCCAGAAGCACGCTCTTTGGTCGGAGAAGGCGGATAGAAATGCTTTCCGTCAAACTTGGGCAGGCCCTGAACGGCAGACTTGGGGGCTTTCCCCCAGTACAGGAATCGCGCGCGACGCTCCTCTTCAGTCAACGGGCGACTGTACACATAATCCTGGTCTTTAGCGGTGCGAGGATTGACACCCTTGGGGAGCGTCCCGAGGAGGTAAGGTACCCCCAGATTTGACTGGCCGTTGCCATTCTTCGTGGCCGCATCGTTACCATTGACAGAGTTGCCCGCGTTGGGAGTGTTGAAGTTACCCGTCGAATGTGACGGGGCGGCCGTGTAGGGCGTGGTGAACGATCTGTAAACAGGCTGCGACTCGCCCCTGGCATACATGCTGTTTCCCCAAGCCGGAACATAGCCACCCGGCTGAAAGATAGGAGCCAGCGCTGCATCATTCGGGAGGCGTGGCCTCAAGCCCAGATCCCGATTCGGCTCGGGCAGGCGACCATAGAATCCGGTCTTATCACCACAGCCAGTACTGCCATTGACTCCGTGGCGTTCGAGGGGAATTCGCGGTTTTATTGACTCATGCGTGGCGGTCGTTACTGTCGAAGCACCATTTTCTTTCGCAGTCCCGACGTCCCGGGACGGAATCTCGTCATCCTTTCCCTGGTCGGACTTGCCCAGAACCGAGGCCTCGTACTCGAGCTGCGCTTTCAAAACACTTTCGAAGCGCTGGATGTGCTCCTTGAAAGTCTGGATCTTCATCTCCATATCTTTCTCATCGATCTGGTGGCGGTTGTACTGCAACTGGTCCTCGTGATACTTCAGACCTCCCTTGAACCAGGCGATTTGCTTCTTTGTGATATCGCTAGGCTTGATTGAGGAGATCGGCGGAGGCGTCCGCCCATTGACGTTAGCATTAGCTGGAATAACAGGTGGATTGACAATGGGTGGGACCACAGCAGGACCATGGCAGGATGCTGCGTATGAAGCCCCAGATCCCGTCGAGCTGCTCCCGCTTGGCTGCGCTTGTGCGAGATGGCCAGAAAGCTGTGGCATAATACCATAAGGGAGGCCGATCATCTGGACGGGAACAACAGGATTTCCCAGGGAGGCCATGGGTGATCCAGTGGGATACACGAATTGGCCATTATAGTAGTAAGGCTTCGTGCAGTCGAAGAACTCAGGTGGTGAGATTGTGACCTTGTCCTGCCTGTCATTTGCCGCGTAGCTATCGCGTCGAATGTCGGCAGCCGGTTTGGGAGTGTACCCATCTCTCAGGACGCTATCGGTTGCAAGAGGTGTCGGGGCCGTAGGACTGAGAGTCGACTGCGCGAATGGGAGTCCCGGGGGCAGGGGAGTTCCAAATGCCATGGGCACAAACGACACTGGGGCCGGGATGGGCTGAAAGCCAGGAGGGGAATAGGCCGGTACAAACTGGGCTGCAACTGGAATTTGCTGCGGAGCCAGGCCCGCAGGGTTGACTGGAGGCTTCCCCACGGTTTCCTTCTCAGAGTTGTTCTGGTTTTCGACCGCGTGGTTGCCGTTGGTTCGCTTTGGTGTGGGCGAGGGGGGTCCCCGCGTATTGGGAACGATGCGGCCACCAGCAGTCACACGAACATGTGTGGGAGAAACAACAGCCTTATAGAAGCGCTGAAAGCCCTCGCTCTGCTGAGCCTGAATACCGGTAGGCGCCGGCACAGGTTCTGTAGAAGCAGCTTCGGAGTCGCTACGGCCATGGTATTTCCACTGCAGCTGACCTGAGGTCTCCTGGGCCAGTTCTCGAATGTCTCGAAGCGGCTCTCTGGCCGACTCTCTGGTCGATCCTCTCGTTGACTCTCGGATCGACTCCCTGACTGAACCATTGTTCGAGGTGCCTGTGGCATCACTGGCGCGGGAGGTCTCTCTGGCCAACCGGCGCCCCATGCGGCGGCTCATGGTGCCTTTGAACAGGAGCTCATCGGATGTCGCGGAAGAGTCGTCCTTGCTTCTGTTGGCAGGAAGCTTGCGGTCTGAAGACTCACTTCCAGATTTGCGCATGATGTCCGCTGGATTTCGTCAGTTAGTCAAACGCAGTCAAACAACATGACTGGGTGTAGGCGCGGAACATACCAAGCTCGGGGTTCCCAGCTATGGCCAAAACTCCATTGGCGTTGCCGGTTTCACGGAAGCTTAGAAGCTCCTCAATGGTGTAAGTCCGGCGAGCCATACCGTATTTGATGCGGCGCAGAGAAGGAGTATGTCGAGGCCGCAGCGAGCAGCAACCGCGGAATACAGAAAGATGACCGCGCAACACTCAAGACGGGCTGGCAACGCCAACTGGCGACGACAACTCTTGGGGACACCAGGCACTTCTGTTGATCTGGTTTGTTAGCTTCTGCGCTTCAAGCTGAGAGACACAATGAAATTGGGTAGATCAGGGCAGTGCGACTCGAATGGCATCTTGGCTGCTTTTCAACTTCATTCAAGCTTGACCATGGTGTAAAGACTGATACTGGTGGAGGAGATGCTTCATGGCAAAAAAGAAGTGTAGAAGGTATGATGGTGAGTCGTCCTGGAGCACTTTTGGGGAGGTAGGGTAGTCCAGCGCTTGCAATGCGGCTGTTTTTCACACCATTGTGAAGGATATGAATCCGCACAAGCATGACCGAGACGGACTTAATGTACACCGGATCGTGACAGTGCTCTTTCACTTAGGGATGGAAGATTGGACAAAAGAACATTTGCTCACCAATCGATCGCTTGGTCGGCCGCTTAGCCGGCGGCGATGTGTGATGGGAGGGAAATAGACGGCCACCTTGTCGGGGAATGCTCGTGTCGAGAAATAGTAGTCGAAACTCAGGTCTTAGGAGAGGCCGAGACAGTCAAAGTAGTTGAGAACCAAAACAAAGAAGACAGGTTACCGAACCAAAAAGTTTGCCGAAGCAGCGTGGATGCTTTGCCTGATATTGGAGGAAGGACAGTCGGTACAAGAGGTAATGAATTGGATGGGGGAAGAAGAGGTTAATGCAGAGTGCAACAAGAAAAGCAGGCCAGGACAAGAACAGAAGGAAACCGTACCTACAAGGAGCAGGAGGCAGCCGGTGGGAAAGCGAGGGGCAAGGCTTGAATGAAGATGGAAATCTTTCCAGAAGGCGGCGCCATCGTCGTCAAAGGTCAGTAGCAAGAACTGCCAGTCACGGCACGCGTCAAGCACGCGTCAAACACAGTTTCGGAAGGAACGGCGGAAATGGGCGAGAGAAGGTACCCCGGGGAGGGGAAAAACTAATCGGATGGAAGGCACCATCGAGGGACATGGAAGCAGCATCCGATGGTCTTCAAACCGGCACTCGGTGGGTTGAACCTGCACACTCATACGCTGGCAGTCAGTGTCAGCGTCAATAGTTGCCTTGCCTAAGCAACATGGTGGGATACAGAAACAAGATTGCTCTTACACAGATGGTTTCTCTGGTACCGGAGGATTTGATGCCCCCCCGTTCCTAAAGGAGGTAATCATGGTTCGAAGAAGTGACACGGACGATCATGGACACCAGCCGGGGGGGATGAATAACTGCAGATTCCAGGTTTGATAGACTGGGTATAACTGAGGCATCATTGGTATCATCTACTTACTGAGCGCCACTCTCGCTAGACTCCCTCACCATGCCCGGTGGCCTCGCCTCAGTTCACTCCCCAAATGCCCAACGTCCACGCTGAACCAGCAGCAGAGCCCCTCATCAGCCCTCCTGGGCCCAAACTCTGCCGTTGTGTCTTGTGGTCGACATCGCTTGCTCTGCTCGCCCCGGCAGCTCCGTGCTGCAACCAAATCTCTCGATCGACCGCGGCGATGGCCGGCGCCTTAAGGTGAGTAGCCAGACTCGCACCGCTCCAGGCGCCGAGCGACTCGATAGCCCTCAGCTCCCCTTGGACACGGGGCCTCTTATCGGCGCCCCTCTTGAGCTGCTCCTCGACAGGGTCCACCTCTGGCACCGTGTTGGCCGCGTCGTGCCAGACCCCGTCCTCTCCTTCGCTGCCGCCGGGTTGTGAGAATGACGATGACGACACGCCGGTTGGGCCGTCATTCGCCTGGCGAGCTCCTTTTCGCTTCAGCTTTGGGTTGGCACGTAGTTGATCTACCTTGACGCCGTGAACCGGATCCCAACCTCTCTCTCGTACCAGGTGGGCTACCTCATCGAAGATGCGCTTACGAAGGCCAAGCACAGATGAGCATCCGCCGGTGAATATGATGCGCGACATGCAAATTGCTCGGACGTCTAGGGGAAGCTGGAGCAGGCTGCGGTACACGAGCAAATGCAGGGGTAACTCGTGGTCGTCGAAACTGCTGTGTAAATACTGAGATTCAAAAAAGGCACTCTCGCATGGTTCTGCAAGGGCATCGAAAGGTAATTCCAGCGTTAAGGGGGATTGGCATGATTTAAGCGGTATCCTAATCGTGCCAGTCTCTCTGGGCGCTGAGGGGTACTGTGACTCGGCCTCATCCTGCTCGTGCACTGTTGGCAGACCCTCGGAAGAAGGCTGAGCGGCGGCGGAAGGGTCGGTCCGAGGCTTGCACCAAACCAGACGGGTGGCGATGTCGTTACACTCCTCAAAACTAAGGAAATACTGACGCGGGCCATCGGCAGCATCGTTACCGGTTTCCTTCTCTCGTTCAGGGAGATGTTTGGAAAGCGTATCATGGGTTCGCTCCACGAGCATCCTGCCTCCGCGGACGCTTCTGCGCGAGCCAACCTCCCTGTACTCGTAGACGCTGGTGACGACCGTCTCGCTCCAGCCGAGGTCAACAACAAGTGCAGATCGCACTCCAGCACCCACGGCCACGGCGAGCGGAGATGACAAGAGCGATATGGTTGGCGGCTGGAACCGGCTGAAGATGGTGTCCAGGGCTGCCGACAGGTGGGGGATGGGCAGGCCCGAAGGGAGCACACAGACCATTCTCCGCGGGCGCGAGTCGATAAGCATGTACCTGAAGAACTCGGTCAGAAGCGTCGAAATACAGAGTACAAAAGCTCCAACTTACTTGGTAAATGCCTCCCTCAGCGTCCGCTCAATCTTGTCGCCAACCAGTCCGAGATCAACAGCACGGACGTCAGCCTGCCACAGCTCGTGATCTCGCCCCCACAGACCCCATGCGGCCGCGCTCTTCCACTCTTGATCTTGGTGATCAGTCCGTTGCCATTTCCTGAAATCGCCGACGCGGCGTTGCTGATCCGGGTTGAACCAAACGCATCCTCTGGGGGCGGGATCTCCAGAAAAGCCGACTTGCAGCTTCCGCGTGCCGAACTCGACAATGATTATCTCATCGTCGGCGCGTAAGCCAGAGGGAGAGCCAAAGTTGGAGGGGATAGGCCGTAGAGGTGTTGACGGCCCACCAGTTTGGTGGTGATGACCGGCGCCGCCAGGCGTTGAGCGGATGTTAGCGACTGAGCGGTGCGGCAGGGGCGCCCCTGGGCTCTGCGCCATGTTGTGGGAAACTTATGAGAGGAGAGGAACAAGATAGGAGGGTTTTGACATCCAAGGCAGTTTTATAATTGTTCCTGCAGTCCGTCAAGGTTGTTTGTTCCTGGATGTTCAATGCTTCCTATCTTGACCTCAACCTCATTCCTAACACCCACTTCAACGATGAGTTGAATTAACGGTAACTCATGAGGTCGGTACTCGTCAGGGCTTCATAATCGCCATCTGCCCCACCACTGCGTGGAGGGTCAGGTCCTCTGATTCCATAAAAACCTTTGATTCCTTAAATTTAGTACTTCCAGTTACTAGCGAATGCCATACAAGTTGAGGTATACTATTTTTCGTGCATCATACCGTCAAAGTCCGTATTATAGTGATTTATCTCCAACAGTCATTCGCAACAGGTGCATCCACCACCCTATAATTCACAACAGTTGCATCCAGCACCCTCAACATTTCGCTCGAATCGCTTGCATCCCGAAGTGCAGGCCACGAATATAGTCAAATATTGTATATATAGCTCTACATCGAGTATAGGTCATATCTAGCAATTGATTCTGGGCTTCATTTTGTATAGCTCTGGCGTGGTTCAAATGGATGGGTATGTATCCGTATGCAAGCGACATGTGCGAAAAGACGGTATGACATCGGTTTGCTAACAAATTTGTATGGCAGGAATGTAGGTACGTATTTTATGGAATCAAAGGTTTTTATGGAATCAGAGGACCTGACCCTCCACGTAGTGGTGGGGCAGATGGCAATTATGAAGCCCTGACGAGTAGCACCCGTCTTGGCATCCGCTGCGTTCAGCTGGAATCGCTCTTGGTGGGATATGCATTTAAACCCTAACTGCTTGGTGGCTGTGACAACCCTCCCAAAACGGAAAGGAGATCAACAAAGCGAACAGGCCCCGACTCGTTAGGAGAAGGTTCACTCTAGGAAACCATCCATTGCCACTCTCTGTCTTCCTCTCAGGTTCGCCAGATCACCGGGTGCACGAAACACTTTCGGGTTCAAATTGCTCAGTCTTTTTGGCTTGGCATATCAATCATGCATGGCCTGATATTTACCTCCAGATTGCTGCCCTCAACCATTGATGTCATTTGAAATCTGGCGAAATGGGCATCAAAGGGTGAGTCGTCACCGAGTCGATATCCTAGCAGTCCCCCATCGTCACCACCACAGAGAATGCTGACTTAGGGTACTTACCTACCTCATTCTGCATGCAGCATCTATAAAGAAATTGGACCTGGCCAACGCGTGTCGCTTTGCAAGCTTGCTGTTGACCAGCTTGAACGCACCGGCCGACCGTTTCGTCTTGCAATTGACTTTTCGATATGGCAGTTCCAGGCGCAAGCGGCAAAGGGTGGGGTTCAGCATCCTATTCTCTTACTCCATCCTCCTACCTTAGTGAACTTTTCTCTAATTCCATCTAGGCGGCTCCAACCCAGCCATCCGAACATTATTCTACCGCCTGGTGCGGTTGCTCGGCCTAGCCATCCAGCCGATCTTTGTCTTTGACGGACCCAATAAGCCCGCCTTCAAGCGCAACAAGCGCTCCGGTCGCGGTGATGGCGTGGCCACAGCCATGGCCAAGCGTCTGATCCGGCTGTTTGGCTTTGCTATGCACGACGCGCCGGGCGAGGCCGAGGCCGAGTGTGCGCTGCTTGAGCGCGAAGGGATAGTGGACGCCGTGCTCAGCGAGGACGTCGACACCATCATGTTTGGCTGCCGCCGCACGCTGCGCAATTGGTCCGCCGAAGGGAAGGGCGGTTCCAAGACGCCGACCCACGTCTCCGTCTACGACGCCGCCTCAGTGACCGCCGGCGGCCTGGACAGGGAGGGGATGGTGCTCGTGGCTCTGATGAGCGGTGGCGACTACCTACCTGAGGGTGTTCCGGGCTGCGGTGTCAAGGTTGCCTGCCAGGCGGCAAAAGCAGGATTCGGCCGGGACCTGTGTCGCCTCAAGAGGGCTGACATGGACGGGCTCAAGGCCTGGAAGCAGCGGCTGCTGCATGAGCTGCGTACGAATGAGAGTGGCTACTTTAGGACAAGGCACAAGGCTTTGGATATTCCGGATGATTTTCCAAACATGGAAATCGTACGGTACTACACACATCCAGTGGTGTCCCGTCAGACAACTATTGACAGGTTGAAGGCTGAGTTTCCGACTACAGCTAAGGTGGACACCATCGGGCTCCGAGACTTCGCAAGAGAGACCTTTGACTGGACATTTCGCATTGGGGCTATCAAACTCATTCGAGTATTGGCCCCTAGTCTCCTCGTCCAGTGCTTCCTTGAAAGGTGTAAAACTGCCGAACGCCACGATGACCTTGATCTCCAACAAAAGGAAGAGTCGGCACTGGTCAAGGCTATCTCGAGCAGAAGGACGCATTTTAGCACTGACGCTACGCCCGAATTGCGAATATCCTTTATTCCGGCCGATATTGTCAAGCTGGACTTGACCGCGGAACCGGAGGAAGAGCCCCAGGAATTTGGGCGAACCGGTCTTGCTCTAAACAGCGATGATGAGTCCGAGGAAGCTCCTGATGAGCCTGGTGGCCGGCCAAAGACTGGCCCGAAGAAGCCGTTTGATCCGCTGCAGCCCGACTCGGTCTGGGTTCCTGAGACGCTCACCAAATTGGGCGTACCCTTGACGGTCGAGGACTGGGAAGGAAATCAACGAACGAAGAAGCAGCTTAAGGAGCAACAGGCTGCCGCAAAGGCCCGGAAACCTCGGGCCAAGAAGAGTGATATGCCGGCTGGCGCGCTGGACAAATACGTCAAGGTGGTAAAACGCGTTGGCGAGAGCGCAAAGGACACTCCGGGCTCCGGAATCGACTCACCACTTCCTAGTTCTATTCCCGTGTCTAGCCAGGCTACACCAAAGGCATCGAGTAAGAAGGCGGAACAGTCCCCAATCAAGCCAACAAAGAGTGTCAACCCATGGACACTCGCTAGTTCCCAAGCCAAGGAGCCAATCGTCATCTCATCCAGCCCTGTCGCCCCTACGTCACCTTCGCGTGCTAGCGCAGGTAACATAGCCAGCCAGGCGACACCGACGAGGCAAAAGCGTTCAAAAAGTCTGAGGGCTGAGGAGTCTTCTTCACCGCCGTTGTTCGGTCTGTCGCCCAGTCCCGGAAAGTCGCCATCAACCTCGCGATTGCCCACCGAGTCTACGGGAGTGTCCGGGCGAGCAGCAACCAAGGCTCGGCCGTTCAAAAGGGTAAAGAGCGGGGCAGAAGACAAGATCGGTACTACTACTACCTCCAACCAACCCCAACCAAGAGCGCCAACTCAGAGGTCACTCAAGGACTATGGGCGGATCTTGAAGAACTCGAGTGCTTTACAAGCGACTGCCAAATCCACGGTTGCTAACAGCCAGATTCCAATCGAGATCTCGACAGGCGATGAGGGCTCTCCCCTTACCCAGCAGCCGTCCAGCCAGCCAGCCGCGCTATCGCCAGTCCCTTCCCGGCTGCCTACGGCGCCTCCTTTGGACAGGATAGGCATACTTGACGCCGAGGACCCCTTTGGCCAGCTGTCGCCACCTACAAAGACAATTTCAGAATTACCTCGCGCTTCTCAAGACGATACACCTACGTCCTCTCACCGCGGCAGCATGAGCCCGGAGCGTCAACAACGGTATCAAACCAAGGGAAATGGCCCTGATATATTCTCCACCTCCACATCTACATCTACACCCACCGACGACGCCGACGGCGAGGACACGGTCGGCACCCACCAACAGCAAGCCGTAACCACAGCCACAACGAGAACCAGCACCACCAGCAGCAGCACCAGCGCCAGCAGCAACAAACCTGCCAACAAGAGCAATAAGGGAACTGGTACCACAAAACTCTACATCCCCCGCACCAGCCTTACCGGGGTGGGATTCTTCAAGGAAGTCGAGGTCACCCGCGACGAGGCAGACCGTTTCTTGGCAGCAGCCGAGGACAACAAGACCACAACCGATGGAAGGGACGACAAATTCACATCTACGCTGAGCCTAGATGGCGGCGGCGGCGGTGTTGGTGGGCAAAGGCGAGGGCGAGGGCGGGGAGGAGGAGGAGGGGGAGGGAAACGGATATGGCGGCTGAGTGAGGTTGAGGTTTTTGATCTGACGGGCGAGGATTAGCTCTAATTAAATTACCATTGAAGCAGGAAAGCAAGCCAGCAAGCGAGCGAGGTGGCATATATATATGGGTGTGGGATGGGCTAGACGCATTTCATGGGCGTTAGAATATTACAGGATCAGGACAGGTGTTTATGGTCATACTACGTTAGATGGGGTGCATGGGGTACAAGGATGGGATCAATGAATAAATGATGAACTACATAGCGTTTCACCTCGTCGTCTATTATCACAGAGGAGTTGCGAACAAACACACGGTCACCAGGGCAGATTTCTCCATGTACTGTATCATGCTGAAATAATACATACCCTTCTACTGTAACAACGGTATCACAACTCGGGACGGAAGGGTTCCGCTGAGCAGGAGTGATAGCAGCAACAAACGCCCATCTGATCCTCCCCGTTGCCTCTTCCCAGGGGACGAGAGGGAAAGAAAAACGACTCTACTTTCACAGAACATGGCGGTATCCGTCCCATCCGAACAACCCCGTTGCCTCTTCCCAGGGGACGAGAGGGGAAGAGAAACGACTCTACTCTCACAGCACATGGCGGTATCCGCCCCTTTCCTCTCCTTTCTTCCCTGCTCCTCACTTCACAACCACCCTCAACCCCGCCAACCACCCAATCGAACCGAAAATTCACCTCGGCGCAGGCTGCTTCGAAAGCAAGACATTAACCGACTCCCTCGCGTTGGGCGTATTCCAAACACTCCCCCTACCACCCTTCCGCCACTCATCCCCCGCAGCGCCTTCCTCTCCCGCCACCCCACTACCGCCCGTCCCGCCGCGAGTAGCCTCGCCCATGATGACATCCAAATCCCGCTTTTGCGAGCTCAGCCAGGCGCGGACAAACCCGACGGGATCTTTGGCCATGGACGTGAGGAAGGTGTGTTTGGCCTTGGACTGGGCAACGGCCTGCACCAGCGTCGCAAGCTGGTCGTCGAGCACGGCAACCTCCTTCAGCATGGCGGCGTACTGCGGGTTTTGGATGAAGGGGACGAGTTTGGAACGTAAGGGGTCGTCGACTGCGACGCGGACGTCGTAGATGGTTGGTTGTGGGTTTTTGTGGAATTCTTCGTCGACGCGGATGGTGTATGCCAGTTTGATGGGCGGCAGAGGCTTCAGGTGGGGGGTGATATAGTCGTTTAGGTGGGGGATGTAGCCTGCTTCGCGGCCGATTACCTGATTTATTTTTTGTCAGATGAATGAGTGAGCAAGCGAGTAGAACAGGGAGGTGTACATACCCTCTTCAGCAGCTCGTCGCATCGGAAATTCCGCTTCTCTTCGTCTTCCTGCAACCTCATGAGCTTGATGTACTCCCACAGCGCCATGACGGCCTCCTGGCGGGTGGCCTCGCGCATGTCAATGACCTCGGCGAGCTCGTTGCTGAGCTCAAAGCGTTCCGGCTCCTCATGCCTGAACAGGTTGATGGTGATGTCGGTGTTCTCGTCGCCGTTGCGCTTGAACGTGATCTCGTCAAAGTCGGCCATGGCCGGCAGGTTGACCGAGCCAGCCGGCGTCCTATCCGGCTTCTTCCATTCGACGCTCGTCTCAACGGTTTGCCGCCCGTTTCTCGGCCGTTCGAAGTCCACTGTCAGAGCTTTGAAGAAATGCGACAGCCGGGGTCGTTGTCCGTGTTTCGGAGGGGCAGCCTTAGGCTTGGTCTTGCTCGGGCTGTCGGTCTCCATCTTATCGCCCTGCGTTTCATTCTGGTCTGCCTTGGATTCCTCCTCCTCGCCCTCCTCCCTGTCCGTCTCATCCTCGTCATTCAGTAGCCGGCCCTCAATCTTGACGCGGTATGATGACTCAAGGTTGCCTGCGTAGTCAAAGCCGTCAATGTTGAGGCCGCTTGTCTGCCAGAATTGATCCTCAACTGTATTGCTGATCCAGATGCGCAGCGTCTTGAATCGCTGCACAGCCCATCGTCAGCCACCGCTTTCGTGCATCGCATGGGGTCCATGGTCCGGGTAACGCACCTTTGCATTTCGGCTCACCGAATCCACGATATCCAATCTCTTGCGTGTCATGGTAGCGTCGAGCCGGCGTTCGAAGTCGCGGAGGTTCTTGTAGGCGAGGGCGACGTCGCCTTCTCCGACCAGTGTCTCTTCAACACCATCGGGGAGGTTCTTGTCGGTCGGCTTGCGGCTCCTCAGCTTGGCAAGATGGTTGGCCTGCTGCTGGTGGTGATGCTGCTGGTTGATCTGTGCCTGCGTCATGGGCACTGAGTGGTGAGGGCCGGCTGACATCATGGGGCCTACGGTGATGATTACAAGTTAGGACGCCGCTGATAAGTCTCTGTCACGAATTGAGGCCTGGCTTGCGCCGTCGCACTTGGGTTGTTGCGGGTCGTTGTGTGTTTGCAAAATGGCCAAGTACACTATGTAAAGCACTTGCTAGTAGTACTTGTGTAAAGGGCAAGGCACGGAGTAGGTTGCTTTGGCAGTTCGGTTCCGTCTGGAGGAAGCGCAAGGAACAAAGCTCCACCCGCCAATGCCGGGGGTTCTAGTGCTCGGGGGGACCGGGGCCAACAAAAAGCGGAGCGCATCGGAGTCATGGGTGGTTAGGTTTCGGCCATGGCCCGGATAGGATGGAAGCGAGTCGCTCTTGCTCTCGTGAGATGGAAATACCAAAGTGTATCGTCACTTACCGATGCCGCCCCGGCGTTGTGGGACATGCTGTCCTGCGGCCCTGGGCGGGACGTGTTGAGCGTATCCACGATACTGTTGTTGTGGCTGCATTGTAGCCGGTGCGCCACCTGGGAAAATGTGTAGTAATGCTCCGACCAAGGATTGACAATGTACGCTAGACGAGATACGAATACCGATAATTATCTCTGTGCGTTTTTTGATGGCGGACTGCGGGTGTCGCAAGCGCGTCGATCGCGTCGTGGTTCTCCAAGACTGGTGGAGTGCGTAGCGCAGAGAAAATGCGACAAATGCCACTGGCCTTCTGTGCCGGAGCGACCCACTTTGATTTCTTGGCAGCACAAACCTGAAGTCCGCCCGGGCGGATCGGAATGACTCGGAGCGCAAGTACATCGCAACCGGAATCATTGACGGGAACATAGGCAACGACCACAACACACTCTACTCCATACAGGATAACAAAATGAATGCTCTTTCCAACTACTAGTGGCTGTGACTAGGCTAACTATATCCAGCCCCTTCGAGTCTTCTCCTTAGAATATAATGCCATTGAGCACGCCGCATGTTCCCCTGTGGCGTCCTGTTCCTCCTGTACTCTCACGGAGGTACCAATCATAAATCTGCGCGGCCTCTTGAAATCATCTCTATCTAGCCGTTCCCGTGGAATCCCAATCCTCCTTCATCAGAAAAGAGACCCCTATATGATGGTCAAGGCAATGAGATGAGTGGCCCAAATCTTCTCCACGTTTGATCCTACGCCACGCTACCAAGATGCCCATTAAAGGTACTAGTTTGTAGTTGTAATGCCTTACGCTCACAACATCCCTGCTGGAACGCGGCGGGGAAATAAAAGATAAAAGAGTCCGTCGCAATGGCAGTTCCCGTCTCGTCCTCCAAGGATCCTGCGGCCACGGCTCGCTGGCGCATACCATAGTTTACCTGAGCGGAGGGATGCGCCAGGCATACAAATCGAAGGTTTGCATCAAAAAGCCGCCCCCAACCCGTTCCTAGACTGCCGTTTGCTGAAGCGGTTGCGCTTTACGTTGGTGTCCTCCAGGCTTGCCTGACTCTTGTTCACCTGATTGCGGCCGGATCTGTCGCTGATGCTGAACCCCTCGGGGAAATTCGACCTGCCCCCCATAGTGCTTGCCGGACTCGACATTGAAGATGACATATCACCAAACCCATTGTCGTTGGGGTACGAACCGACCACGTTTTGTGATATGGCTAAATCCTTCGCACGCTCCAGCGATTCGAGCCACTCGTCCACCGAGTACTTTGCGCCCTCGCTTTGTGACGACTTTGGCTCCTCGAAGGTGTAGTGTACACCGTTCTGCTCAGTTGCTTTTAGTATGTCGCTCCACGGTAGGGTGGCAGGCCCCAGAAAAGGGAAAAGGAATGCAACTCACCGTGTCGACACACCACACCATCTGTCCCTTGGCGTCTAACTGGCTCCTCCACACGCAGTCTGGCGCCAGCAGCGAAATCTCCTGCTTGGCCCGCTTCTCGTCCCCACCGGCAGGGCACAGCACGATACGTCCACTTGATGTGACCATGACGAGCCGTTGTCTCTTCTTGGTTGTGCTACCGCCAAAGAAACGGGACAACTTCTTGTGGCCGTCGCCTTCGCCCTTCCCATGTGGACTGTTCGGGATCGGTGACGATATCACCATCAAGTCGCCGAGCTTCAATATTCTCTCGTTGTTCCTCGTCAGTACCGGTGACCACTCAATGTCGAGTTGTGTCGGCGGCGGCAGCTCCGTGATGATCCTGGCGGGTCGTGAGCCATTAGCTTGTCCCTGAGGTCCTCGGGAGGTTGCAATCGGCTTCGGGGGACTTGCCGATGCCCCATTTAGCTGTATTATGTGAGACTCCTGCGTTGGCGGCACGTAGGGCCGCAGGCGCGGCGCCTTCATCCTCCAAAGCTCCTTGCCGAATTGCTGCCCGTCAAAAAACTCGTGGTTCCTAATGTGCTCGACCGTCAAACGCCGCGCTGGATCGAGCACCAGACATCGCTCGACAAGATCGCGCGCTGCCGGGGGGAATCCAGCCGGAAACTCATACTCAAGATTGACAATCTTCTGGAAGGTTAGGTACTCGGTAGCGCCCTTGAAGGGTGGCCTACCAACAAGGAGTTGGTATATGATGCACCCAAATGCCCAGAGATCGCTTGGCTTCCCTGCCGACTTATCTGTCAGGAGTTCCGGGCTGACATACTCGGCTGTCCCCACAAAAGAGGCATTCCTTTCGTCGTCGTGCGAGCCGCCTTGTCCTGACCCCTCTTCTCCCGGTGCTGGTATCAACTTGGCGGTGCCAAAATCCGTAATCTTGACATGCATTTGATCATCGAGGAGCACATTCTCGGGCTTCAGATCCCGGTGGATGACGCCCCTCGAATGCATGTACGCAATAGCATCCAAAATCTGGGCGCCATAAAATCTCGTGCACTCGACGTCAAAGGTGCCCGTTTTTTTCAGCACCCCCAGCAGCTCCCCGCCGTTGCACAGATCCAATACATAGTAGAGCGACGTCTCGTCCTGAAAGGTATAGTAAAGCCGCACAATACCGGGATGATCTGTAAGCCGGTTCAGCGTGTTTTTTTCGATGTTGACATACTTGATCTTCTTTTCCTTGATGATGTGCTTCTTCTCAAGTACCTTGACAGCATACTCTCGGAGGGTCTGGCGGTCTGTGGCAAGGTAGACGGTACTGTAGGAGCCCTCGCCCAGTATCCTGCCGAACGAGAAGTCCCTGACTCCCTTCTTGACCGATTTTATGATTGTCCTTCCCTCGGCATCGACCTCTTTTCTTAGGGCAACTGCGGCGCCTCGATCCTTCCACTCCTCGCTACTCGCCAACGGTGGCGGATCCGGCCCGTGACTGCTAGGTGGCGCATACGGAACCCCCGGAATCGAAGCATACCCTACCCCCATGCCCCTGGAGCTTCTTCGCGGCGGTGCCATGCCGCTTGGATCGTTCCCGGATTGGCCCGGAACTGGTCGGCCGGGGTGGTGGGATCGACTCGGCTCGCGCGATGGTTTATTGGATGGACTGGGCTGCTCGGTTCTGGGGTCGGGCCTTTTTCCGCGCGTAGAAGAACGTGACAACTCGTTTCTCGGGCCAGCATAATGGGGCCCAGGCTGGTCATGCTCCGCCATGCGATTCTGACCAGGCTGGGTTCCTCCCCCGGGAGACTGACTTTCGTTTGTCGGCTGATGCGAGCTATATCTCGCGGTAAGCGCCGGATCGTTGGTGGCGTTTGTTTGGCTAACAAGACCGCGTGAAGCATTCAGGTTGTTCTGTGCAGCCTTAAGGATCGCCGCAGCGGATTCATAAGTGTGCGTTTGCCGCGAAGGGGAGTCTCGGCGCGTTTCCTGACCGTCAACAGCATGCGGAGTCTGTGGATTTACTGCCCCTGCATCTCCGGGCCCGGGACTTATCCCTGTTGTCCGGGCATCGTCAAGCCCGGCAGAGGTGTCTTGTGAGGGGTTCGGCGAGTCGTCGGGATTCGCGATACGTAGGCCGCCTAGCGCCTGAGAGAGACTGAGGTCGCCGTTCATGATGCTCGAATGCTGGGCGCAGTGGGAACAGTAACGACGCCGCCGAGAGGGAAGATGAGCGGGGAGCGGTCCGTGAGAATGAACGACCACCTAGTGACGGGATGGGCATGCGATCTAGTGGTTAACGAAAGACGCGGAGAGGGCCGAGGCACCACGACGCGGTATGCGAAGACAATGTCGCGATAATGACGGGGGCTGAATGCCGCGTATCGAGATGCGACGGCAGCAGAACGCCTCTGGTTCCCGGCAGGCCTTGGCCGTGAGATTCAACGACTGTTGGGCATCGAGAAGCCCGCTCTGGACGACAGAAAAGCACCCGTAACGTTAAAGCAGTGGTCCGTGGTCTGATGCCCGCCGACAAGAATAAACAAATGGATTGAAGCCGGCTTGGCTAGCGGCGGACTTGATAGGCGGCTTGAACGCCGGCAAGTCGAAGGAGACGATTGCGGTGTGCTGTGCCGGGCAATGTTAAAGTGTGGTTTTGCGAGCAACTATCGGATGCCGATTGAGGACTTCGGTGGTGGTGGACTTGGCCCTTCCAAGGTCCTCAGTTCAAGCGCGGGACGATGTATGCACTGTGCACTATCCCTCAGGGAGGAGCAATTCAACATGTTCAAGCGATTCCTACTACCATTCCCACCTGAATCGCAGCTACCTACTTCTCCAACCAGGAGCACTGCATCTGGGAACAGTCGTCATTGACGTCTCGGCGCCGGCTTAAAATAGAGGTCGCAAACCTTGACCGGATTGTTTCACAGCTTAATTCCCTAGCCACGGTGTTAAGAAACACAGGAGCGTCCGGGGAGACGGAAATCATGCAGTGCAGTGGTGGCAGTCAAATGGTAGTGGATACTTCGTACTGTGTAAGTCACTTGAGTTAAAGTTCAGTTTCTGGGCATCTGGCGTTAACCCTAGCAGAAAACTGCTCCTTTCCTTCCTTCACTGCTTTCCAGGTCCGTCTTCAGTTTAGCCACTCGCATTCGTCACCGGCCGACGTGTTAAGGTCAAGCCAGCGCACCACCCTCCACTTACTCTGGACGATGCCATGGAGAGACCAACTGTTGCTTTTGAATGCCCGTACGCCCTTTGGAGGTCCGAAGATGGCTTGCAGTTGAGGCCAGTGACACAGAGACTTCCTCTGTCGTACATCCCACTGAGGTGCATCTGCATTTTGAAGACATGCAAGGCATCCAACGATGGATGACCATGAGAAAATATTGCCCAAGGGGTCGCCTATGACCAACCCTCCTTCCCCCTGAATCTATGGTGTGCTAGTGGCACCATCCATTCTCACAATTGCTTCAAATCTGAAGTTGAGTTTTTTGCATGGGACACTCCTTCGGTTGAGAAGCACTGGAGGCGATCTCCAGCTATGGAAAAATGATACGAAATAATCATGCTCTCTGCGCAGCAGCTGGCCCGCTTGGAAGGAATGCCCGGACTTTCCTTTCGTTACTCCTTCCCAACTGGAATATTGCCCTGAATATCGGACGTTAGCATCACGTTCATCATGGCCGCCTTGTACGCGCCTTCTCCAGTAATCCCCAGGCCTCTCAGTTGTCAGATACTCAGGTAGCAGCTACCTACCATGTCGTTTGTTGGGCCTGCCTCAGCTTGTTCTTCCCTGTGTAAAGCTCTGAACATCTCATCCTCACTCAGCTCAGGTTGTCTTCCGTCCTTGGAGCGCTTCCTCCAGCTTGGAGTGACCGGATTCTCGCAATCATCCACTTCGTCCAGCCACCCACCACCAGTTGCGATAATGTTACGACTCAAGCCGACGGTGATTACGTTGACCATGGCAGAGGTAACCGGGGCGGGGCACCGCCGTCGATTCCGAAGGTATCTCGAAGCGGACGGCGTCAGCATCCCGCATGGCGTGACGGAGGATGAGCAACCAGACACTTTGTCGAGCCATTCTAACGCTTCTTCGGGCGCCCTTGGTCGAGCGTTGAGACCCCAGGCAGACAGCTTTCCTCCGGATACCAGCAGCCAAGCTCCCCAAGAACTCTTGAAGGATGTCCTTAGAGCCTGGCGCGACGTCGCCAGGGTAGAGAAGGGAACCAACGCAATACTCGAAGAAATCGCCACAAAGTACGATAACGACGATCTTTTGGGCGAGGTCCTCAACGTCTGGAACAAAGAGGCCCGCAACAAGACGAGGCACAATGGCTCCTGTGAATTGCAAGATGACAGCAGCATTCTAGAAGAGATTGCCGCACTCGCCCTCGATTCAGACTCACCAGGGGAACTAGAAGAATCGGCCCCATCCACTCCAATGCCGCGTAGCGCACTCCGGCCGTATTATGCTCAGAGGGTATGTCTCTCCCATTGCAGACCCAATCATTCCCTTTCAGAGCTGACTGGCAATAGGGCTCCATAGTTGAGGAAGGGATCCCGAGTAATGAGACGTTACCATCAACGCCACGTCGGTTCTCGGCCAGCGGTTCGCCCACAGAAGCCATAAACACTCCTGTCATATCCAGTCAGGTATGTCCGACGCAGATATGGCCGCCAGTGCCCAATCCTGTCAAAGCTGACTTTGGCCCCAGATCTCCCATGGTCCTGCGCCTCCGCCGTTGCTCAGGGGTTCATTGTTGCAAATATACAATGACTCGCTGCCGGCGGCCATACAGCCACAGACGCCCCAGAATCTGCCGGAAGCGCGTCATCAAAGCCGTCTGCATGGATCTTACACTGCCCCTCCACGCCGTCGGTCACCGCAGCCGACCTGGACGCCAATGGCGAGCCGGCGACGGCGTGTTCTGGGAAGAGAGCCTAGCCCCCTGGGGCTACGGACACCGGGTTTCATGGGCCTGTATGGTGGCATCGAGAATATGGACGACGCCATCCTCTATGAGGAAGCGATCAGAAGGTCGGATTCCAGATCTCCGCTGGCTTGGCAGTCGGATTAGCCATCGTGCAAATTAGTTGGTTACTCTTCCTAACAATAATCGTGATGCCTCGGTATTGTACAATACACTTTACATATGTCGTTGATACGGATGTATCGGATACGTGCAATGAGGAGTGCCACACTTCATGTCACCACATTCACAGCGATAATGAATTGCGTATTCCTTCAACATTCATTCCAGAAGTAGCACCAGAACTCCAAGTCTAGGGTATAAACCGTCCCAGACACCAGCCTATGCCAAAACTGACCCAGACCTCCCAGACGCCCAATACCCGGTCATCCCAATCATCCCATGCTATGTCCCTTTCGATCATGTAAGGCCTCAAACCCTATGAGAAACGCCAGCCAATCCAAATCCAACGCAAATGCTACATCATAATGCTCATCAAATAATAATGCCCGTCGTCGTAACTGCAGCGGAATATTGGGTACTATCTGTACCCATCCTCGGCCGAGTCCTCCATGATGTCGGCAAATGTCCCTCCCAACCTCGACGCTCCTCTGATGCTATACCGCGCCCTCAGCTCCCGCTCATACGGCGAGGGAAGGACAGCCGACGGTGTGGTTGTGCTGCTGGGGCGGTATCCAAGGGGTCTCGCGCTGCCGGTCCATTTGGTCGGGGTGCTCATGAAACCTGGATCGTTGGATTCTGCGTCGGGATGGAACGATTCCTCGTCAAACTCGGCCATGGGGCCCAGTTGAACGGAGGAGCGTCCGGTGGCTGCCGTGGTGGCGGTGCTGAATCGTACCGAGTTGTCTGTAGGGAGATTAAACAACTGGCTTGCTGTGGGACCGCCGCCGCCGGCTATCGAAGACTGCAAAGCCAGTTGCTGGCGGATGCTCCGGCGAGAGATGGTGCTGTTCAAGCGTGGATCGATCCTTGCTGCCGCCGCTTCCGGGACGGCCTTTCTCTGCCACTCGCTGAGAAGCGAAGAGCACATTCGCCTATCGTTCTTCTCCTGCACTGTGGCAGCCATGTTCCTCCTGCTTTCCTGCTGGAGGGTCTGGAACTCCCACTTTTCCATGCAGGCCGCACGTGTCTTCTCCGCGTCGTAGTCTATGGCGTCTTGCATGTTCTCCTGTTCTTCGAGCAGACGGCTTTGCCATTTTCCACAATAAACCTCAAGTTCCGCATCCGCGGCGATCTGTCGGATTTCCTGCGCGCGATTCGCCGTATCTTTCCAGTAATCGAGGCAGTCGTTTATGTCCTCTCTTTTGTAGTGGACAGCGATGTTGTATGCCTCATTGCCATCGCTGATAGCATCTGCAGTGGCTGATAACCACTTGCTGAGGCAAGTTTGGGCGAGTTCAACCTTGTACTCGTACCTAAACTTGCGGAGCTTGCTCATCATTTTGGCCCTTCGAGTTGTTTCTGCGATGGTTGGCCAGTCGTCCAGCACACTCAATACCAGGGCTCTGTCTCTGTGTTGGTCGGCCTTTCTCCTTAGGTAGGCGTCCTGGGACGCCTTCTCCTGGGTACTTAGCCGCCAATGGGTCAGGCAGGGTGTGGTCGTTCGATACAAACACACGAGATTAGCATTTTGCGTTTGAATAGCCATTCTCTCCGTCTCCTCGAGCCAGGTATCCATAACCCCAATTTTGCAATAGTAACCGGAGACAAGATCTGCTTCTTGTTCGCAGCGAAGCCGTTGGCTTCGTGTTTGTTTGGCTGCCGAGAAAAATGAGGCCAGCACCTGCTTTTTGGTCCTGTTCTCATCATGTCGCCTGTACCAAGCGAGCTTTTCCTCTAGGGCCCAGTGGTCCATGACCGCCTGTTTGGTCTGCGCCTCATCGCGCCGGACAAAGAGCTTGAGCTTGGTCTCACGTTCCCAGTGCTCTGCAGGTTCCTTAACCATGAAGGCGTCTGCAAGTGCCGTGTTGCGTCTTGCTTCATGGAGAGCCGTGAGCCAGGTTTGGAAAACACTGTTCTTCGCATCCTCCTCCTGTTTGGCTCGATACTGCTTAAGTACCTTTGACAGTTTGGCTTGCTCCTGCCAATCTGTCAAGGTCCTCTGACAACCTTGGATTAGAAACAATTGAGTCCGTACGTAGGCATCGTACTGGTGCTCAATGGTCTCTTCGTGCCAAACATTGACTGCCTCGTCCAGGCAGAGTCTTTCATCAATTACGCTGGCGAGGTGATGGTTTTCCTGGTTTTCCCTGGCTCTGGCGGCCCACGTGTCCAAACATTCTTCGGCCAGGCCCGAAAGATAAAAGTCATCCGCGATGCCCTCTTTGGTTTTGACCAGCATCGCAGTCAAGGCGTCGGCGCTGAGGTTCTGCTCGGCCCAATTGGCGGCGACCTGGTGCCGTACTTGGTTATGCAGCGTCGCCTGACCCCACTTTTTGAGGGTATTAGAGAGAATGAAGTTTTGGACCTTCGCCTCGTCTTCGACATGCTGTATATGCCACCTCCCGAACGCCCGCTTTCTCACAATATGCCTACGTGCCACTGCTGTCCGCTCCACCTCCTCTTTAGCACGGTCTTTCCAGTGCGACAACACATTGCGAGCAGTGAATATTTCGTAGGCCCTGGTGGCCCGCCTCTCCATTCTCGCAACATAGGCCGCGTGCTTAGCGACAGCCTCCGCTTCAAGCCTCAGTTGCTTGGCGTCGAGAGCCTCTTGGTTCCAGATCTCAAGGACCTCGCCCAGAAGATCATCATTGTCGTACTTGGTAGCGACAGCCTCGGCTTCCAGCCTTCGTTGCTTGCTGTCGAAGGTTTCTTGGCGCCAAGTTTCGACGACCTCCCTCAACAATTCTTGGGTATTCCGCTGCTTTAGCAGCTCCAACTTTTCCTCCAAGGCCTGAATTTCCGCAGCCCGACGCTCTTGATCCCGCAGTGAATGCGGATGATCGACCGGGGTGGGCACTGTAGTGTCGCTAGAACGACGCGCGCGGTTGGAGAAGCGCACAGGAATACCACGAGTTGGTTCATCGGTGACTGTGGACACAGTCGGCTGCTCAGCAGAACTATGGCGTCGCAGGCGGTGTGGGCCGGATCCGATGCCAGTGTTATGGCTGTGGTCATCCACCACGAGAGACGTCGTATTAGACAGAGATTCGTCCGAGACAATCTCTAAGCGAATGCCCATGCCTTCGAGAACAGCCGTGAGCTTGTCGGCGAGCGTTTCGCCCGAGCGTTGGCCTCCAATTTTGAAGAGCAGGCGAGAGATGTGCGACGGCACATCTTCCGGATCAATGCCATACTGGGGTAAAACGATCTCGGCCGCTAAAAAGAGAGCGTTGGTCGCGAGGCGCTCTCTTTCCGGGAGCGTGGGTAATAGTTCCTCTGCCGAGGTAACAATCGCATGAATTACTGCAATGTCTGAAAATGATGCAGTTAGCAGGTGCAGCCTTGCACGTACAACCAGATGTGGAACACGCTCACCCTCGTCAGTGTACTGGGAATTGCTGGAGAAAAACGAGGAGGAGGAGAGATTGGCCCGGCCATCTTGGCGGGGCGGTGACGATTGATGCGGCATGAAAGGAAGCTCCGTGCATGTTAAACTTGGAACCCAAGCAGCAGCGACTATCGAAGCGTGAACAGAAGAAATGCGCGGAACAGAGGTGCAGAGATCGTGAAAGCCGGTGGCGAGGGAGTGGAGCTGGCTTTGTTGACAAAGGTGAGGAACGCAGACCGCGCCGAGGCATGAAGCATTACCGCGTACGGATGGTGTATGCACAATGGAAAGTGGAAGGCTGGGCCCCACCTCCGCCTTGCATCTTGGCAAGAGCGGCCCGCCCCGCATAATGCACCAAGCATGCCAGCACAATGGGCCTATAACGTTATCCACTAACTTCGTAGTAATGAATTACCGCTAATACTCAGCCGATTTGGAAATACGACGCTACTCCATCCAAGCCCGGCCCGCCTTACTATTGGCCACATCGTGACCGTGTACGTCGCTTACGTCAGTACAGGCCACAGGCATGTTCAGTCAGCCAACTTTGCTTACAGACGACATCAATCTCGCCTAAATTGCCTAGAGCATTTTGACGCATTTAACAGGCGAATACAGCTTTAATAACGCAGTCAAATTGAGGTTGAATGGTGGCTAGACACGGGGGCCTGGGAAAAGTCAAAGAATTGGGGTTAGGGTTTAGGGTCCTAGCTGACTATAAGCGAGATGCAGCGTCACGATGTGGCCAATAGTAAGGGCAAGCCGGGCTTGAATTGAGTAGCGTCGTATTTCCAAATCGGCTGAGTATTAGCGGTATATTGTCTAAGTTCATAAGCAAGGACTTTGGGATCACTTCGTATGCTCGTCATCAACCAGAGTTCTGAGACCAACGGGGGGCGGCTTTGGTTGTCAACGAAACAAGATGCAGCCAAAGCCTCGACCGATCCAGCGTTTCGCCCAAGCCGTATCAAAATGTTCTGCTGAGGTAGGTCCAGCGACTCTCCTCAATTTTTCAATTCTACTCATTCATGAGCATCAAGTCTTCACATGATGCTGACATCATGCTGCCTAGGCTGCCGTCTACGGCAAGTGCATCGTTGCCGATTACAATTCTGTGCACAAAGACAAGTGCGCCCAAGAGTTTTTGAAGCTCAAAAATTGCTATCTGGTAGGCTAGCTTCTGTCACTCAGTGTATATACGTGAAACACCGGCACCTTCTTACACGACCATAGCAGGCAGCAGGGAAAGGTTCCAGGTGAAGAGAGGGAGAGGGACACACCCCAGGGCTCTTATCTCTATTCTCTCGGTCGCTCTCAACTGTACATGGACGCTCAAACTTTTGCTGCACCAGAGTAGATCTATCTATCTACGTACCAACACTACCAGCCCTTCCTAAAGTTTGAGAAGCCGCAGCAGGAAGGTAGCCTTGTGCACTTCCTGCTCCTCCTCGGCAATGATTCCCTCCTCCTTCCCATTCGGCGCCGGAGCCTGGCCAACTTGGCCATCCAGATGCGTCACCTCGTGCTTATCCAGCGGTCTCCGCAGTGCCCTGGAAATGGTCTCTGCGTGAGACTCAAACACGCCCTCGATGCCAGTTTCCTCGGGATCGGACATAACCTTGTACTCCATCTTGACGTCGTCTGTCGGCTGCAGGCCGGCCTTCTTCCGGAGTCGTTGCACGCGATTGATGATCTCGCGCGCAAGGCCCTCCTCGGCGAGCCCTGGGTAGATCTCCACATCGAGGATGGTAAGGACATCATTGTCCGTGTTCGTCTCAAGGTTCCGAGACTCATTGTTCTCCCTCAGGCCGCGCTTGACTACCAAATCCCCTTCCTCAAGCGTGATGCCGTCGACCACAAGCCTGCCGTTAAGAGCGTAGCTATGCGCCTCTTCGCTGGTGACATTCGGCAAAGCCTTCTTGACCCTAGCCATATCCTTCTTCAACTTCTTGCCAAGCACAGGCCAGTCGGCCGTAACACTGTACTCAACTCCGAACCTCGCCTCATCAGACGTAAGCACCAGGTCGCGAACGTTGAGCTCCTCGGTGATGTAGCCCTGTAGTGATCGGATATCCTCGAGATACTGAGGATCATGGTGGATGACGACGAGTGTCCTTAGCGGCTGCTTCAAGCCGACCCCACGTCTTTCACGAGAGTACCTGGCCAGCTCAATTACCTTCTGCATCCGCTGCACGCGCCGCTCAATGTCGACGTTGAAGAGCTCCTGCCGAACTTGGGGGTAGGGCAGGAAGTGGACGCTACGAGAATCTTCGCCTAGGAGCTCTTTAGGGATGTGTGGGAGCAGCCTAAGGTAGATGTTGTCCGTGAGGAAGGGCGTAAAGGGTGCAAGACCGCGGCACAACGTAAACAGAACCTCGAATAGCGTGTTGAGGGCGTGCAGGGTGTCATCCAAGCCATTCTCGCCCTTGAGGCGCTTTCGATTGAAACGAATGTACCAGTTCGTTGTGTTGTCGATCAGTTCGAGGAGTCTGGGCACGACCGTATACAGCCGGTAACCTGCAATTGCGGTTAGCACTTGCGGACACGTATGAGGACATCGGCAACCAACCTTCCATCTCCTCATTGACAAACTTGAGAAGACTCTGGCAGCTGGCCAGAATCCACTTGTCCATTACGTTCGTATTCGAGGACTCCATATGCGGGTCAAACTTGTAATCGACGTTCTCCACCTTCTTGAGCAGAGCGACTTGTCCTTCAAAGAACTTGTAACTGTTCCAGAGAGGGAGAAGAACCTTGGCTACAACTTCCTTGACTCCCGATTCCTTGAACCGAAGCGGCTCGGCCCTGACGACAGGAGAGTTGATGAGGTACAGGCGAAGAGCGTCCGAGCCGTACTTGGCCATGACAATACTGGGGTCGGGGTAGTTCTTGAGTCGCTTCGACATCTTCTTGCCATCCTCAGCCAGCACAATGCCGTTGACGACACAGTTCTTGAAGGGCGAGACGCCAAAGAGATGTGTACCGAGGACTAGGAGGGTGTAGAACCAGCCTCTTGTTTGGTCCAAACCTTCGGCGATGAAGTCACCGGGGAACGACTTCTCAAATTCGTCACGATTCTCGAAGGGGTAGTGTTTGCTGGCGTATGGCATGCTCCCAGACTCGAACCAACAGTCAAAGACCTCCTCTACCCGCCTCAGGGAGCCTTTGCCCTTCCTGCTAGGAATCGTAATGTGGTCGATCTTGTCACGATGAAGGTCGGTAATCTCGCCTTCGTAACCGCTAAGTTCCTTGAGCTCGGCGATGCTTCCAACACAGATGCGCTCTTCCATGTCCTCACTCACCCATAGCGGGATCGGTGTACCCCAATACCTGTTCCGCGAAACGTTCCAGTCGCGAGCATTGGCGATCCAGCTAGCAAAGCGCTTCTCCTTGACGAACGAAGGAACCCAATGTGACCCCTCGATATTTTCAAGCATCTGGGGGATGACTTCGGGAATGCGCACGAACCAAGAGGGCACCGCTTTGTAGATTAGGGGCGTGTCCGAGCGATAGCACATGGGATATGAGTGCTTGAGCTGGGACTCAACGACCAGTCTCCCAGCATCCCTCAGATGTCTGATGATGTGCTTGTCGGCCTCCTTGACGTGCATACCAGCAAAATCAGACACCTTGCTGGTAAAACAACCAGATTCATCCACGGGGTCGGGCGGCGGGCGCTGCTCGGTTACGATACCGTACTCAACAGCGACGTTGTAGTCCTCCTCACCAAACGCCGGGGCTTGGTGTACAATGCCCGTACCGCTGTCATCGGTGACGTACGTTGCGTTGAGCAACCGAAATGCAATATCCCTGTATTCCTCGTAGAAGTAGTTGAACGGTGGCTCATACCGCCAGCCGAGCATTTCCTTGCCCTTGAGCTTCCCCAACACCTGAAACTTGGCTTTCTTGGGGTCTTTGTACAAGGTCCCAAGGAGCTTCTCCAAGAGGATGTAGTTTTGTCCCGACTTCTCGTCGTGGATCTTGACGTAGTCGAAATCCGGGTGCGCCGATAGTCCAGTATGGGAGGGCAAGGTCCATGGTGTTGTTGTCCAGGCCAGGAAGCTGGTCTTGGGGTCGTCGAGTAGGGGAAAGGAAACGACGACGGCAGGGTCTGTCACGTCTTGGTAATTCTGGTTGGCCTCGAAGTTACTCAATGCTGTGGTGAGGGCGGTAGAGTACGGCATCACCCGGTACCCCTGATATACTTGGCCCTTGTCAAAGAGCTGCTTGAACACCCACCACTCCGATTCCATGAAGGTGGGGTCCATGGTCTATGCCATCAGCTTGAGCCCGAGTTTGATGACCTCCTCAAAGAACACACCTTGTAGTCGTTGTCAAAGTCAATCCAACGCCCCAGGCGCTCAATGGTGCTCCTCCACTCATCGCGGTACCGCATCACAATGGATCGGCACTCGGCATTGTACTTTTCCAAGCCTAGCTGCATGACAGCAGCTTTGCCAGAAATGCCCAGCTTCTTGTCGATTTCATGTTCAATTGGCAGTCCGTGGGTATCCCAGCCAAAGCGACGCTCGACGTGGTAGCCCTTCATGGACCAGTATCTCGGGATGATGTCTTTGATGGTTGAGGCGAGGAGATGGCCGTAGTGAGGGAGGCCGGTCGCGAACGGAGGGCCATCGTAGAAGGTGTAGTTCGGTCTCCCTTTCGATAATTCGACCTGGTAGCAAAGTCAATAACCAGTCGCATAAGGTCTGGAATAAATGTGGCGGTCGTCACGTACCTGCCGCTCAAAGGCGTTGATCTCGCGCCATCTGGCGATGATAGCCTCCTCCTCCTTGGGAAAATCGATAGACATGGTGCCAATTCGGCGATGAACAGTGGCTGCGGCGGTTCAACAAAAAAACAAGTTGGTGTTGTTATGGAGTTTGCAATCAGCCCAGAAACGAGTCGTTGGTCTGTACTTGGCGTGGTTGGGCCTGACCTTCTCACTCCACCCAAACCCAGCCTTCAGTGAACAAAATTTGGCTGTGCGTGACTCAACGCAAGTCGCAGATCGGTCTCGGGATGGAGGGGTGAGGGAGAGGGGTTGCGGGGTTTTGCCGGTGTAATCATTGTTACCGCCTAACAGAAGAGGCCGCTTCACCGCCTTTGCGCACAGACGCTTGTTCGGGGCTTAACGTGCGTTACGTTACAGAAGTGAAATTTCAATACAATCCATCGTTACGGTACCTCGACGCTCCCCGGACCCACCCCGATTCCAGGGGTAATTTGTTAGCGCTTCGAGAATGCAATTGAGTGCATCTCATTGTTCGAGCTCTCTCCTCTTATCCTGCTCTCAGGCTATGCGGATTGCGCTTGTCCTTTCTCAAGTGTTCTAGTACCAGTGACAGCTCGCAATAACATATTGAGTAACATTAGTTTCCTCAACCTTCTCAATGAAATCTAGGTGATAAATAAACTTGATATTTCGTTCCACAATTCTCATGAGGAATAGGCGGTTGCTCGCGTGCTCCTTGAAACAAAAGAGTGCACTCTGAACACAACCTTTGAGCTTCTCCTCATAAACATAAAGGCCACATCGATTGCAACCTATTCAACAGGGTATCCTCGAGTAAAACACAGCGCTCCATCCGTTCGTTACATCAAGTCATCGTATATATCGTAGTGAATCATCGAACCACCAGCCGCCAACCGACATTCGCCCAGGAGAGGATATGACAGAACACCAGGTCCCACCATCCTCCTCAGCCCAGTCTCCCAAATGACAGACCACCAGGTATAAACAACGCCACAGTGCTTGGCCTTTAAGAAAACCAAGCATTACCTTCCTCCTCTCCTCTCCGATGCCACCAACCAAGTTTCAATCATAAACCGCCCACGGCAAGTCCCTATCCCCCACCGTGGTACAGGTCAAATACCCAATGGACCCGGCGCCATGGCTCACGTCCAGCTCGAGCCTGCTGCCCATCAAGGGGCGGACCACCTCGCGCGCCATGGCCTTGAGCTCGTCGATCCGCTTCTCAAACCGCCGAAGATTGTCCCGGCTGTACAGGTCGGGCGTGAGCTTCAGGAAGCGCTTGCACTCGTCATGACCGAGGTATCCCTTGCTGTCCGACCCCGGCGCGGCCCCGAGCAAGCGGTACGTCCTCCCCAGCGAGGCCAGCGGCGGGACGGGAGCGGCCATGGCATTCGAAGCGCCGTTGCCGCCGCCCGCCGAGCGGCCGTTCGCACCACCACCTCCTGCTGCGCTAGCGCCGCTGCCGCTGCTAGTGCTGCCCCTGCGGCCACGCGACCCGGCGGCATCGCGGTGCGCCCTGCGCTCCGGCACGGCCGGTATTGGCGGGGTGGTGTTCTCGGCGAGCCACTGGCGGAAGAGGCTGACCGCGAGCCAGTCGAGGTAGTTTGTCGCGGGGCCGACGCGCTCGCCTGAGCGGTTTGTTAAAGTGAGGCGGAAGAGGCGCGCCTCGATACGGCTGACGGTTTCTTCCAGCTCGTCAACCTTGTCCTCGATGATGTCGAGTACCGTTTCGGGCAGAGCGGCGCGGATCGACCGTTCGCCTGCCGGCCATTGACCGACGACGTGGATTAGCGCTTCTTGGAAGATGACTTTGGACCGGGCGAGGTAGCCGAGCCGAAGGTAGCTTATGGGGTACTTGGCGATCTGCTTCCAGAGGCGGGACTGGAATTGGAGGAGATGATGGTCGACACGCGGACCGACCACGGCAAGGGCGTCGTACTGGTCTGCCAATGCGAGAAGCGACTTGCACTGCACGTAGGCATCGGCAATATTGACGCCGTCGAGATAAGGTGGGTAGTTGTACATGATACGGAAGAGGTTGTCGTAATCTCGTAATAAATCCTGCTCTGCTTGAGTTGGTGGAGGTAAGGGCGGCGGATGTGTCGCAGAGAGACTCAGATTGGCTACTGAGCGGAAAAATGAGTGGGAACCCGATTTGTGATGATGGTGCCGGCTTGAAGAAGAGCTGGGTGCAGGGCCGCCAAAGACTGAACGCCCTGACGGCGGCGGACTGCTGGTCTCCTCTTTCTGCACCAGCATCGGTATGTCATTGTCCCCCGCTCCCCAGTCGAGCTCGTATCTCCATCGTTTCTTGATGTTCGCCAATGCCGTGGCCGAATGCTTGCTCCCCCCGTCGCTGCTCCCCGTGCGGTCGTCTATCCGTGCCAGCTCTCCACCGGTTGGGCTCTTCGCCGCCTCTATCGCGCCGGCCGTTCCAGGTGCCGGCAATTCCGGTACTGCTTGCGCGCGCGACCATTCATTGCTGGTGCTGGCCTCGAAGAAACCGGAACAGCGAGTGAGGTTGTGCCGGTGCAGGAGATAGCGATTTTCATGCCCAGATGGGACGCGCACAATAATCTCGACATCGCCGCTGTGGCTGAACACAGGGAACTCATTCTGGGGTACGAAAGCGCTGCCGCCGGCATGTGAACGGTTGTAGCGGCGGGAGCGAGAGGAGACGTGCAGGCCTTCCCTCTGGCCGCTGCCGCTGCCACCAACGATGCCGACGACAGACGAAGGCCCCCGTAGCGCCAGCGACGTTGACCCGTCGCCGTGATGCGACACCATGAATGCTGGAGGCTCGGCTGCCACGCCCTGGGAAGAACCCTTTCGTCTCGTCCGATCGTTTCGCCTTCGAATTTGTTCTGGCACGACTGGAACTGGCTCCCTCCAAGGCACAACGAACCCGAAGGGGCAGGTTTGACAGCTGGCAACTGACCGGCAGAGCTGATGTCGTACGAGGAGGGGTCACTGCATCACAAGATGCCCCCCGAATGCGGTCCAAACAATTGCTCGGTTGCGATAACAGAGGCTCGCCTGACGGAAGTTTGAGTGATCGAAGCAAAGGTTTTGTGCAGTAGAGTGAACTTTCAGTCGACGAAAAGAAAATCTCAAGCTTGTGACTCGGGCGAGGCTGTGTCCCGGCTGCGAACGGCAAACGGGGAGCTGTCTGTCAGCTGTCCCGCTGCTTTTGCCACTCCGCAACCAAACTCGGCAGGTAAGGGCTACCAGTCTTGTAGCTTGCTGCCAGCAACGATTGGTGTCTGAGGTCCGGCTTGTGTTGCAGACGATTGAGCCTAATGAACAACCATAGGTGACAGCAATAAAATGTAGACAGGGAAAGGACGTGAAACAGGCGGAAGTAGTTATGGATGAAGTTTTTTCGAGGAGAATGAGGAGAACAGTGAATCAACTAACAGGGTCGGTTGGCAGGAATACAAGGCAGAGAATGCCAGAAGCATCACTGCATGCCGCGTCCACGTTACCAAGTCGCGAGGCAAGCTTCCTGGTATCGCGTCTCATGCGCCCCGCCTACACGGTGCGGTCCCATCTTTGCGGTCTGTGTCACTGTTATCGACTCGTTTGGATTGCGATTGGGTTCCCGCTCAGCGCCTGGTCTGTTTCCGGCGAAAGCGGATGATCCGACTTTGATCCATTGCTATACTTATCTTCTGCTTGCAGTGACTGGAATGAAGCCGACTCTTGTGCATCAGTTCGGGTTGGTTCGGACGGGAGCGGGTCCCAGAACCACATGAGTAGCAACTGACTTTACAGTTTACATGCGTAACAGGACAAAGCTGGCTTGTCATCCTCTTGAAGCAGTGAGACCTTTTTGATCATTCGTGTATTGATCAAGTCCAAATTGCTTCTAATAGTACAGTATCAACACGCAACCCTTCGCCCATTCCAATATTCTCCTAGAAAAGCCAGATTACCTTTTTGATCCGTGAAAATCTCCCATGTTCCTGAAATCCTTGCATACCAGATAAGTCGAGGTGTGTTGACGCTGCCAGTTCAACGCCATACCGGCCACTGGCGACTCAGCAAATCACCGCAAGGCAAACACCCGCCATTAACGCCAAAATCAAATCGCAAAGCCGCTCAGCTCATGTCCATTTCGACTGAGGCGAGGGGATTGGTGTGCGCAAAAACTCCGGGTGTCGAGTCCAGAGGCTTGGGCGACTCGGAGGCATCCATGGTATCGAGACCGTCAAAGACAGGTGGAGAGGATTTCAGGTTGCTGAGGGCTCTTTCGGGAGTTCGACTCAAAAGCCGGCCTTGTCGTAGATTTTCGGCAAAGAGGAAGTATCCTTCATTCGCTTCGACTAGATATGATTGGAGGCCACGGCTTTCCAACAAGATCTTGACGTTGGTAACAGGGTAGTGATTCTCGATATAGCGGGCCCAGCCGCGGGCGGCGGCTTCGATGTGTTCGCTGATTCGGCTCCAGCCAACGCCGAGATGGAGGGTGAACTCGTCCACAATTGGTTGCGCAATGGAATCTGAAGAGGCCGACAATGGGTTGGTCGCCTCACGGGTGGGGCTGGAGCGGCGGCTCGGGGATCTGCCATCAGTGTTTGCGGCTGTCGTCATGTCTAGTCGCTGAGATTTGTGGCTTCTCAAGGACGGCCGAGACTGGGCCAATTGCTGTTGGGCTAGAAGAGCGGCTTCAGCTTTGCGCGCTTCTTCCTTGGCTGCACGTTCTTCGACCCATGTGCCCGACTGGCTACTGGCATCTGCGATGTATCCGGTGCTTTTCTTGATGAGCGTCATGCCGGGGCCGTAGATCCATTCATCCTCAGGTTCTTTGATGACAGGGGCCTCAACCAGCTTTTCGGGAGGGTCAAGGTTGACTGATGCCTCATCCCTGGACCGCTTGCGCCCGGCAACAGAGGAGCTTCGAACGAGGTGCGCTGGCCATGAGACTGGCTGGCTGAGAGACATGGCTTGGTGCTGCTGGAAGGATTTGCCGAGCGGAACCTGATGAGCAACCTGCGGCGGCATGGCGAGAACTGGCGATGACGCGTAAATGCGATCAAACGACGGCATGGTGAAGAGCAATCTGTGGGAGCACCTAGATGAGTGAAAGTGTTGGGTTAGATGCGTATGAAGCGACACTAGTCAGCTCAACGCGTGTCAATGGGTGCAACTATTTCGCGACGAGAGCCGCGTGACGTGGGAGGGATGGGAAAGTTCAAGTAAGCAACGTGTGGCCGGAGGAAGGAAAGGAATTGGCCAAAGAGGAGGCCGGCGAGTTCGATCCGATGGAATTGAGAGGGACGAGATGGTATCCTTAATGGAGGTGCGTGCCAGTGGGAGGAGGGTCGCCAACACTGGTGTAGTACGTGACGACGACGACGTGATGGTTGAAGGCGAAGGCGATGAGGTCTAGGCAGGTGGCCCGAACGATGGTCAGGATGGTGGAAACGAAGTTGGGGAGAATTGGAGATGGTGTGTGTGTTTAGAGATTGTATGGGGGAAGTGGGAGGAGTGAGGGAAAAGAAGAGAGGGAAGGGAAAGGCAGAGAGGGAAGTGGCCGACGAGACAAGACGCATGAGGAGACTGCCGTGCAGCAGGGCCATGCGAGAGAGCTGCGAGGCAGACAAAAAGGTATCGGGGAGTTGGAGCTGCGGATGAATCGCAGGGAAAGCGCGCTGTAACACCTCATTGGTTCGGGTTCTGAGTGGGGCCTTGGCCCACAGCTCTTTTTCTGATTGGCGATCCTGGTTTCCTAGCAGTTTGAGCGCGGCGGGATGTGCCAAGGTCTCCGTATGTGGTTAGCCCAAACCGGTTGTTGCCCATTGGTTGTCCGGCGCACAGCTGCCTCCGTGATGATCTGAGCTTCTCGGAGTGACCGGCAGCCTCACCATCTTCCTGTCCGCCAATGTCATTCGCCGGCTCCAAATGATTCTGCAGATAAATCATCCCCACTCTTCATTCATCATTGTCCTACAGCAAGAACTCTCACGTGCCGTTCGTTGTTCCATCCTATGTTTCGCTGAGTGTTGGCATTCATCTCAGAGACTGGCCTAAGGAGGTCAGGATATCATCATCTATCGGGTGCCCAAGAATGTATCCTAGGTTAGGTAAGGTATATAGCACGACATATGTCTGTATGAATATTATTCCCTCTACAAACCTCCTGGATTGCCTTTGAGTCTGAGCACAAGCACAGAGAGCAAGTGAAACACAGTATTCGCCTCCAACTGGCATGGGTTTGCTGGCAAATACCCGACTGAATTCTAATCAAACAACCTGAATAACTTACCCTGATTCCCTCCTTAATCGAAGCAAGTACTTTTATATTACCGGCACAGCAAAGAGTCTCGACCAGGCATGTGGTGGTATATCAGATACTTGCAATCTGCCCCTAGACCAAGCGTCCCACAAGCAAAAGATCGAGGAAATACAGCAGGCTACATAGCTCGGCTAGGTAGTCTACGTACAATACTCTATGCCCACATAAAACAATCGCTTGCCGTATCTTATCCAAGTATCTGCAAAATGTCAATCTGGGAACTGGAAGGGATGATACATTTGCAGGAGATATAATTACGAAAATCTGTCGTTCACGGCAAGACTGTGGAAGGTTCGGCGCTGAGTAAGATGGGACTCTTCTTGGAATGAACGAGGTGCCCTCGTTCAATTGGTCCACCTGACTCCACTAGCGCCATTCCAGTTAGGCAGGTGGTGAGGCGGATTCTGCCAGGGCTGCACCAGTTTCCAAAACCCACAAATTTGCGTTTATTCTTCGCTTCCTCAAGATCACGGCGATCAACCACTTGACACCTTGTCCTCCGTCAATTCCATCAATCACAATGGCCAAGGTCCGCTCCAGTGAGTATCTTCCAGAATTACTCTTTATGATATTCTGATCTAACGATCGCGTTTCCATAGCCGTTTCGTCGTCGAGGCGCAAGTCTCGCAAGGCCCACTTCAGCGCGCCTTCGAGCGTTCGCCGCGATATCATGAGCGCTCCGCTCAGCAAGGAGCTCCGTGAGAAGTACAATGTATGTTGAGGTGTAGACCTTATGTCACTTCATTTCGCTTCAAGTTCGAGCTGACATGCGGTTACTTTGACAGGTCCGGAGCATTCCTATCCGCAAGGACGACGAGGTCCAGATCGTCCGTGGCATGAACAAGGACAAGGAGGGCAAGGTCACGTCGGTGTACCGCCTCAAATACGTCATCCACGTCGAGCGCGTCACCCGGGAGAAGGCCACGGGCGCCAGCGTGCCCCTCGGCATCCACCCCAGCAACGTCGTCATCACCAAGCTCAAGCTCGACAAGGACCGTGAGAACATCCTCGCTCGCATCCGGGCCGGTCGTGAGCAGGCTGTCAAGGCCAAGGGCAAGTCCAAGGCTTGAGGTGCTGAGGTCAGGTGGAGGGAATAAAAGTAAAACCTTGACGACAAAACGAAAAAGGGGACTCGATTCGAACTATGACGGCGATAAAATACCCCACCATTGCTCCTCGTTGAGCGCTCACCCCGGTTCGGCGCTGGCGTCTTTTGCGGCTTCGGTATTTTACGGTTGCATATATCTTGATGGTTTTTCTGCCATCCGGCGGTGCGGGCGGGACGGACTCGGGGATCTAGATGCAGTCAACGAAATCGAGACTTTGTTCTCAATGGCCGTTTCACAATGCCAGTCGCTCTGCGCTTGCTGTGAAATGCTCCATGGGAGGTGCTCCCGAAGCCTATGCCTCAACGAGCAGTTGCTGCTCAGAGGCCATGTTTTTGGACTGCCGTTGACTTTGTGTGACAGTCGCGATGCACTAACCATGACAGAGCGTAAGCACGTCGCGAGATATGTGACGTGGGAGCTGGGGCTTCATGTCTATCCCTTGGGCCTCGACAAGTGTAAAGGTAAGGACGCATCCGCCAGGTTATCTCCGCGTTAACCACTTAGACCCATGGTTCTCGAGGTATACGACTGGCGAAGAGCAAACCGGCATGGGGGAAATCACCAGTTCCCCCTTGCTCTCGCCTGCAGACTTCCATGGAGATTTGTTTTTCTATGAGAATGGGAGTTTGATGGTGAGGCACATGTCGAGCGTATCCGTAACCGGCTGCAGATGAGGATTGGTTAGTCAGGGATGCCCTATTCGGCTTTTGCGGTAGGTATTATGAATCCAAAGCAGTATAAGGATAGTTGCAATGCCTTCAGTGGACGTTGCTCTTCATAGGTAGCTAGGTATGAATTTGCCTAGACCCCAGGATTGCTGTTTTGGCCTTGGTCAAGAGTTGAAGTGTAGCTGGTTGCCAGGGCACTTTCCACCACAACAACCTTGTTCGGTGATGGCATAATCCCCCACTTCACTTCTTGCGCCTAGCGTTAACAGTCGTGAGATTAGAACTGGTTCGGTGGTAACGGCATGCATGCACTTTTCTAGTGTCCGACGAGCTTGTCTGCGGCTGTTGGACTTGCATCCTTTCAAACTCGTCGTCGTGCGAATTAACTCTTCGCCAAGGGCGGCTGGTACCGATCCCTTCGCTCTTTAAGTTTCGATCCGCTCCCTCTTAGCTCGAGACGATCACCCGCTCGACGCCGCCCGCTCGCGCAGCCAACGCTGGGCAAGATGTCCTTCTTGTTTGGCCGAGCCCGCACAAGGACGAATGCGACCGATCTTGCCAAACAGGCAAAAGACCATGTCACAAAACTTGAGGGACCAGCGGGCGCCGCAAAGGTAAACAACTCGAATCGAATCCCAATGGGCCTTCATGTCATTCCCCGCTGACCCTGCACCTACCTAGGCCGAGGAGCTCGCAAAGGTGCTCTCACAGATGAAGCAGGTTCTTCAAAGTTCACATGGTACGTTCCGATTCCGATTCACAAAGATAAACAAGTTCAACCTCCCTAAACCGCCTCTGCTGACCCCGTCCTATTTACTCTTCACCAACCCGCAGAACCGGAAGCCAACCGGGACCAGATCTACCAATTGGTCATGGGCCTGATCGAAGAAGACCTCCTCTACCTCCTCGCAGCCAACCTCCACCGCTTGCCCTTCGAGTCGCGCAAGGACAGCCAGGTCATCTTCTCGTACGTCTTCCGCTTCCGTCCCGAGGCCGGGCCGCAGCGGCCCGAGCCGTTGGCCCTCGCCTACGTCGTTGAGAGGCGGCCCCAGGTGCTGGTGGAGCTGTGCAGGGGGTACGACCACAAGGAAAGCGCGACGCCCGCGGGCACCGTGCTGCGCGAGGTGCTGAAGAACGAGTCGGCCGCCAAGGTGATACTCTACGATGATGGTGATGAGCCCGGGTCGAGCGCGGGCGGCGTGGCGGCTATCGACCAGGACCGTCCACAGAGTGGGAAGGGGGTCTTTTGGAGCTTTTTTGATTGGATTGATAGAGGCTCGTTTGAGGTGGCGGCGGATGCGTTTACAACTTTTAGGGTAAGTAACGGGAGTTGAATTTGTTGTTGTTGGGTTGATTCTTCTCTCTTGGTTTTCCGGTTGTTTAAACTAACAGGCCCGCCCAGGAACTGCTCACCAAACACAAAGAGCTGGTCCCGCGGTACCTCTCGGTTAACTTTGAGCGCTTCTTCGACAAGTACAACCGGACACTAGTGCAGTCCAACAGCTACGTGACCAAGCGGCAGTCGATCAAGCTGCTGGGCGAGATTTTGCTGGACCGGTCCAACTACAACGTCATGACGGCCTACGTGGACAGGGGGGAGCACCTCAAGATATGCATGAACCTGCTGCGCGACGACCGCAAGATGGTCCAGTACGAAGGGTTCCACGTCTTCAAGGTCTTTGTGGCCAACCCGCACAAGTCGGTGCCCGTGCAAAAGATCTTGCTCATGAACAGGGAGAAGCTGCTGCACTTCCTCTCGCACTTTCTCGAGGACCGCACCGACGATGAGCAGTTCATCGACGAGCGCGAGTTCCTCATCAAGCAGATCCGCAACATGCCCCCCGCGCCCGTGCCGCCGCAGCGGTAGGCCCCTGTGAGCAGTCCCGCGCGTCGTGGGGGGTTGACTGTCATTCAGGAGGAGACGGGGAGGGGGAAGTAGCCGGCGTTGGGGGCGTAACTGATCATTGTTTTCGTTCTCTTTTCTGGGTTTGAGCGGGAAAGCAAAGCATTTTCGTGTATGGGCCATGAGCATATCCTGTGGGGGACTAGGGTTGTTATACATACGGTGCTACGACGGTTCTAATGGGACGGCTGTAGCTTGGAGGTTATACTCGGGTGGCCGAGGGGAAGCCCCTCCGCCTTTTCCAGTTTTGTCCCTTAAGATGGACAGGGGGAGAGTGGAACTTCTTAGACCAGAGCACATAAGATTTCGTAAATACTCCCTCTATGGTCGCGATGAATTTATCGCACACGTGAATGCAACAGCCAGCCTGTGGAAATCATACAGCGTCGCGATGGAGCGGGTCCGCTATGCATCCTTGTCTCGAGTTTTGCTGCTTCATCTAGGCTAGAAACGCAGTATTCATAAGTCATTCAGGTCTCATTCATGAGTTGCCTTCTGGGTATCTCTACATAACTCTCATCAAACTCGTCACAGCGGCCCGTTTCCTGTCCGCCTGCTCCACAAAGCCGAACGTGACAATTACTTTAGTGAAATCGACTCCAGTTACGCCATCGCTTGACTCTCTCCTGGGTGTCGGGGGACTCCATACAATGATCTGCCATACAATGCTCTGGGCGGATGGGTACATCAACAGCTGCTGCCGTCCAACTTCCTCTTCCTGAGGCTTTGCTTTCAATCGACAAGCATCTCACCGTCATCGGTATCGGGCATGTCTGAATCATCCAAATTGGGGTCAAAGCAGGGTTGGGACTCCCAGCCGCGAAACAGCCGAACGCGTCTCGGCTTCACCGTGTCGTCTCTCGTGCAGACTTTGGTTAAGGCGTTCCAGGTGTGCAGTTCGCCGCTGCGTGCCAGATGCACCAACTCGGCGCGCTGAGGGCTCGGCATCTCTTTGACTAATTGTTTCAGGCGTAGGCGTAGTTGGTCTATCGGGTTCTCACATTCCCACCCTTTGGCTGGTGAGGCGGGGTAGCACACCCTCGATGAGTTGAGCTTGGGGTTCACGTCAGATACTCGGCCTAGATAGAGGTTGACTGTGAGGTTTCCAACGGCGACGGGCTGATCATCAAGTGGCCAGAGAGCGGTCTGGCAAATGCACCGCAGTGTGAGGCGGAGGGTTTGGACTCTCGAGATCAGAGCCTGGATGTGAGGACAAAAGTGGATTCTCTTCCAGTCATCGTCGACTACATCGGTACCGCAGAGGTTGAGGTCGAGCGAGGTGATTTGCGTCAATACCGTCATGTACGGCTTCAGGCTCCTTATCTTGAGATAGGCTTGTTGGTAGGGGTCGCCTCTCCAGTACTTGTTCTGCCACCTCGCCGTGAAGCGCACGGTCTTGAGCTCCTTGAATTCCAACAACATCAGACAGAAGCGGCCGAGATTGGCAGATGTGTTGAATGCGCTGTAGCGCGCTGTGTTATGGGCGCACAATCCTGGAATACCGTCAAGGACAATGTTGACGCATTGTAGGCTCTTGCGGAGTAACGCCCGAGCCTTATCAAGGGATTCCGACTTGCGCATGACAAGGCGGCTGATGACCCTGGGAGTGCACTCGATGTTGCGGTAAAAGATGGGAAAGGCCAGGCTGTACCATCGTTTGCAGAGAGTCAGGCGCCGTAGGTCTTGCTGGAAGAACGAGGGAGGGAGGAATTCAAGGATGATCAACCAGATCTCTGGCGGCAGTTGCCAGTGAGGGACACGCGCAATTGCCTCTCCAGGCCGTTCTTCTATTGCGGTCCGCATGGCAAGCGGATTGCAATGAGGGACAGTGAAAAGACAGAGAGGGAAATGTGGTAGAATATAGTACTTCGAGGCTCAGAAGAGATCCGAGGCTCGGCGACTTCCCAGTTTTGCTTTGTATTCGGTACGGAACATACCAACTTGAGGCTGACTGGAGTAGGTGAGGTGGGCGGCTTATCTGCTCTCACTCAGCATTGGTCAATCTCGCATTGCTTCTCGATGCGGCCGACAACCAATCTCTTTGTCTAGTTGACCAGGCTCGGTTTTTCCTTGCAGGTGATGGCTGCCGTCAGTGGCCAGAGGTGCAGGGGACGTTGTTGCACACCGCATACTCTGTGCGACAGAGGTCAAGCATGCAGTAAATGCGGTGAATGCACCGAGCCTATGGTGTAGTCAGTTGCCCAGGCTCCGGAGGCCCGACTCTTGTTTGTTGGATTTTGATCAAGAAGAGAACTGATGATGGAGGGGTAATTTCGATAGAGAGTCGTTGAGATATTACATGTAATTACAACCTTCTGCTATCGTATTACGAATACATAAGGTAGTGGGGCATATCCAACTGAGTGTCTTGGCGATTGGCCCACTTAACTGACACCGATGACTGCAATGAGAATTTAGGGTTGGCAAGGGCGATTCGACACTCTTTGAGAGTCTAAGCAACACGATCTGAATCAACATGCTCCCATGGAGTTAGTTCACCATGAGCGAGACAGAGATGAAGATTGATCCGTCAAGAGCAAGCGCTCTTATTTCCCAAATACAGGCAGTCACCGAGAGAATCGCCGCAGTTGCAAAGGGGCGTGCAGTGAGTTGTTGTCGTTTCTCACCGTCAAAGAAGCTGGAAATTTAACAAACTAAATAAGGTACGGCTAGTTGCCGTCTCAAAATTGAAGCCGGTCAATGATATCCTTGCTCTACACGAGCCGCCCATAAGGCAGCTGCACTTCGGCGAGAACTACGCACAGGAACTCGGTCAAAAGGCTAACCTGTTGCCCAAAACGATTCAATGGCATTTCATCGGTGGTTTGCAGTCAAGTATGTCTCCTCTTACCTAGTCCCCAGGCCGCACCCAGATACTGATGTGATCCCAGACCATTGCAAAAACCTGGCCAAGATCCCCAACCTCTGGTGTGTCTCGAGCATTGACACGCAAAAGAAGGCGCAGCTGCTAGACAAGCACCGAGGCGAGAAGATCAAGGCCGACCCCGAAACACCAAATATTAATGTCCATGTCCAAGTGAATACCTCGGGTGAGGAGTCCAAGTCGGGGTGTGCTCCTGGAGCCGAGGTTGTGTCCCTCTGCCGTTTCATCGTCGAAGAGTGCCCCAATCTTCACCTCCTGGGTCTGATGACCATTGGCGCCATCGCACGGAGCGTGGCTACGACAGCCGAAAACGAGAACGAGGACTTTGTGGTGCTGAAGCAGCAGCGGGATCTGGTGACCAAAGCGCTGGGCCTGGACAGGGAGCTGGAGCTGAGCATGGGCATGAGCGAGGATTTTGAGGGTGCCATTGTTATGGGCAGCTCCGAGGTCCGCATCGGCAGCACCATCTTTGGCCAGCGGCCGGCCAAATCGGAGGCAAAGATTGTGGTGTGAGAATGCGACCCTAGCGACTTTGGAAGTAGGACATTGGGCTTAAGGCTGGCGAGTGAGAGGGACACTACCGGGCGAAGAGACTGCCCCTAAGAGCAACGGATGTTACCTAAGGTATTAGGGTCCTCACAGCTTAGAGAAGTAGCCCGCATGAAGGGGTGGCACACATTTCGGAAGCATTCCCTGGCGTTTCAACTCATAAGGTACCTTTGTAATTGCCCGAACTCATACTGTTCTTCATCAGATATTCCCAGGAACTTCAGATGATCGTAATTTCATGAAGATGACCAGCAAACCACCTGCGTTCTTCTTCAGCATCGTCGGGGTCGCAGAAGTACACCGCCGAAAATAGGCCTAGCCTCCGATAACACTCTGCAGCAACCGGCACGTTGCTTTCAAGGGCGGGACAGAGTACCAGCCCATAGGCACACATAAACCCCTGACGATCTAACCATCGATAAATGACGAAGAGAAGAACAGAACTACCGGCCGATGCATGCGCCTCATCGTCATCATCCCAAAATACCTCAATCTTGGTATTAGAAATGGCCGACTCTTTAGACACCGGGGTGGACAATTCCAGTAACACGGGGTTCCCGGTTGCTTTGATCGCCGGCCCTCTCAGCTTGATCGATGCGGACTCGATCTGGCCGAAGGCATCTGCCCCTGTGGCAGGTGTAACAGACACCCCCAGAACTTCGGCATCCTCGGTATCCACGTGTTCCTGCCGTTTCAGCAGTGGCAATACTCTGAATGGCAATTCTAGTGGGCCGTCTGTTGAAGCCCAGCTCCATGATGGCGCACGATAGGGTTTTCTGAACCGACGTGTGAGTCCCGGGGCTAAGGCTTTCCAGCAGAGTGCATGTGGAAATTGCGACCTGAAAAACCCTGCCAGATAGGCTTGCTTAATCTCCTTCGAGACTTTTGCCGCTATGCCTGCTATGGCAGGAAATTTGTCCTCCGGACGTGTCAGGCTGGTTGAACTGTAGCTCTCTAGCAAGATTTCCCACTCACGAAGTATTTCCAATGCCCACTCACTATGCATATGAGCAGGACTATCAACAGGAATAGAATGCAATGAAAAGGGAGGTATGTACTCAGGTAGTTCGTCTTCATGCCGACCAGCGACCTTGTCCCTCCAATACTCCTCTGGCGAGAGCGAGATTCCCCAAGGAAAGGTTTCACTTGCTGCTGGGACATGAGAACGCTCCCAGAAGATTTGGTGATGGGTGAAATGGACTGTCCGTGGTGCCAGCATTCGCTCCTGAAACACCCACCCTCTCTTATTGAGCGGGAAATGGCCAGGTATGACTTGAATCGCCTTGCTTCCAATTTGAAATGTCCTGACTTTGTCCTGTATACACAAGTCGATGACCGGAGATGCGGTAACAAAGGCATCTCGGGAGCTGAAACAACCTCCATGGGCGTCAGGGGAATGCGCCGCCGCGATGTTGAGTGTGCAGTTTTCATAGATGGATCCCATGATCTTGAGGTGTCTAAGCCAATCTCTGCCCGAGGATTCGCCTTTCTGAACGATGCAAAGCGAGTCGATCCAAATGTAGCATATCCCAAGCCTTTTCGTTATCAACATGGCATCTTGAAACGTCTGCGGCAGGTCGGCGCAGTCGATCCCGTCCAGTAGTCTCGACATATTCGTGTCTGTTAGAAGAAGATGATTGGGGTCGGATCCCCAGCAATAGCTCAAGGCAGTGTAAGGACCCCGAGTCATCATCGCTGTGTCTACCAGCTTGCAGATCTCGCCATCGACCCGAAGTAGTCTTGGGGGATAGGTGGCTGGGTCAGAAACCCGGTTGCATCGAGGGTGTGAATTCAAGCATTGATTGTACCACCAACTCAGAAGATCAGCGACTTGTTGACTCGAAGTGTGTGTAGAGCGGCAGCTTTGCGGGGGCTTTCCGATGAAGCACTCTGTTTGAGACTTCAGTCTGTCGGGCTCGAGAGCAACCATTTGCGTAATATCTTTCATGCCAACACCTTCCGCTGAGGAATCCCCCAAAACGAAGCCCCATCTCAGTGACGGTGTGGCAGGAGTTGTATAGCGTGCATAAATGCTCCAAGAAATTCTCGTCGTTGCTAAGGTCGGTAGCTCCCATCCCCTTTTGGAGAAGATGTGATGAATCTGAATGCAGAACGGGCAGCCAGAGCGTATGGAAGAGATATGTGATTGTGCGTCTGGGTGTAGACAGAAGGCCAAGTCTGACCCAGAGCCTACAAGTAGAAGATTTTCCTTTTCCCAGCGTGAAAAACTTGTTTCAAGCCTGGAGAGAAGCATCATGCAACGTTCACATAAGCATGTGCCTTCTCTATCTTCCCAACCTTCCCAACCAAACACGACAAGTTTGTGTGAAAACTCCTCCTTTTCATTTAACGCCATGGCAACTCTGGGAAGCCACACCCACGAATGGCATTTAGAGGCTAGACGACGCCTAAAGCCGAGGTTAAGGAAGAAAAGGTGCGGTTATAGTCGTTGTATTCTGCATGCAGCATACAAGGTGTGGCTTAAGCCGTTCGAAAGCATCGATCTGAAAGTTTGAGCAGAGAGTATAAGTTTGAATGAAAGAGAGCCACAGATTGGCTCTCCTTTAAGTTATTAGGGAAACTTGATGGGGAGAGATCCGACGTCTTGCATTCCGAACTTTAGAGGAGTACTTCAGCGCCAATAAAAGAGGCACTTCTTGCGGCAAGCGGTGAGTCTTTCAGCCACATGCAATTTCCATCTCGGCGACGCACTTTTCGGCGCAGCCCAAACGTACACTGCGGTCAACGTACTTAGTCGGCCGACTCCACCTATAAGGTAGGTATATGGCTTTTCAAAGTGGAGGAGGCCTCTGCCAAGGCAGCTAGACTGAAACCTTCCCAGGTTGCCCTTCACGATATAAGATACCTAGCCTCAGATCAGCCAGCTTTCTACCCCGTCATCGACATCTAAGAAGTTAGGTAGCTAGACAACTTGAGGTAGCTAGACAACTTGAATAGTTGCTGAGCGGGTCATGACGTCCGTGTTCTCGATCGGTACAAACTCGACCTCTAGCGGGCTTACTACCAGTGGTGAACGACCGGTCCTCACCAACCTGCAAGTCTGTACGTACCAGCTGAGGTGCCGGCGCGAAACTTGAAGGGTGAGGGCTGGAGTAATCAAAGTCGATCATCTATACCCGATCTCACAGGTACTTTTTACGTCCAGCCAGCCTTCCCTCGGCGGGTTGACCTCCAAGCTTCGCGTTATCAGGTATAGCGCGTTGGTCACACCAGCCTGGTCTAAGATAGTGCCAGCGGGAATGGTCGGAGGGGTACAAATCATCGATCGACTGGAGGAAAATGGGCTAGGCTAGGGCGTTTGTCATGGAGCTGTAAGATTGTTAATGACAACGTATATCTGGAGATGCCGATATGGATGTTGGGTTGCGAGAAAACTGAATCTACGAAGTACCCAGGCGGAGAAGGAAGAAGAGAACGGATGATAAGGATCTGAAGATCAACAGGATAATATCGCGATCCTTCTGGATTTCTAGAGTTTGACCCGCAGTATTTGGGTCCGCACTCCGTACACAAAGTTGTGCCCTGATGAGTTCCCAAACCCCCCACCTCTCTGATGAGGTCTGAATTCGATGTCTCGACGATCGGCGCGCGGGGATTCGCTTATCGATAGGCATTGCCTGGAGGAGACAGGGTCTTGAGTGGGGCGTGGCAGGATCACCCCGGTAGCGCCTTCCCGCGTTGCTTTGGGAACCCAAACAATCAACAACACAAGGCGGACAGCGGAAGGCAATTGGTTCAGACGGCGCCAACGCAGGCTGTTGAGTTCACCGGCACGTTCTCAGCAGATTACCTATATACCCTGTGCTAATAAGTCAATTGGCAACATTGCTCTGCATCTCTGGATCTCCAGTTCACTGCTTGTGGAGTTTGATCTTTTTTCCTTAGCTGGTTGGGCAGCTTCAGGTTGAGACTCGAGTCCTCGTTATTGTTCTCGAGTAGCTCCATCGTCGACACGAGGTATCTAGCGGCAATTTGCGAGCAGCCAGAGCTACAACAATAGGATACCCACATCGCATTTCTTCATCTGCCCATCTAGCATTGCATTCCAGCACGCGAGCAAACATCACGCGAAGCCACCCATTGCCATCACAATGCCGCCCATTGAGCGGGATGCCCCTCGAGACAGGGCATTGAAACATCAGCATTCCGCATCATCGGACCACAGCCGTGCCCTGGTTCCCATGTATGCTTGCCCTTTCTCTCCACTCTCGCAACCCGCCATGACCATGTCATGTCGGTTCTTCGGCGCTCGCTAATCAAGAACAGGTGGGACAGTTCTGATCCCGAGAGGGCACCACCACCCTTACCTCTCAACCCGCAGTCTCCTGGCGTCTCGCGGACAGGGACCTCTAGTGCCATTCAGTCGGCCCATGCCGCCATGACAGAGAAAGCACGGGAGAGCGCATTGGTGCCCCATCTGACCAAGCGCATTGATACATCACCAGAGCGGCCCTCGCCGACGCGGGGATCGTCGCATCGCCGCATGCAGTCTCTACAGCCTTCATCCGTCAAAGACCTGAGTTTGATGATTGAGGCCGGCGCACGGGATACCTCGGCCCAATCGACACCGAGATCGCCCGAGAAGGTTGAGAGGCCTTCGACGCCGTTGCGGAGTCGAGATACTTTCTCTGAATGCAGGGAGGAAAGGGACGAGAAGACGCCCATTGGTACTCCAAAGCCAGGGCCCAGCTTGACCCCCATCATCCGACCAGCCGTGCGACGTCCGCACCAGAGTATCCTGGGCGAAAACACCCCCCCGCAGTCTGCCACGATGCTTGCCCTGCAGAGCATGAGTACCCAGAACAGCAACACGCCAACTCCAAAGGCACCCGAGACTCCCCCTGCAAACGTTACCAATCCCTCCACGGCCATGGTCAGGGTTCCTCAATCCCTCGAGGCCTTGTCCAACCAGATCCTTACCCTCACAGACATCGCAACCACTCTACAGAAAGAAATGTCGCTTCTCAGCCGGCGAAGTCGAGACAATGCTACAGATCTTTTGAGCCTCAAAGAGGCCACAAATGCCCGAGACGAAGACATCCGGAAGAGCCTTCGGGAGCTAATCTCGGATGCCAAGATGCGATCAGCCTCGAAAGACCCTTATGGTGGTCCCCTTCTTCTCGAAGGCAGACACCATTCTTCGTCCCCAACGCAGCTGACCAAGTCTGTCCGACCGTTTTCGTTGCCCAGAATACCATCACCAAACAGCTTCGCTGCCTCTCTTGACACGGAATCCATGTTGAGCACGCCATCTCTAGTGCCCGATTCGCCCACCACAGTTGCCCTGCTGGAGAAGATCATTCGAGAGATGGGTACCAGGGAAGGCCAAGATACTCTCCTTGCACGCCTCACAGAGCTTGCCGGGAAACTGTCAGGAATGGCGACGGCCGAGAAAGTTGAGGAGCTTGCCCGTTTCGTCAAGTCGAACCAACAACAAGCTGTTGTTCCTGCTGCTGGGGGTGGCAGGGGAGGCGCAGGTGGTAAAGGTAGCCGAGATCTCGAGTGGGACTTCGATGAGGACGAAGGAAGGTCAAGGCACGGAGCCTTCGACTTTGTCCATGAGGCCACGCAAGCCGGAAGATTACTACCGGGTCAAGAAGGCCGACGTCCGGCGACTCCCGGACCCCGCGCGGTCGACGTGGTCAACGAGGAGGTCCTCAAGGCCATCCGCACTGTCAAGGACAGTGTAGCCCAAGGAGGCGGCTTGACCGCCGAAACCAAGGCGCTCGTCCGAGAGCTTCGGGGCGAAGTCCTGGGCATGGGACGGGAAATCGGCCGCAGACTCGACGAAATCACCGAGAAGGGCGCAGGGAAAACCGAAGCAGCCAACAAGGCTGAGATGGCCAAGGTGATTGAGGAGGGCCTGGCAGAGATGAATCAACAGATGAACAACATCCTCAGAGAACACCGCCGGCAGTCAGCAGCGACATTCGCGTCCAGAGAGTCCTCAATCGACTACAAAGAAATTTACAACAGCGTGCGAGCCGCGCTCAAGGATACACAAGCAAACAAGCCCCGTGTGCCAGAACTCCGAAGAGAAGACGTCATTCACGCTGTCAAGGATGCGTGGGAGAAGTACAAGCCTGAGATCGAGATTCAGCAGATCGGCTTGGAGCGAGACGAGATCCTTGCCTGCCTGCAGGAAGGCCTTCGCGCATACGCGCCTCGCGACAACCGCCCTCCCGGAGCGACCAGGGATGAAGTCTTTGACGCTGTCGTCGAAGCCCTGAAGCACTGGGTGCCTCCCAAGGTTGAGACGCCGGCGACTCTATCTAGGGATGAGATCCTCGAGGCTGTTAGGGAGTGTTTGGAGGAGTTTGAATTTCCTGTTGCGCCGTCCGCCATGGGCGCTGAGATATCGAGAGAGGATATGTTGGATGCTGTTAAGGAAGGGCTCCATTCATTCGATTTCCCTGCGCCTCCGCCGCCACCGCCGCCACCTCCCAGCTCCGATCTCACCCGAGAAGATGTGCTCGACGCTGTCACTGAGGGCTTGCAGTCGTTTGACTTCACCTCCATCTACGCAAACGCTTTGGTTCCGCAGTCAGTATCGAAAGGCGATGTCTCGGATGCTGTGAAGCAAGGACTCAAATCGCTCGACCTGTCAGCTGACATGGTAGAGGCTGTCAGAGAAGGGGTCGAGACTCTTGACCTTCAGAAAAATGTGCTGCAGGCTGTAAAACAAGCCCTTCAGGGCTATGATTTCTCAACTGCCTTTTCGTCCATTGTCATTCCACGGCCTGACCTTTCAAGGGTTGATGTCGCGGATGCGGTAAAGGATGGCATCGAATGCCTCGACCTCACCAACAGCATTACGCTCGCTGTCAAGCAGGCATTGGAGGGCTTTGACTTCCCCTCGGCCAATGCCTCGGCTCTCATCCCACACCCCGACACATCGCGGGTAAATGTTGCCAATGCAGTCAAGGAGGGTCTTGAAGCTGTCGACCTGTCTCAGACTGTTACGGAGGCTGTTAAAAAGGTGCTGGAGAGCTTCGACTTTTCTGCATCAACTTCCGCTCTCGTTACTCAGCCTGACCTCTCACGAGCAGATGTTGTAGCTGCCGTGAAGGAGGGGCTCGGTTCAACCGACATCTCCAAGGATGTCACGGACGCGGTCAAGCAGGTGCTTGAAGCCTTTGATTTCTCTGCCTCAACCGCGGCTCTCATCCCACGGCCTGACTTGTCGCGGGTGGATGTCGTAGATGCGGTTAAGGAAGGGCTTGAGTCATTTGACGTTTCGTCCGGTCTGGGAGATGTCGTAAGGAAGGAGCTTCAGGCGTTCGACTTTTCTTCACTGCAGTCTTCCGCCTTGGTCCCCCAAACGGGCAATAATGACGAGATTGTCCAGCGCCTTCTTGAAATCAAGGACTTTCTGCAGGCTGAATTCAAGGCAGTGTCGGAGGAAGCCAAACAGAATATTGCGGCCAATGCTCGGGACACCGAACAGTTTCTTGACGCGACCAAGGATGGATTTGAGAAGCTCCGGCAAGACATGGAAAGCTACGTGGACCGCGCAAGGGGCGAATCAGACTTGACGAAGTCCAATGAGCAACTGCTCCGCACCCTTGACGGTTTCAGAGACGAAGTGGCGGAGCTCGTGACAAGGTTCACGGACGACTCCCGCGCCCTGCTTCAAGAGGAAATCGAATCGCTCCGGGACGCTGTTAACTCATCGCTGATTCCAGCCCTTCCTCAGCCGGGAAATCACAAAGAAGTCCTCGAGGCTATTCACGAAGGCCTCAGCAGCCTCCGAACAGAAATCAGCACTCGGCCGATTGCTGGGCTTACAGAGATCCTGGATGCCCTGCAGGAGGGTCTTGGCGATATTCGTACCAGCTTGAATAATCTGCGCGACAAACCAGCCGATCTAACCGCCAACGATGAGATCCTGGAAGCGCTGAAAACTGGGCTGGACAGCGTCCGGTCGGATATTGATGACCTTCGCGAAGACAGCAAGAACTTGAATGACCGAGCTCTGGCTACAATCAACAATGATGCGAATGCCATAGTTTCTGTGGAGCAGATGCTGAAGCACGACGATATCAAAAACCTCGAAGTTTTGATTGCTCAGTTGGGCGTCAAGGTAGAGGCCATGGAAGCCCACCCGCCAGAGGGTGTTCCATCTCTTTCCAAGGAAGATCTGGCTGGGATGGAGGAGACACTCCGCAACGTTGCAGAGTCTGTGGCTGGTATGCCCAATCGGGAGCCATTCGAGGCAATACAAGAGAGCATCCAAAAGCTCCAGGAGACTGTGGCCGAGTTGGCAGCCCGGGAACCAGCGGCTCCTTCGGCACCGGCTAGCACCGATGCGGCTACAAGGGAAGACGTCGAGGCCATTGAGACCATTCTCCGTAACACAAAAGCGCGTCTCGATGACCTTATGGACGGAGAGCAGGCTGTTCGCAAGGACCACATTGATGCCCTTGAAACGCTGGTTGTGGAGACTCGGGACAATCTCACCGGCGTCTCTTCTCAGATGGAGAATCTCTCCCGCAAAGAGCAAGTCGAATCACTTGAGACTCTAATCCTCGAGACTCGGGAAAGCCTTGGAGGACTTACCTCGCAAATGGATATTCTCTCTCGCAAGGAGGATGTGGCCATGGTGGAGTCGCTAGTCACCCAGGTCATAGCTGCCTTCGACGAGATGAAGGAACGACACGAAAAGGCTCTGGAGGATCCTGAGAAGGTGACGAAAACCGACGTCGATGCCGTTGAGGCTGTTTGCCTCGATACCAAGGTTCTCATTGAGCAAATTGTGAAGGCCGACCTTGCCAGCCTCCCTTCCAAAGAGGATATCGACTGCCTCGAGCTGCGCCTCAGAGAGCTCGGGGAGCGCATGGAAGCGCACGCCGACGCCAATGTCAAGTCCTTTGAGGAACGCCAAGCAGAGACTGTTGGTGTAGGCATTGGGGTTAGTGAGATGAAGGCCCTTCTAGAAGAGTTCCAAGCCGTTGCGAGAGCCAAGCTCGAGGACGGAGCGAGGGGAATTGACTCCATCCACACCATCTTGGATGCCCTGAGCGACAGCATCCGGAAGAATGAGAATATCGGCGATGATCTCAAAGAAGTTCTCGATACCATGAAGCTGGAGTTTGAAGATTCCAAGACTGCCGTGGTCGGTGCTAAACTGGAGCTGGATGAGAAGCTTCAAGCCGTGGCTGATACCATGGTCGCGAAATTCGATGAACGCGTCGCCGAGCTGATCGCCAAGTATGAAGAGCTGCAGCTTCTCCAAGATGATCGGGCTGCAAAGGGTGAAGCGAGAGACATCGAGCTTGAGGCAGCCGTCAGTGGCACCAAGTCCATCGCCGAGGAGCTGAAGTCACTCGTCGACACTCTCGGCGCTGCCGTCACAGACTCCATGGAGAAGATGGAAGAAGCCTCCAAGACGGTGTTTGAACGTGTTGAGGACCTCGCCACCAAGTCGAACGACAACCACTCCGATGCAAAGGCGGAGCATCAGCTTACCAGAGAACAGGTCCAGGAGGCCATCGGCAAGGTGGAGGGGCTTCAGGGCCAAGTCAGCGAGTACCAGCCTAAGATCCTCGAAACAGTTCAGCATGTCATGGCACTTCTGGCTGAACATTACGACCATCTCAAGACTTCGACAATGGCAATTCAGGAAAGGGTTGAGCGCCCATTGCTGCCGCCGCCGCCGGAAAAGTACGACGACACTTTGGTTCTGGAGAAGCTTGAGACACTGGTTGGCCACGCTCAAGTAGCTGACAAAGCCTTTGAGCAGCTCGAGACGCTCGAGAAGGTCCATGCACAGGTCAAGCACACGGCCGCTGAGCTAGCTGCATTCCTCGCCGCCCAGACACAACGCATCGCCGATGAACATGAAGACAGGGAGAAGACGCTCCAAGACACAATCATTGCTCTGGAGCGCCGGCTCGAGGAAAAGAAACAGGTTGAGGCACAGATTGAGAATCTCAGAGAAGAGGAGGCGCGCCTGAAGGAGAGCATCACCGTCAAACTACCCGAGGAGCAGAGAGAGATGACTCAGCAATTCCTGGCAAATCTGCAAGCGGAGGAAACCCGGCTCAAGGAGGCCACTGCCGTTCTCAGAGACGAGCAGGATCAACTGAAGGAGGTCTTCCTCACCAACCTTAAGGAGGAGCAAGCACGTCTCATGGAAACCAACGTTGCTCTGAAGGAGGAGCAAGATCAGCTCAAAGAGGCGTTCCTCGCAAACCTCAAGGAGGAGCAAGCCCGCCTGATGGAGACGAATGTATCTCTGAAAGAGGAGCAGGACAAGCTGAAGGAGGCGTTTCTTGCCAACCTCGCAGAGGAAGAATTGAAGCTCAAGGAGATGAACAATGCTCTCCGCGAGGAGCAGCAGGTTCTCAAGGATACATTCCTTGCCAATCTCCGGGAGGAAGAATCGCTCCTCAAAGAGGTGAACGCTGGCCTCCGCGAAGAGCAGCAGCAATTGCGGGAGACGTTCCTCGCCAACTTCAAGGAGGAAGAGCAAAAGTTGAGAGAAACAAACGACGCCCTGAGGGAAGAGCAAGAGCAACTCAAGGCCAAGTTCAAGGAAGAGCATGAACAGCTTAAGGCGGCCCTCAAGGAAGAATATGAGCAGCTCAAAGCTACCCTCAAGGAAGAAAACGAGCGCCTCAAGGTTGAGCTCCTCACGAACCTGATGGAAGAGGAGGCGCGGTTGAAGGAGGCCAACTCTTCTCTGCGGGAAGAGCAAGAGCAATTGAGAGTAGGCTTCTTTGCCACGCTCAAGGAAGAAGAAGAGCGTCTGAAGGACAGCCTTATCTTGCTGCGCGCCGACCAGGAAAACCTCAGCCGTCAGAAGAGCCGGCTGACGGCGGACCTCTCGTCGCTCGACACGGCACTTCGACTCCGCCGCGAGGAGCTTCACGACATGGAGGCGCGTGCCGAAGGCCTCGAGCGCCGGATTCTCGAGGGTGTGATGGACCACTCAAGAGTCCTGCTGATGGCTAAGACCAATCGTGCCAACGGACGCGACTCGATGATGAGCCGGAAGCGCGTGTCGTCGACTCACCAACCGGCTGATACACCCCTGGCAGCAGCAAGCAACAGCCCTGCGCCGAACGAGAATGCCAAGCGCCGCTCGGCAATCAACATGGCCATGTCCGCCCGCAGCAAGGCCAACACCCCGACTGCCAACTCGGCGGGCACCTCACGGCGCATCCTCTCCCTCAGCCAAATCACAAACAACGTCCCCACTGGCGGCATAAAGCGTAGCCAGAGCGTTAGGACCGCTGTGACGCCCGCGCGGCTCCGCAAGTCGAGTTGGGCGGGTGCTGGTGGAGGCGGAAATAACCGGGCCATCGCCACGGACGACAAGGAAAATATCGGTCTACCGGAGATGGAGGAAGAGGGCGAGAGCCGGTACAGCGATGGCCACGACCGCTTCGACACGCCCCCACCTGTGGCACCAGCCGTGGACATTGTTGTTGATGACGCACCCGCCGCTGCTGCCGACGATGGCGGAATTGCTGAGGGTTTGGGTGATGGTGATTTCGAGCGGCTTGATGATGATGTTCGGGAGGTACAGGGAGGAGAGACTGAGATGGACGCGGAGACGGCCAAGGACGACCTCAGACGGGCGAGCCACGGTACTACCGTTGTCACCCCCGCTGAGGACGACTGGGCTGGACCTGACGAGGACGGGGATTTCGATGGCGATGCCAGCCCCGACGCGGATGCAGATGCGGCCAGTGTGTGGACTGAGAGTGTCCCCGGTAGTCGCAGGGTGAGCGGGGTTGCGGCGGCTGAGTAACTGACCTTGGAGGCGGTCACGCGAGGAGGAATTGATGGGCACGGACCAAAAAAAGGGGTTGTTGGAATGAGACATGATGGGATGATGGATTTGATGCGTGATTGAGGTCAACAGGCTGGCTTATGAGCGGGCAGATGGGTGTGGGTGTTTTCCTTTGTTGGGATTTCCTTTGTAGGCTATTATGTGTGAGTCATGATGATTTGTTTTTCTTCGAGTAGTGGTACGAGTATGAAGTAGCTAGCAGGGCGTCATTGGATGGGAGTATGCTAATGGCAATGCTGTGATGGATTCAACTGGCTGTTAGGCAATCAACGAACCCCTTTCGGGCAATGATGAATATATACATGCCTCCTCTTCTTAGCTGATATCGTGACTCGGAGGGTAAATCCTGTGTTTCGTTACAGAATTGCTCATGCTGGCATTAACGTTATATAAATTACATTATGTAGTGAACCAAGGACAACAACATCTATCAAGCATCCACCTTCTGCCGCTTCCTAGGCCCAATCTTTTCCCTGCCATCCATCCACGGCCGCAGCACCTCGGGGATGGTGACCGACTTTTCGCTCTCGTTCCACCCGTTCTCCAGCAGCGCGGCAAGCACCCGCGGCACAGCCAGCGCCGTGCCGTTGACGGTCCAGGGGAAGACCAGCTTCCCGCCCGTGCCGTTGGTGCGCAGGCGCGTGGCGAGCCGCCGCGTCTGGTAGTCGGTGCAGATGCTCGCGCTCGTCACCTCGCCCCAGCCGTCGTTGCGGTCGCGGCGCGAGGGGAAGAACGCCTCAATGTCGCACTTGCGTGTGGCTGACGCCCCCAAGTCGGCGGTAGGCATCTCGAGAACCCGGCAGTGCAGGCCGAGGGAGCCAAGGAGTTCTGTCTGGAGGTCGACCATTTCTTCAAAGATTTCTGTGGTTTGATCGGAGTCGGGCGCCGTCCATGCGAACAGCTCCACCTTGGTGAACTCGTGCACCCGGTAGAGTCCTTTGGTCTCGCCCCCGCGCGAGCCGGCCTCGGCGCGGTAGCACCGGGATACGGCGACCCGCTTCATGGGCACTTCGGACTCGTCTAGCACCGTGTCGGCCTTCATCCCCGCGAGCGGGATCTCGGCGGTCCCTGCCAGGCAGAGCTCGGGTTTCCCCCGCGCGACGTCGTCGGGAGACTGGGCGATGGTGTAGATTTGCGTCTCGCCGTGCGCGTCGCGCGGCTGGAACCCGCATGCGCCCGCCACGTGGCTGTAGACGAGGCTCGGCGGCGAAACCTGCCGCCACCCGGCGCGCGAAGCGGCCGTCAGCGCGTAGCTCACCAGCGCCTGCTCCAGCTGTGCGGCTTCGTCCAAAAGGTAGTACCACCCCCACCCAGACGTGGTGGCCGCGGCGGCGAAGTCGAGCAGGCCCAGCTCGGCGCCCACGTGGATGTGCGAGCGCCACACGCGGTCGGACTGGGAGGGGCTGGGTTCAGGGTGGTCGTTGATGTAGCTCAGCACCAGGGGCTCGGCGCCGCGCGGGGTCTCGTCGCTGGTCAGGTTGGGGATGGCGAGGGCGAGCCGCTCCATCTCGGCCGTCAGCGCCGACTCGGCCTCTTCGAGCGTGGCGAGCTCGGCCTTGACCTTGCGCGCTTCCTCGAGGAGCTGCTCCCGCGACATGGACCGGAGCCCGGCGGCGGATTCCTCATCGGCGTCGTCCCGGCTCGTGGCGCCCGGGTCGGCGATATGCCGGCGCAGCAGGTTGCCACGCTCGCGGAGGCTGCGGGCCTCGCGCTGCTTGGCTTGCCATTGAGCGAAGAGGTCGTTGATGCGGGCTGGGTACGAGGCTGCGGCGGGGTAGTTGCGGTCACGGCAGTTTTGAGCGTACAGGTCGGCGTTTTGACGGATGTGCTTGAGATCGAGAGCGGGTTTGGGCGCGGTCGGTGGCCTTTGCGGCTGCGGTTGCGGAGCGACAGGCGGATGTTGTTGTGACAGGGTGCCGGTGCTATGATAGAAGGCTAATTGTGATGGTGTTTGTGCTGGCCGCAGGCGGGAGGGCCCGGCCGCTGGGAGAGGGGGGCGGGCAGGGCGCCCGTGTGACGTCCGCAGGAGGCATTGGAGGCACGTAAAGGGCCTGCCCGCGCCAGCAACAGGCCGTCTCATCGGATGCAATGTTCTTGGACCGTGAATCAATTGGAGTTAGAGTTGGACAAATGCGAAAGCATTGCCTTGGATTTGGTGGGAAGTGGTTTCGTTGATTGCAGCAATTCGCAGAAACGATGCACCAAGGTACTGTAACGTTGTGACAGTCCTTGTGGATGACTCGGATCAAAGCTTTCTGCCTGAGATCAACATAACATTAACGCGGGGGAGCTATGACCACCACCAAGGCCACCAACACCTTCCCAAATCCGAAGGCAACGGAAGAGCCAAGACAAGGCTGATATATCCTGATCATTAAGGTAGGTATCTGATGGCGAACGGTTGATCAGAAGACAATTCCCGGGTTTTCTTCTTTTAGCATTCAGCCGCGTCTTCATGGATTAATCATGAATACCTACTCTGCTCATGCGTGCCGGTTCTTTCCAGTGTTGCCTGCCGTTGCCAAGACTGGATCGTCGATCCAAGTTACAGCCCTGCGAGCGGCTCCGCGTTTCTACGGAGTATCGGGGAAGGTAACATCAATCCAAAACCATCCATGTATATGGAAACATGGAGCGGTACGGATAGACAGCAAATGATTCGGCGCAATACACTATTCGTATGTACATCGGCTGCGAAATACGAAGTATGCCCTTGTGGTATGTAGAACTACCTTATGTTCGATCCTCACCATGGAGACAGGCACGGCCTCCAATACGGACGTAACCTAGTGTGTGCGAAGCGCACCGTTCTAAACAGACTGTCATATTGATGGCCCTTCGAACACTTTACTGGTCAACCCGTCGATAGAACTGCGGTGGAGAGCGACATTGCATGAGGTGCGAGCCAAAATGGTAATTGGACACTCTAGACATTAGGGGTCAGGTACAGATCAGACGAAGTTGTGTGCTGCCCGCTCGTTCCATGGAAAAGGTTGCACAACTTGAGGGGTACAACCTGGGACGGTGATTCTGTTAAAAGCGGTAGTCGAGAGGATGATTTTTGCATACAAGATTTTGGCCGCACTAACGGATGGCAGCCCTTCTTGAGGTACCATACGACTGATGCCACCATCTTGTAGCGGTCAACGCAAACGACAGATCACAGGATATGCACAGTTATATCGTCGTAGGCTCGAGATAGGCTTTAGGTAGCATAGCCATTGCTCCACTACGGATACGACAAACCTGGGAATTCAGCCCCCAATTTCTCGACGTGGCAAACCGGACAGGCTGTGGTAGTTTGCTGCATGAGTCTGATATCAGGGCCGTAGGAGGAATGCTGGACAGTTTGTCATTCACATGGCATTTGCCCATCCTATCCTGTCGCATCAACTGACACCTGACATCCGATTATCTTCTCCACAATGACTCGTAGAGTTGCAGCGCCTTAATCTCAGGCTCTGGAGGTCTGGACCCTTTGAGCGTTAGGTTTGCATTGCAACGGTTGTCACAACTTGAAGTTGTGAACGGGTCTTCGCAGTTCACCACATTCTGTGGAATCCTCGAACATCTTTTGCTGAACCAACAAACTCCCAGATTCCACAGCCTGTGGGTCTGGAATGTGCCAACGGCCAATGACCGGAGACTGTGGCGGACCCGGCGACAAGGGTCACACAAGGTGAAACAGGAAAAGAATTGGTGAACCCGTTTTAGAACTTCCTTGGCTCTCTCTCAGTGGCTCAGCGCTCTCGAAACGCGCCCTGCAAGCATGAACGCCCCCCTGCACTAGCGGGCTTCTTCCGCAGCTGAATTCCCAGGTTCATATCTCCGTCCCTTTAGGGTCCAGTAGGAAAAATGTCCACGACTCCTTAGGATTGCGAGGATTGCAAAAAGGACAAGGTGCCTAGGGTTAAGAGGCAGCCACCCGAACGCCATGCCGTTTTGTTCTGGTGCCGTTGAGAAAACCAATTGGTAGTTTTTCCTCTAGAGGAAACATTCTGGATGCAACGTCCTTGTCTTCCAGTGCTTGGAGAAATTTCCATCCAAGTTGCGATCGAAAACTGATCTTCGTCCAACTTCCACCCCACTTTCTGCTGTCACCAGTTCCTCTCGTTTCCACCATCGCTCCAGTGTCTGCGTCATTCGCATCGTCCTCTCGTCTCACCTCTCTCTTCGGTCCTTCTTGTAGTGTAGACGCTCGTTTCCTGTGGAGTGAATGGCCTTGTAAGGGACTTCTTCGTGCGCACGCTTCGCGTTTGCTCTCTCGACCACCCACTCTTTCTCCCTTTACTCGTCGTTTCTATTTGAGCGCAACTTTACGAGTCTTCGATATCGAAAACGGGTCTGAGACGCCGGCAGGGCTGGGTGCTTTTCTGCAGACCACATTCCTTGGGCCCATCACATCGCAACCAGCAGCATACCGGTAACCACACAGCCTAATGTCGTTGAGATCACCTCGGTCGCCCGGCCGGGGCTTCCTACCCATCTCCAACTCCAACGAGTCGAGCAGTACCGAGATGCACGAGATTCCTCTCCACACCGTCCGCACCAATGCGAGCACGGGCTCTCGGCGAGTCAACATGGAAGGCATGGACGAGAAACATGCACTCTTTGACAAGTCGGCGGCCGGGGGCCCTGCCGGCGGGAGACGCGCCCGGAAGGACCTGCGACGTGCCGGGTCCGGCATGTCTGAGGAGACATCGCTCAATGCCATGGGCCGACTCTACAACAAAATCGTCGGCTTCTCCGTCGTCACTCGTTATCTCGTCTATATCGCCCCCGTCGCCCTCTTGCTCGCCGCTCCCTTAATCATACTGCCGCTCACTGGAGATAAGGATCGCATCAAGCTTGTTCCAGACCAACCGCACAGCCTGTTCACGCTCTTTCTCTGGATCGAGATATCATGGTTGACCCTCTGGTTGGGCAAGCTCGTGGCCCACCTCTTGCCCTCCATCTTCATGTTCTTCTGCGGCGTCGTCAGCTCCGGTACCAGAAAGTACGCTACCGTGCTGCGCTCCCTCCAGATCCCCCTGTCGCTCTTCTTCTGGGGGCTTGCTTCCTGGCTCTCGTTCAGGTTCATGTTTCCGGTACAAGTCGCTGGGCAGTGGTCCGACATCGTTTTCCGCATCGTGCTCTCGCTCTTCCTCTCCTCGGCCGTGCTCCTGGGCGAGAAGTTTCTGGTCCAGCTCATCAGCATCAGCTACCACCAGCGCTCGTTTGCGAACCGGATTCATGATTCCAAGCGTGAAATCCACCTACTGGGCCTCATGTATGAGGCTTCGCGGACTCTGTTCCCTATGTACTGTCCTGAGTTCGCCGAAGAGGACTATATCATTGCCGATAGCCTGGACCTGATGCTCACCAAAGGCAAGGTCAAGAAGGGGCGCGGAGTCGCGGCAGCCCCGATGCGGCTCGTGGGTGAAGCTGGCCGTCTTGGCGACAAAATCACGTCCGTTTTTGGAAACCTTGCCTCCGAGATTACTGGAAAGCAGGTCTTCAACCCAAATTCTGCTCATTCTGTCGTCGTGGAGGCCCTTGAGAAAGTGCGGAGCTCCGAGGCCCTGGCTCGTCGCAGTATGTATAACCTCGATCCCCCCCTGTCCTCATGTCCCCCTGGAGACAGTGGCGTATGGCTGACATTTGTGAACAGTCTGGATGAGTTTCGTGGTCGAAGGCCAGGATTCGCTCTCCTTAGATGATATCATTGAGGTCATGGGCCCGGCCCACCGCGAAGAAGCTGAAGAATGCTTCAACGCCATTGATGCTGACCAGAATGGCGACATCAGTCTCGGCGAGATGATCCGCAAGGTTGTCGAGATTGGGAATGAGAGAAAGGCAATTGCCCACAGCATGAAGGATATCAGCCAAGCATTGCATGTGTTTGACAAGGTCCTCCTTTTTGTCGTCCTGATCATCGTCATCATCATTTTTTGTAGGTTGTCCTTCCATGCTCCCACGGTTACCAGTTGCTGATTAGATTTCCAGTGGCCGTCTTCCAGAGCAGCTTCATCGCCACCCTTACCACGGCTGGAACTACGCTGCTCTCGCTGTCCTTTGTCTTTGCCGTCACCACGCAGGAGTTCCTGGGCTCCTGCATCTTCCTATTTGTCAAGCACCCGTACGATGTCGGCGACCGCGTCGACATTACGGGTCCCGAGAAGGAACAGCTAATCGTCGAGAAGATTTCTCTACTCTACACGGTGTTCACACGGATTGACAAGATGCAAATCGTGCAGGTAAGAAACAAGAACTACACTTGATCCCTTAACCGTCCGCAAGCGGCAGCTGACCAGATTTAGGTCCCCAATATTCAACTCAACAATCTCTGGATTGAGAACGTGACGAGGAGTAAAGCCATGAAGGAGATAATTGACGTCAACGTCTCGTTTGACACATCGTTTGAGGACATTGAGCTGCTGCGCGCTGAAATGGAGAATTTCGTGCGCTCGCCAGAGAACAGTCGCGACTTCCAGCCGGACGTTGCAATCGGCGTTGGAGGCGTTGGCGATTTGGACAAGCTGACGCTCAAGATTGCCATCAAACACAAGTCCAACTGGCACAACGAAGTCGTCCGCGCGACTCGTCGCTCCAAGTTCATGTGCGCGCTCGCCCTTGCGCTCAAGAAGATACCAATCAATGGTCCTGGTGGCGGTGGCGACCCTCTTGGAGGACCTAGCAACCCGACGTATAGTGTGGCCGTCACGGATGAGTTCGCTGTTAGCGCTCGTGAAAAGTCTGAGAAGGAGAAAGAAGCGAAGAAACTGGTGAACCAGAAAACCGAGCAAGCGCCTGCTAATGCGCCCGATACGGAGAGTGAGCAGCGCGCCGCCGAGCAACTCAATGCGGCGAGCCCCGTAGTTGAGGCGCTCGAGACCTGGGGCTATAACAACTCCCTGGGCCCCCGAGATTCGGTATCCCACCGCGAGCGCACCGCCGACGCGTCCGCAGCTCGCTTCGGCCTCCCCAGCACGCGCGAATCCCAGCGCGGCCGCCGCAAGGCTGGCGAAGCCCTACCCCCGGGGGCTCTCAGCGATGATGGCATGCCGGGAATCCAACTGACCCGGACATCGACATCGAGCCGTAGAGGGGAGGGGTCGTTTGACGTGGAGCGCCAGGCCAGTGTCGGAAGAGCACCTACTGTTACGCGGTATGCCGGCTGGACGGCTTACGATGCGCAAACCGGTGGTGCCGGCCCTGGGCCAAGTGCCATGGCCTCGCCACCACAGCCCGGTCTCGATCTCATTCCTGAGTCACCTGGCTTCGCCGTCCAGCAGCCTGGGTCCCCGCCGCAGAGCGTGCCGCCGAGTCGTATGCCCACTGTCGGGGCAAGGCAACGGGGGGCTACAGTGGGCGGGCAGCAGCAGCAGCAGCCGCAGCAACAACAGCAACAACAGCAACAGCAACAGCAACAGCAACAGCAACAGCAACAACCGCAACAACCACAACCACAACAGCAATTTGGACTGCAGCAGCCGCCGCAGGCGCCCCAACTCAGTGGCCCAAGCCAGGGCGGATATCATCCTAGGTTCTAGATGTCATTCGTCTTCGGTTGCCAGCTTGGGCTTGGATTCCTCGATATTTCCACCGAGAGGTCCATCAATGCAGCAGAGAACTGAATGGTTGGAGGATACGCAGCGTCGGCAACATCAAAGGGATGGCCGGATCACTTGAAACGGAGTTGGGGTCTTCTACGACTTGAGTCGTTTCTGGTGGTACATAGACTGGTGGGGCGTTGATGCTTAAATCTCTTGTACCAAAACAATCTCACTGCATGACCTTTAAGGCCTAACAGGAGAAAAAGTATGGGGAGGTGTGCCGGGCAGGTTGTACATTACATGGGAAACAGGAAAGAGAACCTACACATCACGCTGGCATCAAACATATCATTCACATCCATCGGGGTATTGTACATGTACAGAGATAGACATGCCTAAGGGTATATTCACCTGTTTACAGACTGTCTTCTCACCATGTCATCCATCCATTTCTCTGCCCGTCACGTCCAGCAGCGACGGTACATACAATATAAATGCGCTAGCAGACGTGCTCCACCTCAGGCACCTTCCCCTCCCTCTCACCCAACTCAGTCCTCAGCACACGACCGAACAGTTCCAGAAGCACCTCGAAACAGGCCTTGGAAATGGCTGCGTCGTACCGGCCCTTGCTGAGCTCGTCGCGGATGAAGGCGTGCTGCGCCCAGGCAAACTCGTGGAAGCTGAAAACCACACCCGCCTCGCGCAGCTTGGCCCGGATCAGGTCCCGCCCGGCGTCGGGCACGTGTGTGTCTTTGATGCCGAAGATCAATGACACCTCGCCGCGGATCTTGGAAAACTGGTCGAGGGTGTGGATGCTGGTGGGGGATGGGGGGTCGGAGGAGGTGCAGGGCCCTGGGTTTGGCCCGAGAGTCCGGCTGTGGATGTCGGTTGGGAAGTAGGCGACTGTGGCGGTGATTCGGGGGTCGAGCTAGGTTTGGTTTATGGAGTCAGGAAATTGGCTTGGCTAGATCTAGGGGCGGGGGGTTGTTTACGCTTGCTCGAACGGCCAGGTGGCCGCCTAGGCACATGCCTGTTGCCCCGATCCGGCCGGTGCAGGTCGGGAGGGTCAGGAGGTAGTCGACTGTCTTGGACGAGTCCTCGTCGTACGATTCGAGGGTCTGTCTTGCAGGGTCAGCTAATTGGGGGTCTTGTTGTGCTTGGAGAATGGCAAAATTGGTTGGCGATGCTATGTAGTTGCTAGCTGACAAGACAGATAGACAGACAGACCTTGGTTATCTTCCATTCGTTCCCCTGGTCCGTCCCCGGGACGTCGTAGGCCAAAGGCTCAGGCCCGGTAAAGTCGTGATAGCTGCTAGGAGCGGCGACGATGTACCCCTGGCCGGCAATCTGCCTTGCGAATCGGGCTACAGGGCCGGTGACTGGTAGACCCCAATACAAAACAACAAGGGCGGTTAGAAGGTCACGTTTGTCTAGTTTCTACAGGGGTAGAGGTGCTGGCGCCCTCACCCTGATAGATCTCGCTGAAGAGCACAACGCCGGGGAAGCGACTAGCAGAATAGGCGTGTCAGGAGCAGAACAAATTGCGCGACGAGCCATTCTCACGCATTTGGGTATCCAGGGATCGTCGGGTGAAATAAGAAGATTCCTGCACGCTTGATCTGTTAAAACATTGGGTGTCAAAGAAGAGAGACTTGGTGGGCAACGGATGCAGCTTAACTCATGGAGCTCTCCTTGCCATCGGCAAAGGTCTGCACATCGGCATAGCTCTCCTTGATCAACATCTTGAACTTTGTGCCTGAAGAATGGTAAAGAGGCGACGATTTGCTGCGCTGAGCACTGTATGTACGCAAACTGCCTAATACCTTAAACAATGCCAGTTGATTTGGCAGGACTCGGGCTGCTTCAAGTTCCTCACACTTTCTGCCCCGCCATCTGTGGTCGATCGAATGCGGGGCAGCAGGCGTTGCTTATCTTATCGCCCCTCATGACTTCATGATCGCTTCCATAGTCATCTCGAGAGCTTCAGCGAGCTCCTCAACAGCTTAGATGGGGGGCAGGAGATGGCCCAAGAAACAAGCTTGTAGCTCAATGGGCATCAAGGAATATATATTGCAGCTCAGAAACTCAATGAAACCACGAATAGACGTGTTGGATCGCCCAAAGCCCTGTCGCAGGTGCGGCTTCAGGCAGCCAGACCGCAAAACCGCAAAACCGACGGATGGGGATGGTGTGGGTCTCATAGGTACTTCGGGGTACATCCGGAGATTTCATGCGCCTTGCAGCCTAGCAAGCCGCCAGTATCATTGCGGCTGTTGCGCGCCCAGCCCTGTCCCAAAGCTTCAACTTCTTCATCATTTATCTTTTGTAGGAGAAAATATGGTTAGTATACTGCTGAAAATGGGAGGTTGAAGGGCAGGCCGAGCGTGCTGCCTGTGATCAAACTCTGGCTGGCAGCGACAAAGTGTTCGTGTCTTGAGATTATCACACCACACACATAATTATGACGACGATGGAATCGATGACTTGCAGCCTGTGAGGTTCTCAGCCGGCAGGCGTTGCCCGAACAAGCCAAGCTCTATTGAATTCTTTCCAGCGCAAGAACTGTCTGGCTGGATCTTTGATTAGGAAAAGGAGCTGGTGTACCCAAGTACCTAGGTAGATAGCAGCTGCAATCACAAAAACAAATTTGTAGTGGCAACAAATCTCCATTGCCAGACCGGGCAAGTCGAATCGGCCGTGGTTGCGGCAGGTAGTTGTTTCGAGTCGCTGCCAGTGCCTGCCAGAGAATATTCCAGCTTTGTCTGGAGGGCTTGAAAGAAGGCGGAAGAGGTTGCCAGGCCAATCCAGAAGTAGCGCGAGGTACCCTTGGGTAGTGGGGTCGAGGAAACATACAGAAACTCGTAGAAAAGTTGCCCAAGTTCACCTGCGGCTTAAATTGTGTGAGCTCTTCTGCCCCTCCTGCCTCGCACTACTTCTCTGAAAACCACAAATCTTTTTCACTGCTTGTGCTCTTCTTCCCACCAAACGATCGGGAATCTGCAACGAGCCAACTGCATCACCATCACACTGCTTCTTCTTCTTCCATCATCACTTCAAGACCGTTGTAGAAAGCACTCATAGATCATCAAGACAAGATGGCGCCTGCTGTCGGTATCGACTTGGGCACCACCTATTCCTGCGTGGGAGTCTTCCGCGAGGATCGGTAAGTTTTGTTGTTTTCTTAATTCCCTTCTTGGTCGCCGAGCCTGGGTCGGCGGGTCGACAAGTCAAACCAAGCAAGGTGCTAACTGTTACTGCAGGTGTGAAATCATTGCCAACGACCAGGGTAACCGGACCACACCCTCGTTCGTTGCCTTCACCGATACAGAGCGTCTCATTGGAGATGCCGCCAAGAACCAGGTCGCAATGAACCCCACGAACACAGTCTTCGATGCCAAGCGTCTCATTGGCCGCAAGTTTGCCGACCCTGAGGTCCAGGCCGACATGAAGCACTTCCCCTTCAAGGTCGTCGACCGCGGCGGCAAGCCTGTCATCGAGGTCGAGTTCAAGGGCGAGAAGAAGACCTTCACTCCCGAGGAGATCTCGTCCATGGTTCTGACCAAGATGCGTGAGACGGCCGAGTCTTACCTCGGTGGCACCGTCAACAACGCCGTCATCACTGTTCCTGCCTACTTCAACGACTCTCAGCGCCAGGCCACCAAGGATGCCGGTCTCATTGCGGGCCTCAACGTCCTTCGTATCATCAACGAGCCCACGGCCGCTGCCATTGCCTACGGTCTCGACAAGAAGCTCGAGGGCGAGCGCAACGTCCTCATCTTCGACCTTGGTGGTGGTACCTTCGATGTGTCCCTCCTGACCATTGAGGAGGGTATCTTCGAGGTTAAGTCCACCGCCGGTGACACTCACTTGGGTGGTGAGGACTTTGACAATCGCCTCGTCAACCACTTCGTGAACGAGTTCAAGCGCAAGTTCAAGAAGGACTTGTCCACCAACGCCCGTGCGCTGCGTCGTCTCCGCACTGCCTGCGAGCGTGCCAAGCGCACTCTCTCCTCGTCGGCCCAGACCTCGATTGAGATTGACTCTCTCTTCGAGGGTATTGATTTCTACACTTCCATCACCCGTGCCCGCTTCGAGGAGCTCTGCCAGGATCTGTTCCGCTCGACTCTTCAGCCTGTCGACCGCGTCCTGACGGATGCCAAGATCGACAAGTCGCAGGTCCACGAGATTGTCCTTGTCGGTGGTTCGACTCGTATCCCGCGCATCCAGAAGCTTATTACCGACTACTTCAACGGCAAGGAGCCCAACAAGTCCATCAACCCCGATGAGGCTGTTGCCTACGGTGCTGCCGTCCAGGCTGCCATCCTGTCTGGCGACACCTCGTCCAAGTCGACCAACGAGATTCTCCTGCTCGATGTCGCTCCTCTGTCGCTCGGTATCGAGACCGCTGGTGGCATGATGACCAAGCTCATCCCGCGTAACACCACCATCCCGACCAAGAAGTCCGAGGTCTTCTCCACCTTCTCGGACAACCAGCCCGGTGTGCTCATCCAGGTCTACGAGGGTGAGCGTCAGCGCACCAAGGACAACAACCTGCTCGGCAAGTTCGAGCTCACCGGCATCCCGCCCGCTCCTCGCGGTGTTCCCCAGATCGAGGTCACGTTCGATCTCGATGCCAACGGTATCATGAACGTCTCGGCCCTTGAGAAGGGCACTGGTAAGACGAACCAGATTGTCATCACCAACGACAAGGGTCGTCTGTCCAAGGAGGAGATTGAGCGCATGCTTGCCGAGGCCGAGAAGTTCAAGGAGGAGGACGAGCGCGAGGGCGCCCGTGTTGCTGCCAAGAACGGCCTTGAGTCGTATGCCTACTCCCTGCGCAACACTCTGAGCGACTCCAAGGTCGACGAGAAGCTCGACGCCGCGGACAAGGAGAAGCTCCGCACCGAGATCGACAAGATTGTCAACTGGCTCGACGAGAACCAGCAGGCCAGCAAGGAGGAGTACGAGGAGCACCAGAAGGAGCTCGAGGCCGTTGCCAACCCCATCATGATGAAGTTCTACGGTGCCGGCGGTGCTGGCGGCATGCCCGGTGGCATGCCCGGCGCTCCTGGTGGCTTCCCTGGTGCGGGCGGTGCCAGCAACGACAACGACGGCCCGACTGTCGAGGAGGTCGACTAAACGGGTTCATGATGGGCGTTTGTCGTTTTCCATGCACTACTTGGTAGATTGGATCCGCCTCCACGAGCTGCCGAGGATGATGGGCACTTGGGATCCGGGGAGTATCGGGTATGGGTTTACACCTAGATCTGGTTGTTTTCTTTTTCTCGTTACGATCATGATACAGGGAAAAAGTTTTCGGAGGGCGGCTGCATGGATTGTATTCTAATCACGATTCCCATTTCCTTGCAATGAACATAAGGAAATTACCATATCTGAGTGTGCTTGCTGATCTTAATTTGATTGTGAATTGCGATGATGGTGATGACATGACGCTAAACCTGGGCATCCATTTGCGGCACCTGTTTCCACTTTCGAAGATTCCTGTGTTAGAGAATGGGGGTGTGAAAACAAGGTTGGTATATGTATGACAGCTACTTGATTACAACCGCGATAACCGACAGTAACACCAAGCACCATCGAGTCTTCATCAGAATCCCTCCTTTGAGAATATAGAATCCTTCATTGCCCCCTCTCCGACTGCTCACCATCACCGCCTTTATCCATGGCCTCCCGAATCGCCCTTCTCCGCTCATTCTCCTGCCGCCGAAACTCTGCGTCATCCACAATAGGCGCATCAAACGGCGTCCGGAACGCTGTGCCCGGCGGAACCCTCTCGTCGCGGCTCTCCCAGACATCCTCGCTGCTGGGCCGTCCGCCGCCGTATTTCGCCTCTTCCTTTTTGCGGTAGTGGTCCCGTATTGCGGCGGCCCGCTGCTCGGGCGGGTAGGACTTGGTCCGCATGCAGAACCAGAAATCGTCCCATAGCTCGGAACAGGTCCGGACTGAACCGTAGCGGTATACGGAAGTGACCTGGGACCCCGGGGTGTGGCAGTGCCAGGCGTAGTCGAAGGCGTCGCGGCAGGACATGGTTGTGGGGAGAAGGTGCTCGGACATGGCGAGGGATTGGGGGGTGCGGGTGCGCGGTGGGTTGGGGTTGGATTCGGTTGTTGTTGCAGGAGTGGGTGGAGGGGGGGTTGTTGATATGGGAGTTGCCCAGGAGAACCAGGAGGTGGTGGTGGTGGTGGTGGTGGTGGTGGTGGTGGTGGTGGTGGTGGTGGGTTTGGAGGGGGTGGAAGACGGTGGTGGTTGTGGTGGTGATGTTGCTGTTGCTGCTGGTTCGGACTGCGGTTTGCTGGCCTGCTGCAGCATGGCTAGGAACTCGACTACTTCGCGGTCGCCGCCATGGTCGGGAGCGGAGGCGGCTGGTGGTTGCGCTGCTGGCGGGGGAAGGGTTGAGGTTGGCGGCGCTGGGGGGTGGTTTGCGGTCTCGGTTTTGGAAGAGGATGAGGAATTCCAGAACCAGCCCATTGTTTGTGTTGGTTCGGTTTCGTTTTTGGATGGTCGTCAGTCAGAGGTGGTAAGTCAGGAGGCAGTTGGGTGTTGTTGGAATGAGCAGATGGCCTCGAGAGGGGATGTGAGGGGCAATGGCGACTTGCGGGAGAGCGGTACCTACCGCACCTTAGCCAGGTGTCGTCTGTCGTCGCTCCCGACGTGGAAAGTTCCTGCAGAAATCAGTTCGACTGATTGGTGAGCTGAGGTGGAGCAGGTTGACATGGGTTCTCGGGTGGGGCTTTCCTTTTCAGCAAAGGCTGGTATGACCTCATCAGCAGCAGCCATCCTATGTTCGTCGCATGTGCAGCCATTGAATTGTACTGGTAGTGTAGATTCACGAGTCTGTCAGCAGTTGACTACCTTAGGGAGTTGAACCGGGACATTCTCTTTTCCAAATTACTACTTCCCTAGGAACAACGAAATCGCTGCTCAGATACGAAGACTGAGTCCTCAGCAATCTTGAGTCTCGAGTCTTAATCTTCCCTAGACTCGTTTGTTCTCCGCTTTTTTAAGAGCCATTCCACAGCTGATATCCCAGGGACAATAATTGCAATGAAGCGATGATCCCCGGACCGGCCATGCTTCGGCCTTTGGCCCCCCCAAACTTCTGGGCGCCTTTGCTGGCAGCCGCATCAGCCATCTCCAGCCGTCGACTGCCTGCGGTGCTGGGGAACTTGGACCACAAGAGGTGGCCGGCGCGAAGATGGGAGAGCTCGGCTACTGCTAGTGGTACTACCGGTAGTAGTTCCAAAACTGGCCATATTTACACGGGACCAAACGAGTCCATATTATTCCTTGACAGTGGGTTTCTGTCCCGTGGACACAAGGTCATACATACACTGTGTTCTGGCTGACATTCTCACCTAGATCTCTTCCCCTTGAAACTCGCTTCACTGTTGCTATGGCGCCCATGGGAAACCAAGCGCGACCTCCCTGGGCTGCTCCGCCAGTTCGAGGATGCGTCTCTCAGCGCTCTGGACCCCATGAACCTGGTCAAACGGGCCATACCCGAGACAGTCCCAATCAAGGTCACCGAGATCATCCCTCGACTGAAGGAAGGGGGCGCTTACATCAAGTTCACCTACCCGGACACTCTGTCAGCTGCCGATGTTGAAGGTGGGTGCTTAACCACACATCGTGCCCCTGTCTCCTGGCCCATGTCATGCTCACAATGCTTACAGGAGAGCTGGCAAAATCGCTCGACAAGAAGCCAATCAAACCATGGTTCAATCCATTCCGTGGCATCAAGGCCGGGCTCGTCCTAGGCCGCCCCTGGCTTGAAGACCTCTACCGTCTCCCAAGGAGCCGCCTTAGGGTCGAGTTTGTGCCCGCCAAGGACTCGGAGCCTCCCACCGAGCTGTCCCAAGAGTCCCTGTACAGCCTGTTTCGCCGCTATGGAAAGATCGCCGACATCACATCACAGCCTCCGGATTCCAAGATCCTGCCAAAATTTGCCTACGTAGATTTTGTCGGGGTCCGGCCTGCCATCATGGCCAGAAATTGCCTGCATGGTTTCGTGCTGCAAGAAGAGGGCAGCAAGACACAGACCCGGCTCCGGCTGTCCTATGAGCAGAGAGTGAAGCCGCATCACATCTGGAACTGGATCTCGAACCACCCAAGGATTGTCATCCCCATCCTTGCTGCCTTTCTGGCTGCGTTTACGGTCGTCGTGTTTGATCCCATACGCGAGTTCTTTGTCAAGGTAAGGCTGTCTCTGCCGACCAGGCCGCTGTTCACTTGCTGACTCGCCACTAGATGCACGTCCAAAAATCTCTGGAATTCACCAATAGCAAACTGTACAAGTGGTTGAAGCGACAGACGTCGGACATTCTCGCCTTCAGGAAGCGGAAGGATGAGGATGCCGGTCTCGATGCTTTGTTTGCCCACCGGAAGGAACTGATAGATGCGATACAGGCTAGTCTGCTGGAGACCGACGACACATTTGTCGTTATCCACGGACCGCGTGGCTCCGGAGGCAAGGAACTGATCATGGATCAAGTACTCCAGGGGCGCAATGATATCTTGGTCTTGGACTGCAAGCCAGTTGTGGAGGCTAGAGGAGAGGCCGGTACCATCAGAAAGCTTGCCTTCCAGGTTGGATACCGCCCGGTGTTCTCCTGGGCTAACAATCTCAGCAGCATGATAGACCTTGCTATCCAGGGCACCACAGGCGTCAAGGCTGGCTTCTCCGAGAACCTCGAGTCCCAGGTCGTGAAGATTCTTCAAACTACAGCTTCTGCTCTGAAGGAGGTCTCGCTCGCAGACAGGAAGAAGGAGGGCAAAGACGCGAACCTCTCGGACGACGCCTACCTAGAAGCTCACCCTGAGCACCGTGCCGTCGTTGTCATTGATAACTTCCTGCACAAGGGTGAAGAGAAGAGCATGATCTACGATAAGATTGCTGATTGGGCGGCCGCCCTGGTGCAATCCAATATTGCACACGTCATCTTCCTGACCACCGACCCGTCATATTCCAAGTCACTCTCAAAGTCACTCCCGGACCGCGTCTTCCACCAGGTGACCTTGGGAGATCTATCACCGGAGGAGGCAAAGCACTTTGTAATTTCACAACTTGAGCAAGACGACCATAGTACCAAGAAGGACAACCAGGATGACGAGTCGCCCCCTAAAACAGAGAAGCAGCACCGGCAAGATCTCCGCGAGCTTGACGAATGCATCGAATCCCTCGGCGGTCGCTTAACTGACTTACAGGTCCTGGCCCGCCGGCTCAAGGTCGGCCAGAGCCCCAAGAAGGCAGTCTCGGACATCATCGAGCAGAGCGCCTCCGAGATCCTGCGCATCTTCTTGCTCGGCAACAACAAGGGCGCCGGGAACGGCGGCGATAAGAAGTGGTCGGCCGAGCAAGCGTGGTACCTGATCAAGGAAATCGCCGCCAAAGAAAGCTTGCGCTACAACGAGGTGCTCCTCTCGAGCACCTTCACCTCGTCCACCACGCCGGGCGCCGCCAACGCCGAGGCGGTTCTCGAGAGCCTTGCCAACGCGGAGCTCATCACGGTCAAGTCGCACCACGGCCGCCCGGCCACTATACGCGCGGGAAAGCCTGTCTACCAGGCTGCCTTCAGCAGGCTGCTCGAGGACCCCGTCGTCCGGGCGCGCATGGACCTGGCGCTACTGGGCGAGCTGGCCAAGATTGAGGCCAAGACCATCGACAAGGCAGAAGCAGAGCTGGGTGTGCTCGCGGCCCTGCCCCAGCAGCCGTACCAGGCTGCCGAGCGGGTCAATTACCTCTTGGCCAAGCTGCAGAGCAGCCAGCAGAAGATTGCGGCGTATGAGAAGGAAATGGGAGGGTTGAAGAAGATCTTGTCTCAGGAGGTTTGAGCTGAAAGATGGTCATGTAACTGACCTTAAGGTGATATGAGAGCAGAGGGCGATACGTAACCGTAGCTGGTGTCAGCTGTCAGAAATCCCGCGGGTTTGGTGCATGGCAGGGCAGTGATGGCGGGTTACGCGCATTCGATACCCTTATCAGGTTGCGTCTGTACAGGTAATCTGAAGCCTCTCCATTTTCCAAAATGCGAGCGTGAGGTTGTTCCTGCGAACACACAATCCATGATGCCTCCCAGGGGTGAACGTGAAACTTGGTGGTATAACATCTCTCAGAAAAACATGCTCATGAGCGTTCTGTCCGGCGACACCAGAACCCGAGGTTTGTGCAATACAATCGCTCCGCCCATCCTTTTGTCCTCGATTATTCCGAATCATTAGTACACCACCCAGGCCGGCGGGACTCGGGAGCCTGCAGCTAGCTGTACAATAGGGCTCAATCCCCCTCTTCGCTGCCTTCTTCCTCCGCTTGGCTCACCTCCACCTCCTCGTCTCCAGCATGCTCGCCCTCTTCTTCTGGCGGGGGCTGCGCTACAGTTTCCTGGCCTTGGGAGAAGAAGATCCGGGCCGGATGGTCGTAGTCATTCTCGATTGTGTACTCGTTGTCTGCAGTCATTAGTCTGAGATGTCTCCAGGGGGAAGTAAGAGAGAATAATCCACTCACATCTCGGCACGATAAATATCCCCCCCTTCCCAATCCGAAAACTGGTCTCCTGCACCGTAACCAGCACCCGTCCAACATGGACAAAAAAGATCATAAACACCTTCCGCGAGTTTTTCAACCGCTTGATCGCCCCGGGCGGGAGGTCAACCACCCCGGCGCCGATGAACCCTTCGCTAAAGACTTTTGCGTACCGGAACTCGCCGCCCACCACCTCGGTCGTCTTGATGGCCCGCCCGCTGATGGCCAGCTGCTTGTCCATGACGCTGACCAGGTCGTTGGGCGCGGGGGGGCGGAACTCGTACTCGGGCTGCCAGACCACCACCTCGCCTGTGACGGTGCCCGGGTCGAGTTCCCACAGATCTGCTGGTTCATCATCATCATCATCCTCATCATCATACCCATAACTCCCCCGGCGCCGTTTACCCTTGCCTTTCCCCTTCCCACCCTTGCTGCGTGAGGATGGTTTTCTAGACCGGACCTCAACCTCGGGCTCGTCAACCCGGACAACCTCCTTGATGCTGGGCAGGACGAACCGGGAGCGGTTCCGCGCGCGGCTCGAGTCGACCACGTCCTCGGCCTCGTCCTTTTCGTAGTCGACGCGCTCGTTGCGCCAGTAGGCGAGGGGCTTGAACGAGGTGCGCCCGGACCGCGTGCGGAACATGGACGAGGAAGAGTCCCCTGGTGCCTCGCGCCGGTTGATGAGGAGGCCGCGCGATTTGGGGAGTGGTGGGCGGCGCGCAGCGGCAACGACTGCGTCTGCGTCCGTGGAGGACTTGCGCTTGCGCCCAGGGCCTTTTGGTTTTGCTGACGGGGCGGGTGCCGCGGCCTTTTTTGGGGCCGGTTCTGGTGGCTTGTCGGTGGTTGGTTTCTTGCTTCTGGCGGCGGTTGGTTCGGTGCGCTGCCGCTTGGGTTGGGGCTCAGGGGAAGGTTCCCTGGCGGCAGCACTTTCTTCCTCGCCTAGCGAGCGTCGCTTCTTAGATCCGCGAGCTTGAGGTTGTTCTGCGGCTGGGCCCTTGCCCGCTTTAGGAGGCCGACCGCGACCGTTGGGTCCTGGCTTGTGTTGTGCGGTAGCCGGTATCTCCTCTTCCTCGTCTGCCGAAGACTGCGCATCTTCAGAACCCTCCTCTTCCACGACCTGCCTGGCAGGCTTCTGGGGTGGTTTTGCTGGCTTAGCTGAAATTTCGCTTTGCTTTGGCGGCCGGCCACGGGCTTTCAGGGCAGGAGGATCCGGATCGCCTTCGTCAACCATTGAGATCTCTTCTTCGGCTTCCTCGTCTTCCTTGGCCGCTGCTTGAGGGTCGCCGTCCTCGTCGCCGCCGTTTAACATAGCCATGGACTCTTCAACAAAGTCATTGACCTCGTCGTACTCTGCTCCCTGTTCGCTGCCTTCATCACTCTCTTGCTGAAGAGGCTGCAAGCGGTGGCTAGTCGCGAGCCCCCGGGTCGGTTGCGACAACGAGTGCGGACCGCCCGTCTCAACGCTCCTAAAGTCGAGACGGCGTTTTGATGCGGCTTGGTCGTGTACTGGCTGGCTGCTGGACTTCTCGGCACCGTCTCGGACGAGTGCGCCGCGCGCGGGCGATGACGAGTTGCGCGCAAGGAGCCGGTTTCGTTGGGCCGGGGACTTGAGCAGCGTCTTGACTGGCGACCGAACGCGCGGTAACGGCATGGGCAGCCTATTCCCATGGCCGTTGAGTAGCGCGGCCGGACCAAATCCCGATGCTGTAGCCGCAGGTCAGCATCTGTTTATGCGCGGCGAGACAAACCTGCTCGGCGGGGGCCGCATACTGGTAGTGATGTCCATGGGGGCTTCTCCGTTCCCGTCATCCTCCTCTGAAGGCGCGTCGTCTCGTTCCTCGCTCTGGTCTGATTTACCCGGCGACGAGAACAGGTTCTCGAGCGGCTCCATGCCATGTTCGTCGCGAACACCCGAGTCGGGAACAGTTACACCAGTTTTTCTGCGACTCAAGTCAGTATCCTCCCACGTTCTGCTGGCCATCTCATATGGACGCGCAGACTGACGTACCGCCCAACCACGCCCAGTTCATAGATATGTTCGGCTTGCGTGGTGCGCCGAGGCGCCAGCGACGCTCGAGGCGCGGGCGCCATTTTCGTTGCTTTGGGAGGTTCTAGACAAGGAGAGAGTAATGCGACACCGCGTACGGACACAAGCAATTAAGGACTGAATCGCGTCGAAGATATCCGATAGCGAGGTAGAGCGGGTCGGGAATGCGCGGGTTTGGCGACCTGCGAAGGCGTGCAATGGAGGTTTTGTTGTTTACTTGGTTCAGGAGGCAGTCGCTGCATGTTTAGACGGATCCAGTACGCCATTTGCAGCGTGTGCTGGGGATTTGGTCTGCCCCACGCCATTAAGCAGTTGACAAGTCTGCCAATTCTGATTCGCTAGTGACGCGGTGCGCACCTCGACGCGTCGAGCTTGCCGAGCTTGCTATTTGCCCACTGTGCATGTACAAGTACATGCTACAGTACAGATAATGGAATCTGGTGGGCTTTTCAAACTGAGAATGCATGACCGACCTTGAACAGAAGACAAAAAGGGAAAAAACGAAGAAAGACTGACGTTGAAGAACCTGGACGAAACCATCTCGTCAAGACACTCAACAATCCAACATGGAAGACTCGCAACCACCAGCCGAGGACATCGCTCTCGAAACTCCGCCCTCCAACGTCTTCATCCCGCCCTCCATCAACGAAAGCGCCCTCCTCGCAGGAGACTCATACACATACTTCTCACCCATCCCCGCCTCCCTCCTCCCAACACCCTCCTCACCGCAAACCCCCGGCCCGCCATGCGCTTTAGGCGTAGACGAAGCCGGTCGCGGCCCCGTTCTCGGTCCCATGGTCTACGGAGTCTTCTTCCTCCCGCTCTCACTCTCCGACCCTCTTTTGCGCACCACCCACCACTTTGATGACAGCAAAGTGCTCACTCCCAGCACCCGCTCGGCCCTGATGGAAACCCTCTGCACCCCAACCAGCGACCTCTACACCTCCTGCGGCTGGGCGGTGTCAGCTCTCTCAGCACGGGACATATCCGCGGGGATGCTCCGCCCCAACAGCGCGGGCGCATACAACCTGAACGCGCAGGCCATGGACGCGACGGTGGCGCTGATCCAGGGGGTGTATGCTCGGGGGGTGAACATTCAGGAAATATATGTCGACACGGTCGGGCAGCCAGCGGTTTACCAGAAGAAGCTTGAGCGGTTCTTCCCTGCGGCCAGGATCACCGTTGCCAAAAAGGCGGATAGTCTATACCCGTGCGTCAGCGCGGCTAGCGTGTGCGCAAAGGTCACGCGCGACGCGGCGCTAGAAACGTTGTGGAAGGAGGCGAAGGGGAGGGGGAGGGGAAGAATGGCGAGTGCTGAGGGTAGGGAGGGGGGCGAAGAAGGGGAAAAGGAAGAAGAAATGGCCTGGGGATCCGGGTATCCGTCTGATGCGCGATGCGTCGCCTGGCTAAAGGGCAACATGCACCCCATCTTTGGCTGGGGCCCGGAGTGCAGGTTCAGTTGGGGGACCTCCAAGGACATGCTGGAGGCAGCCCCAGGCAAGGGCGGCGGCGTCAAAGTAGAGTGGCCGGTCGAGGAAGACAACAACGATACCCATCGACTGACCGACTTTTTCGTTGCAAAGGATCAAGAGAAGGACGTTGACGAACTGGGGACATGGTTTGGCACTCCAGCCGGGCTGGAAGCTTTCTGACCCCGTCGAAAATTTGGCCCTGGAACTGTAATAATACCTGTTTGACGTTGGCATGGCGTTCGAGGGGTTGGACATCATAGTAACCATACTCGGTGTGCGAGCTGCCGCCTTAGCATTCAATCCAGTATCGAAACGCAACCTGTATAAACATGTTTAATCCACCCATGCAATGCGCCACAAAGTGCTCTCTGTACGTCTAGATATCATCCTCGTCGTCAGCCTGTTGTGCCCTCTTTCCTCGGCTATCCAGTCTGTCCAGGTTGATGCCGCCGTCCGCCAGTTGCCTGGCCGGCACTGCGATGGCTTGTCTGACCGTCTCATTATTCTCTAGGAACTCTCGGAGCTTCCCCTTGCCAATCTCGACAGCCTGGTTGGATGCCGCGTTTGCCATTTGCATCATCGGACCGAGAAGATTGAGCGTGTATGCCACATAGGTTCCGCCGCCCATGATCAGGATGAGCATGAACAGGATGGGGTTACGCAAGACTAGGATATGTCAGTTGGGAAAACACTTGACACTCAACACAACCGGAGCAGCTTACCCATGACAATCTCGTTCCAGCCGAGGACAAGCAGGACAACATAAAAGTACAGGGGCACCTGCGTGATGCCGCCAATTGCGCTCCGCTTGGCTTCCACATACACCCCGTCGGCCATCTTCTTGAACCTGACCACCAGGTCCTGTCGTTTGCTTTCGCTCAGAACCGTCATCTCCTCTTCGAGGCTCTTGCCCTCCTCTTCGTCCACGCCCCCGATGGGAGGAAGATCCTCCTCATCCTCGGGTTCCACACCAGCAGGCTGAGGGCCAATGAATTCCGGCAGGTCAGGGGGGGCATACGTCTCCGACAGCCTGAATCTGGACAGAACAGGGATCAATCCAAGCGTGGACTCGCGGGCTTTAGTGTAGACCCCCTCAATGTCGTCAGTCGGTCGCCAGATCCTGGGAACGCCCTCTTCGTCATAACGGAACTTGTCCTCAAAGTTTTCGCGGAGCTTCATGAGGATGTTGCTCTCCATGACCTCCTCTTCAATCCGCTCTCTGAGGGCCACCCAGCTCTTGCGCCGGAGCCGCCAAAGCCCGACCTCGACCTCGTCGTCGCTTGCGTCAAAGCTCTTGGCCCTGTCGACAAACCGCGTTTCGGCCTCCCGGACAATGCCAATGAAGGCGTTCCAGACGCGGTCCCACAAGTCCTTGTCGGTTGCCGGTTTCTCGCCAGTCTCCGGCGCGCCGGATCCGCCCCTGCCGGACCCGAGTTTGTTGAACTCGAGACCGATGGCATCGCCAAGACGTGACTTGACCCACCTCTCGACCCGGATGGCCAACCGCCGCATCTCCTCTTTGCGTAGCCGCGCGCTAACATCATCGAGCTCCTTCTCGAACAAGCGGTACTGCGGTTTGAAATTGGTCCAAGCCACACCTTGGATGAGCAGGCTCTGTGCCTCCTTCTTGAAGATCTCCAGCGTCTTCTTCTTTTGTTTCTCCACAATCTCGGCAAATTCGTACGAGCCGCCCGCTTTCTGGCCGGCCTTTACCGCGCCCGTGACGGCCTCGCTGAAAGCGGCGACGCCCGCCTTGTGCGCCGCCGAGAGCTGGCCTTGGTACAGCGCCTTGAGCCTGGTGTCGATCTTGCTCTCAAGTTCGCCGCGCTTCACGGTATACACGCCCTTGTGGTATCTGCTGGCTTGCGTCTCGAACGTCTTGAGGCACTTCTCACGGGCCCCGGCGCCGGCTTGTCCCAGGTCGGCTATGACGGACGGGTTCCCAAGGCGCGTGGCTTCTGCCTGCTGCTCCTCAAGCGGCACAATAGCTGCGTCGAATGCTACCATGACCTCGCGAGAGATTTCGTCGCAGCGGAACTGGGCCAGGAGCTCCTGCTGGGTCGGCAGATCGAGATCCTTGTTGTTCACGATCTGGTCCCACACGCCCTCCGTATAGACTGACAAGCCGTCGGCGGGTATCCTCCTGTGATATTCGGGCAGGAACACGCCACCCACGAATTCCTGGTCCTTTGTGGAACGGTGGCCGGCCGTGAAGCGAGAACCGAGCTTGTCAACCTCGGCTAGAAACTTTTCCGGTTGAAGGATCTTGTGTGGTAGCGCTGCGAAAGCAAAGTCAAAGTAGTCCTCAATCTTGGAATTCTCAAGACCCTGCGGTTTGGAGATGGATGACCAGATCCGGGTTAGATCTTGAATGAGTGTGTTTCGCAGATTGGCCAAGGGGGTGTTTCCGATGTGGTCGCGGATGACGAAGAAGAGTAGAGAACGGGTTTGCGACCTGAGTGCCAGTGGTTAGATCTCTGCACGGCAAACGAGGGACGCAGATCGAGGGAACCGAGAAACTCACTGCTTGTCCTTCAGGAATAGCTGCAGGTTGACCTCGAAGACAGTCTTGAGCAGACCCATGTTTGCGCCCTGGTACAGACCGACCTGATGTTCCCAGATATTGACAATCAGAACCTCGCTCGTGGCAAGGGCAAAGAGGGCGCTTTTGCGCTCAAAGTCCTGATCCTCCCCGCGCTCACGACCGTCGGTGCCTTCGACATCCATGACGAGGATGTTGTCGGCCATCTTGGCTGTGCCACCGTCTGCGCTCTCCTTCTTGTTCTTGGACATCCATATTCCCTTGGTCGTCTGGCGGCGCTCCGTCTCGGACATGACGCTGAACTCGGTGCCGAACAGGTGGTTGAGCAGGGTCGACTTCCCCGTCGATTGCGACCCAAACACGGAGATCAGGTGGTAGTTGAAGCCAGCCTCAGCGATGTGCGTCTCAGCCAGATAGTCGGAGAGATTGGCGTTGAAGGCCTTCTCCTCGTCGATGACCTGGATGCCATGCTCGTACTGCTTCGCCATCGGCCCGTTGCCGCCGACCGCGGCAAAATGGCCGTTCATCGTGGTCGCGTGTGGCCCTGCAGCGAGGGGGTTTGAAGCTAGTTGAAGCTATGGCGAAGTTGTCGTTCGGTGCAACGAACATGCCATGTTACAGATACAGTAGGTAGGAGCGTTTGCAATTTCCGGTGCGCTAAGATAGCGATGGGCTTGTGGCACGCCGCTGCAAACGTTCCCCGAAACTGGCCAGTGGCCAGAAGCCGCGGGTCACCTGGGGTTGCGCTAGGCCTACCTAGGTTAGCACAGACAGTATGTGAATGTAAACCACACAGTAGCTGCCTGAATCGCGGTTCGTCAGGACATGACGTCGTCGACCGCAGCTTCGTTTTCGGTTTAATTCGTTCTGGGACTCCTAACAGCTTTTGCTCTCTCTCTACAAGTATGTTATTGTAATCTCTCCGTTCTGATTGTTCTGAGTCCATGAACCTATAAAATTATTCTCTCTCTGTTATCTTTTCTCTTACTCCCTTTTTTTGCTGATGTTTTCCATGCTGTATTCACCATCCTCTTCCAGCATCGAATCCCACATCAAGATCATAGTCATATGATGCTTTCCACGATCTCGTGCCGCCCGCCTGAGATGTCGGCCTACACATGTGGCCATTTCCAGTCACACATAGAACGCAATAACTTATCGAGGGTAATAGAACCAACAGCATTCTCTTGGCCGATCATCAAGCTCCTTCGAAATTCGAAATGGCTATCACGCCGTCATTTGGTCTCTCAACTGATGCTGTGATGCTCCAGTCACCAACGTCAAGACCGTATTATCCTAACCTTCATTAGTGAAGTAGCAGAGCATGGTTCAATATTTGTACATACGGGTGCAACGCTCTTAAGTCCATTTATTGTGTGTACACTTTACAGCTCTGAGTCCTGAACAACAGTGGGTTTGAGATGTGGTATCATAATACCTATTCGGGTTAGATTGAGTTGAGAGTTTACACATCTTCACCTCAATGATACCGGTACCTTCCTCCCCAACTGTCCTTTGCGCTCTTCTGCTTTCCTCTTCAAGGTCCCTTGTAGGCAAACTTGGGCTTCGTACCTTAGTGAACTTCAAGTCGAACACAGCGAAAACTTGAAGGTGTGCCGGCATCGAGGGCCACTCTGTGTTTGTACTGTATACAACTGTGTTCACGGGGGGTTGGCTCGGGAGGCCCCACGGAGCTTCCATTCTTCAACGGACATGCGCGACACGCTCCGAGCCTTGCTTCACGAGACCCGAACATCGGCGCCAAAGACGTTGAGCTTTATTTCTGGTCCTTAGTGGTCCCAAATTGGACATGAGGATAATCAAAGCTCCAACCGTATTTGAGAAGCAGCAAATAAGACTCAGGTAATTTTACTGGAAGCGCGTGGGGACCTGTGTCTTCAAAGCACTCTTACCGGTGGTATCCGTACCTGAATTTAGCGCTGGCTCGCACCTACCTAACGTTAGCCTGTCGAGTGTCGACCGGCAACCACCATCGTCCGAGAACCAAGGGAATACCTTGACTAACGTCCCCAGGCATCTTCGAGTCAAAAAGACATCATATTCCTTCCATCAGACATCATACAAAGTATTGTTCCGCCAGCCGCAGACAATATGCCCCACGACATCTTCATGGCCGCTGTGGTGGCTGGCGCCGACATGGTCAAAGCCCGGACCCTCGTCGGCGGCTTCACCGAAATGCGAGAGCGCCACCTGTTTGACCGCATCCAGCACTATGAGCCCCAAGACCTGGCCGTCAAGGGATTTCCGAAAGCCAAAGAGCTTCAGAAAGAACGCCCGCCGAACGGACCCCTCTGGCAAGAGCTGCATCAAATTCTTGCCAAGCAGCCCGCCACTTTGCAGGTGCACACCAAAATCACAGACGAGGTGATCAGCAAGGCTGGCACGGGAGAAGCCGTCGCCATTGCGCCCGGAAAGTCGCGTGTGCTGCGGTGGACGGAGCTGCCTGACCCCCCAAGCAGCCGGATCCCTCCGTTCATCATTCAACGCAGGATCCTCGAGATCAGCGACAGCAGGATAGAACAGATCTTGGCAGAGAATGGGTTCAAGTTTGTCGTCACTTCAACATGACTTGCATGACAAAAACCGGACTGCGTTCCTAACTGTATCGTCTACAGAGTCAAATCGGACCTGGTCGACGAGTCGTACCAGTGGTGGCTCAACGACGTGGAATTTGCCCTGACACGCACATATGCACTGTCTTTAGATTTCAACCAGTCGCCAGATTCCAACCAGTCGCCGTCGCAGCAGATTCCAGATCTGGCTTCCCTCCAGCCTGTCGCCGATTTTTGGATTCTGTTCGTCCGTACTCGGGTTGATTCGACACCCGAACGCACTCAGTACGGCCAGAACCAGCTGGCGCGGATCCGGGAGCAATTCGCCGGAGTCTTTGACTTCAAAGCTTTTGATCGCCGTTTCTTTGATTCTCGGATCCAGGAAAAGAGGGTACAAGGTTCGGCCTAGGCGCCCGGAATGGATTCCCCTCCTACTACCGACGACGAGGATGATGATGGCGAAGACGCCCAGGAAGACGGTCCTGAGGAAGATATTGACACGGACTTCTGGGATGACGAAGACTCGGCAGAGTCCGACACCAACAACAACTCGAGTGAGACATAATTACACTGAGTATATCCACTATTCAGGCAGAACCAGTGGCAGAAGATGAGAAGGGGGCTGGAAGCGATGGTAGCGTTAACCTGCAGAGAATCCAACGCTAGAAGTTCACCAGGACAAAGTAATTGCACCTTTATTCATCCAAGGATACCTTGAGATGCACATCGACGCCATCTCCGACAACGGCAAACATGACCATGGATGGAAAACGTTTGTACTTGTACTGACAGCAGCAGGGTGCCTTGAAAATGTCTTCAGGCGATGATTGGTTTCGGCCCTCGGAAAGTGGGGTTCTCCAAGGGGGGCGCTAGCACCCTGGCCAAGCCCGGCAGAGGCCTGTGCCGGGGATGCTTGGACGGGTACTTTAGGGAACGGACTGGCTCACGGACTGCTGGGTGTCTGCGACAGTCCCTCCTTTCCGAGCATTGATGAAACAGGAACGGCTTTTGACTTGTTTCTCCGTGCCGCCGACGCCAAAGAACCCTCGTCGACTTCTTCCTCGTTCATGTGTCGACGCCGAGATGGTCTACGGCGGGAAGCCTTCTCGGGGTTGCCGAACCTGCCGCGCGCGGCGGATCAAGGTGGGTTCCATGCCAGCCATGCCGTTCTCCCGGGCAGCCGGCCAGCCGGCCAGCCAACTAGGTACTAGTACCTTAGTTTACTACCAGCATATACCGACCGCTACTCTGCATGATACTAGTGCGACGAAGGCAAGCCGACATGCAAGCGATGCGAAAAGTCCAAGAGAGTGTGTGGCGGTTACAGACCCGAGTTCGAAATTGTCCACCGCGACCAGACGGTATCAACGGTGCGCCGGTTGCGCAGCAGGGCTGCCGGCAGTTTGCACCAACAGCTAGTTCCGCTGTCTTCGGAGCCGACTCCGTCGCCCGTCTTAGCGGTGCCCGTCCTAGAGAGGGCGCACTGTTACTTCGCCTCCAACTTCATCATGGTGCCGCTTCAAATGGGCGCCAGTTCGCCCGGTTTCATGGAGTATCTTCTTCCCCTGATTAAGTCGGAACGTCCCGACACCGCATTGCGACACGCTTTCCATGCCTGCGCCTTTGCTCTGCTTGGCAATTGCGCCAAGTCGGAGAGCATCGACCTCGCGCAGCTGTCTAGGAAGTATTACACTCAGGCCCTGTGTAAGACGCGCAGGGCACTGAGTCATCCCGAAGTAGCTGGGACTGATGCTACTCTAGCCGCCATACTCATGTTATGCTTATATGAGGTCCGTCCGACCACTGGGTCTGCCAGCCGCCCCTGGGTTATGAGCATAGTATGCTTACATCTGTCCGTTATGTAGAGTATCACGGCTATCAAACCAGACGACGTACCAGCGTGGCGTTCGCATATTGATGGCGCCGTGCAACTTGTCTGCAAACGGGGCCGCGAGAAGATATGCCAAACCAGGATAGGTTATCTGCTCTTCTCTGATGTGCGGCACCATCTGGTAAATCTCCCTCTGCCCTCTGGACCGCCCCTTTGTGCTTACATATCGCAGGTCGTTCGAGCTCTGTCGTCTCTCGAGCCAGTGCCGTTTGGCGCCGACTGGTGGATGTCGTACGGCGATACTGATTCTCTCTTTGCAACCTTTCAGCGCTTCGCTCTGGCGTTTGTCGAGATTCGCGCAGAGGTATCCAGACTCATCATCACCACGTCGCGGTCACCGGAAACCCTAGAGCAGATGCGTAAGCTGGCAAGGCGGGCGCAAGCAATAGACGATGGCATTGCGAAGTGGTTGGACTCAGTCCCAGACAAATATCGCCCCAAAATGCTGTGCTGGCTGGGGGACGAAGAGGTTGGGCTTCTAGAGGGGAAGGACTACGGCGACATCGAGGTCTTTCCGGGCCGTGTCGACGTCTACTCGGACTTTCTGACGGCTAGTGCCTGGAATTTGGGTAGAATGTCCCGCATCATCCTTGCCTCTTTGAACATCCGGATCACGGCGTGGATGTGCTTCCCAATCGACTACCGCACAGTCCCCGAGTTCGAGAGCTTCAGGCGTGTTTGTGAGGGCCCCATCTCTGATATCATTGCCTCAGTGCCTTACCATTTCGGTTGGCATTTGAGGCGAAAAGAGCTGATGGTCCATGAACGGGGGCCAGCACCAGGATTTGCCTGTGGCCAGGAGGGACCCTGCAAGGCCCTGCCGTCCCTGTTTCTGTTGTGGGCGCTGACGTGCGTCAAGAACCACGACATTTCGAGTGCTGAACAGCGGGCATGGGCAAAGGGCAGGCTCAGGTTCATTGCTGATAAGATTGGGTTGAAGTATGCCCATATTGCTAATGACGTGAGTAACATCCTACCAACAATCAGGAATTCAAAGTCTTCCTGCTCCCAAGCAGTGCGACGGCTCTAACGGTCTTCCAGGTTGACATTCGCTTTCCGTCTATGCTGATTCGCCACGATGGGACGATGGAGACGCCAGCTCACATTTCAGCCAAAGGGCTTCCTTTGAGGCCTGCCGCTGTGTCCCAGAGTCCAGAAAGCAGCTCTTCGCCATATCCCAGCTGACGGCGGTCATCCAGTTGGCATGTTTTTGAACTCTTCTGGGTCCGTCTGGTCCATTGCAAGTTAGTTGCCCAAGACTGTCTGCCTGGGCATAGCGAATGCCATGAGACAGAGACAAAGTCAGACGATGGGAGTCGAATGCCGGAGAGTCGGCGGCGCCAAGCATATCCAATACCTATATTATAAACGAAAACGAAGGGAAGGGATAGCTGACGGGCGACGACACCATGGACAAATAGTAGATAGCCGGGAACTGCAAATGGGGTAAAGGACGGTCAATGTGACCGATTTAAACAGTGCTGTGGGCAAAGGACTGACGTACAATTGGAAGTAACCCTAATCCAAGGTGCCCAATCTGGCCAATGGTCAGGTTAGGACTCGAAATGCTTCCTCTGTGGGCGAAGACGGGAAGTCGGAGTCGACCTTCCCATTTACATACCTAAGGCAGAGAGGCGCTGGAAATGGGAAATGAATGGCTCCGACTCTTTGGCATGCCAGAAGCCATTCTCTATCCGCTAACTAAAGCCCTATGCAATGTACTGTACCTTGATCGATACCTTGTACTGGTAGGAGTGTTTCACCCCTGTCAATGTTTCCGATTGTCAGGTTCGTCGAGCAAGCTGGCGATACCTAGACTTGAGCATTTAGTTGTAAGATACCCCTATTTGCCGTCGTGGTGGTGTTGGATACACTCCCGGCGGGTGTATTGTACTGTACCAGTCGAGCTATCTGAAAACAGTCCTTACCAGATGTGTGGAACAGCCAGAAAAGCCCATTACTTTACGAAACATTCCCATAGTTCTCATGAATACTACCTACCTGTTAGTACTCGAATAGCGGTTGTTATGGAAGACATAGACTGTATTCAACCTAGAACAGGAGAATGGTAAATATCATACAGCTTATAAAAAGCATATCCAGACCATTCCTATCCACTTCTCATTCACCTCTCGGCAGTATCACTTCAAGACGGATAAGCCGAGCCGCACGAACTGCTCGGCGTCCGCACTCGTGACGACAACAAACACCAAGTCGCCCATCCTATCCACTTTACCTTCTAAAGCAAAACTAACCAACCTATCTATAGCAACCATGGGACAGCAGAGCTCTACCTCTTCGACTGCTGACTCGCAGCGCGATGCCAATCCGGGCAACGCTTCCCCTGTAGCGGCCAGCACTGGAAAGGGGGAGGGGCCACAGCCCTCGGCGGCTGCTTCTCAGGATGCGACTCGCACCTTGGCTCCTGAGGCCGAGGGTGCCGCCGCCAATAGCAGCCTGCCTCGGGGGAAGAAGCGCAAGCATGCCGAGATCTCCCAGATATACTAGTAGTTCTCTGACAACCTCGACGGAGCAGGAAATGAGGAGAGAGCCCACTGCAGCATGAAGATGCAGCTAAGTAGCAGTAGCGAATAGAGTCAATAGACTTGAGTTTGGATGAGCCATGACATAAATACTGATAAGTTTAGTTGATTCCCCATAATGATTAGACTCGCATGAAAGTCAGGGGCATAAAGGCTTCGATAATAGGGAATTTCAGGTGAGGAATGTGCGTAGGTGTGCGTGAAGACAGTGACCTAGTAGGCACTTACCTTAATCGAGCCCCTCTCCGGTCTCTCCTACCCCAAGTTTCTTGCCCGGGCCAGCCTCGACGACCTACTGGAAAACGCTGGGAAGAATGGGTAGTATATTCTGTGGTTGGAAGTGGCCTAAAGGTTCAAGTTCCAGGGTGCCCCGCGAACCACAATAAGAGTTGGGATCGGGGGGCAGTGCACCTTTGCTACGGGGGCAGTGTGCCACATATATCCCTAACCCTTGATCTTTTTACGGTTACGTCCACGCCCACCGTGCCAGGATCACCCATCGCTACATCGCTGAATTGCTGTAGCTGTAGTGGCTCAATTGCTCCAAAACGCAGTAATCTTCAGATTCAAGCAAATCAACAACGGTTTAATTATAGACCCTTTGTGTGACCTATACTTACCTTGATTCAATCTTAGGTTCCTAACCTCTAGGTACCTAGGTTTGACGACTCTACCGCTGCGATTAACCCTCTGTCTGCCCTACAGGCGTTGAGCGTTGCTATCGCTAGGGCGTTGTACTGTGTTGTATGTACGTCGCCGTCGCTGGGGCGTTGAGCGTCGCCTAGCAAATTGAACCTCGCCGTCGCCCTACAACGCCTACCTTTCTTCATCGCATATTGAACTTAAAGAATTTAATCCGCTCTGAATATCACTATGGAATTGAAGGAATTGGGCTACTGTAGCCAATTCGATGTTTTAGTGGGTGGGTGAATATAGGTGTGGAGTAAGCCTGGTAGGTGGTGGGCGTGGATTTAGTGGGCCACAGAAGTAAGGGTGGGGGTTATATATGCGGCACACTGCCCCCGTAGCAAAGGTGCGCTCCCCCTTGATCCCAACTCCACAATAAATACAAGAAAACAATGCAGTGGCTCCTGCCACTTTACACTACCCAACCACTTGCATGTTGGCTGGAAATATACCTCACGATCTGATCGCATCACATAAGATATCTGATTAGGTTCAAGTTGGGACACCAGCGCAACTCGTATGATCCTTCAATTCTTGTGGGAGTCTGGGACAAGATCGAGAGCATCGAATTATCAACTGACGTCATTTCACATCCCGAGTGCCTACAAGAGTACCTACATACTTCGTCCAGTGTACCGACTTCGTCGCCTTCTCAGTAAAAAAGTGATAAACAACCATGCTCCCCAACGTCGACCCAGCCATCCTCGAGGCCCTGGGTCTCGAGCCGACCAGCTCCAAGCTGGTCTCGCACGGCAGCTCGGGCTTCTCGTCGACCTACAAGCTGGTAGCGGCCCGGGACGGCGAAGACCTGACCTACTTTGTCAAGGTTGGCTTTGGCCCCAACGCCGAAGTCATGTTCCGAGGTAGGTCACAACCTTGAACCCCCTTTCACTCAATTGATGAAACCAAGAAGCTCTTGCCAACATGCCAACTTGACAACATGCGAATACCACTCATTAAACGCCATCCACTCGGCCGTGCCGGACTACCATTTCTGCCCGCGCGCGCACGCCCACGGCGCCATGCGCTCGTCGCCGGGGAAATTCTTTCTTGTGACTGACTTTCTCGACCTCACCGCCTCCTCATCATCCTCTTCTGGTAGTGGAAGTGGAAGTAGCGGAACGGGCTTGTCGCTCGCGGCCAAGCTGGCCCGTCTGCACACGACGCCGGCGCCGGTACCGCCAGGTTTTGACAAGCCTGTGTTTGGCTTTCCCGTGCCGACATGCTGCGGCGCCACGCGCCAGGAGAATAACTTCACCGAGTCGTGGGCCGAGTTTTTTGCAAACCATCGCCTGAGGGCAATCCTGCGCGAGGCGTTGAGGAATAATCATAGCGCGGGGGCGGACGAGGAGCTGGTTGAGGCGGTGGACAAGGTTGCTAGTGTCGTGGTGCCGAGGCTGTTGGGTGATGGGCATTTGAAGGGGGTCGTGCCGGTCGTGGTGCATGGGGATTTGTGGAGTGGGAATCATGGACGGGCGAGGATCGGGGGAAAAGGGGGGGTGGAGGAGGTGGTTTTTGACCCGTCATCGGTGTATGGGCATTCGGAGTATGAGTCTGGAATTATGCGCATGTTTGGGGGGTTTGGGAAGGAGTTTTGGAGGGAGTATGAGAAGTTGGTGCCCAAGACGGAGCCCGCGCATGAGTGGGAGGACAGGATGCTGCTCTATGAGCTGTGAGTTCTGCCTACCTCCCTACTGACCTATTCCTTGTATATTGTGATGAAGGATTGCTGACTTACTGGCTCTGCAGCTATCACTATCTGAACCATTATGCCCTGTTTGGAGGGGGGTATCGGGGCAGCGCGATGTCGATTTTACGGAAGCTGATCGCCAAGTATGGGAGATGATTCGGTCGAGGACCCAAGACGTGTTTGAGCAAGGGTGAATGTTTGCGTCATTGTATGTTCTCTGGGCTTTGCGAACTTCGTTTGCTCCAGTACAGGCAGTGAGATGTTGGCGAATGCAGTCATGCAGGAAGCTGAGGAAGCTACAAGTTGCGCCCACAGTAATCCATTCTATCGCTCCTGCCCCGCTTCACTCTCTGTTCAACCATTTGCATTGCAATGAATCTTTGCATGAGAAGATAGAATATCAATAAAGCAAGCTCTGCCAACACCATGGTTCAACCCACGGCCTTTCTTGCACCCATCATCCATTCTCTCTCTATCTCGGAGCTGGAGATTCTCCCCTGCGCGCTGCTCGTCGTCAATGGCGAGGGCAAGATCACATCACTGCTCAAAGATGTTAACCCCAACGAGGCCCGCCATATTCTCGACCGCCTAAACTTCCCAGGGATCAAGATCAACGTCCTTGGCCCGGGCCGCTTTCTCATCCCCGGCTTCATCGACACGCACAACCACGCGCCGCAATGGGCCCAGCGCGGGCTGGGACAGGGCATGCACATCCTCGACTGGTTGGACACCATCACCTTTCCCAACGAGGCCCGCTTCCAGGACCCGGCCTGCGCTCGCCGCATCTATGCCTCCTGCGTCGACGGATTCCTGCGCCAGGGCGTCACTACGGCGTCCTACTACGGCTCTGTCCACGGCGAGGCGACGCGCATCCTGGCCGATATTTGCTTGGAAAAGGGCCAGCGCGCGCTGGTGGGCAAGTGCAACATGTCGCGCAACGCGCCGGACTTTTATCGTGACGCCTCCGTTGAGCAGAGCCTAAGGGTTACCGAGGAGTGCATCGCCCACATCCGCTCCGCTGATCCCGGCGGTCAGCTCGTCCGGCCGGTGCTCACCCCGCGCTTCGCCATCTCGTGCGACGACGAGCTGCTGCGCGGGCTGGGCCGTATTGCGGCAAGGGAACCGGATTTGCCTATCCAGACGCACTTTAACGAGGCCGAGCAGGAAATGCAGGCCACGAGGGGGCTGTTTCCGCAGTTTGATTCTGAGGCGGATTTATATGAGCATTTTGGCTTGCTGGGTCCGCGGTCTATTCTGGCTCACTGCTGCTATGTGACCGAGTATGAGATGGAGCGGCTGCGGGCGCTGGGCTGCGGCGTCGCGCACTGTCCCGTGTCAAACATGACCGTCGGCGGCGGGTTTATGGCTGCTCCTGTGAGGGAGTTCCTGCGGAGAGGGATCAAGGTCGGTTTGGGCACGGATAGTGGCGGGGGGTTCTCGAGTAGCATCCTTGATGCTATGCGCCAGGCGATGATTGCCAGCCATGCGCGCGAGGTTATGAGTAAAGGACAAGATAAGGGTCTGAGAATCGCAGAGGTTTTTTGTCTGGCTACCCTGGGCGGCGCGCAGGTGTGTTCGCTGGAGGACGGGGTTGGAAATTTCGTTGTTGGCAAGGATTTCGATGCCCTGGTGGTCGGCACCCAGGGGGGTGACCAGGGGATCATGACCATGGTGGAGGAGCACGACAGTTTGGAGACGGTGTTTGAAAAGTTTGTTATGACGGGCGATGACAGGAATATTCTGGAGGTATATGTTCAAGGAAGGCTCGTGAAGCCTTCATGCGATGAAGGGGCAGTAAAGCATTGAAGGTAGAATAGGGGGTTCAACCCGAGTGTTGTTCTGTCACTTAGACTGGAGTGATCAGTGAAATCTGAAGCCTGAGAGTTCTCAAGGTCTATCTTAAAGAGTAGCAAGGGAGGTCCGGCCCCTTTACGGATTTGACATGCTAGTAAGTAGTAAGGCATCCAGTTCGAGCAGATGCTTGATTATGGTGTCCCAGGTATAAGCGCTTTCTTTAGGCAGATCGAGGGATTAAGATATGACCAGGAGCAACTTGAAGTTCTCTTCTGTTGTATTTTTACCAATTCATCGTTTGTATACTCTATTCGCATATCCGTCTACGAATCCTGGCAATATAGACTAGTAAAATACCTTAGGTGTCCACCATAATTGGCCCCAAATAGAGACTGTTAAAGGCGACAAATCAACCCTGAGATCATCATAGTGGTGGTGTACAATAATGTAGATAAACAGGGCGAGGGTTGTAGACTCGCTAGAAGGGGAAATGCCGTTCAAAAGAAGAAATCGCCTCGCCATGCTCGCCCTGTTGATGCCGACCAACACCTCTACCCACGACCCAAAATGCAGACACAAACTCTACAGGTACAAGTTACGACCCCATGTTCATACAAGAACAGATGACCAGCACCCGTCCACTTACCCCTCCATTTAAGCAAGCCGCACCCTCTTCGTCTCACACCCGTAAAAGAACCCCTTCCTATTCCCATACCCAACCGCCACCCCAACCCGCCTAAACGACTCTGGCTGACCCCATCTGCGGTTAGGCACCAGCAAGAGCATAGCAGACTGTCCCAGCTCGAGGCACACAATCTCTTTTTCATGCCCCTCCTGGACATAAGGTGTAAACCTATCCATCGGCGGCTCGTCCGGAACGAGGTAGTCCAGCTGGCCGACGACCTCGCCGCTGTGGGCGTCTTTGGACACGATGCGGCCGTCGGCCCGGTTGCGCGCGTAAATATGCTGCCCTGAAAAGTCGACAAAATCGAAGCTCGTGCGGGAACCGCCTCGCTTCCGCTCGATGGCCTCCCAAGAGACGTGCAGCGCGTCCGAGGATATGAACCGCCGGAACCGGCCCTGCACTTCGACTACCTTGATGGCCCTGCCGCGCTCCTCGACGGCTTGGGCGCGGCTTAGTGGGGTTTCTTTGATTGCCTTCTCCGTGTGTGGCATGGGTCCACATGGAGGTGCGAGGGTGTGCTCGACGGCCAGGAATTTGAAGTGCTCGGAGGGCCGGAAGGCATGTTTGGTGCTCGTGCGCACACGGAGGGGCAGCGAGGCCCATGACCACGACGCAGCAATGTGTTGGAGGTTGGTCCGCGGGTCGACGGCCGTTGCGACGGACCAGGAGAGATGCCTGGCAAAGTTGTCCCTCCACAGGCCCGCCAGATATTCTTCCGTGATGACCGAACCCCCCGTTCCGGCCTTTGCGGTGTAAAATCGCACAGCAAGGCCGGCGATGGCCAGGAATCGATCCCGCGGCTCGACCAGATCCCGCGGGGTGTAGGCCTCGACTATGTCCAGCCACTCCTCGTGGAGCTGCTGCTCGTCCCCCGTAAGACAGAGCTCTAGAAAGGATTGCGGCGAGCTGCTCATCTGCGTTGGCCCCTCGGTTGTGGGAGAGTGGAATCCCAGCTCGCTCAGCTCGGTCACTTGGCGCTCGGGACAGACCCAGTACCATCGCTGGCTGGTCCAGTACAGGGTCCTAGGAGAGAGGCGCTCTTCCTGCAACGTCCACCCCCGCTGTGACACGGGCGACTCGCGTCGAACTCTGTCCAGAGACATCTGCGTGTTGTGTAGCCACTGCCCGCGCAGCTTGCAGGCTTTGCTGCGATGGGTCCAGGCCAGCCGGTCGTATAGTAAGGGGTCTGTTGCTTTGGTGCTGGAGGATGCGACTAGCGTGAATGCCGCGTTGCCGTAAACCTCATGCATCACGGATGCTTCCGTATCCCAGTTTGTGCCCTTAGGGATGCAAACGTTGTCGATCCAGATGTAATAAAACCCCAACGATGCCGAGATGGCGATGGCATCCTGCATAGTCTCCGGTAAGTCCCATATTGGAAATGGATTTCGCCGCTCGTCGACGGGATAACCATCCTTTGTCTTTGTGCCGGCGCCTTTGATCCTTGCCCATTCGGAAGCGGGCATACTCGCCGGGTCTCCCCACGAGTAGCTTAATACGACGTAATCGACAGGCGCCCGCGGGCCCGCGACCAGTTGAATATGGCTGTCAGATACGATGTGAATCAGCCAAGTCGGGTTCCGTTGCGACCAACGGTATCTTGAAGAACACTCATGGTTGCGGTGGCAATCATCGATGACCCGGCGCAGTTCTGTGAGATTCGGGCGCAACCTGGCACCGTGTCTTGTAGGATCTTGTTGAGGCAGAGGTGGCGGTTTGCTGCTGAGATGGACGGTAGCGGAAAACAGGGGGTGTTCGAGTGCTCCGATGGTGAATGACAGACTGTCGCCGGAAGGGGAGAGGTTCAGAATAGCGAGGACAGGTGCTTGATTTTTGGGATGCTCCAGGAGCTCGGCATCTTGCAACGTGACTTGTTCCAGGAGAAAAGCTCGACGAATCGTGCGGCACGTGTCACATGCAGAGACGCCGGAACAGTAATCGAGTTCGATATAGCTATTGTGGACCAGACGAGGCGCCGAGCAACCTTGATAGGCACTGTCTCGTCTTCTCTGCACTTCCCCCCAGCGCAGCAGCTCACAGATCTCGCTGCAACCCTTGCACTGCCGCTGACAGAACTCATTGATCTTGGTATGGGAAAGGGAGGGACCGGTGTATCGGGGACGACCAAAGACGGCACCGCTCACAAGGCGCATATGCTTCTCGAGCAGAGTGTCGGCTAGCATGGCTGCATGAGTCGTATGGAGAGCTCCAAGGTTGTTCGATTGAGGCGTCGGGGAGCAAGGTTGAGGACAGGGGGCCTCAACCCCTTCAAATACCAGGTGCCTGACATCATCATCAGACTACAACAGTCGCTCTGGCAACTGGAGTATGCTGGGATCAAGTTTGAAGTTGGTTGGTCAATTCCGTTTGAAGGAGCGAAAGTTTGTGTTGGAGTAATCCGCCCTAGGCTCTTCATGACGCTATTCTGAGGATCCCTTGCGGCTATGCCAGACTCTCTGTCCGGCCCGGACGGCGGCTGTGGCAGTGAGTCAGTTGGGGTCGAAGAGGACCTCACCTAACATGACTACCTAGGTACAGGTATCATGCCTGCCTTGATGCCTGCTCGCCTAGGCTGCTTAGTACGCTAGTGCGGTCCCAGGACTTTGAAGTCCATCCAACTTCCAAGTCAAGATGGCCATTCAGGACGCCGTATGCCTGGCACAAGTGAGTAAGTAGCAAAAGGCAGCTGTATTGGATTGGAAGTGAATTAGTAACCAACTAGGTATAACGTAAGCAACCGCCGCCATTCCAAAACCCCCAACCAAGGTGCGTTTCTCAGCACCTGAGGCTGCCAACGGCGCTCGTCGCGTATTGTATCAGCGATCAGCAGAACAGAGGCGGGCCTCTTCCCGGTATCCACTTTCCGGCTTTTCGAGTCGGGGCTTCCTCTGCCATGATTGGGGGTTTCTGTCACGTGGATCTCGCTTCCAGTCTGACTCGGCTAGCTTCCGTCCGTCAGAACATATCTCGGCTTGGTCAGATCCGGAGCTGTGTTTCCCTTAGCGTGCTCCTCCGGCAGCAGCGAGTCAGGGACTCTGGAAGTTCACAGTCGGATACTGCGGAAATACGCTCTTCGCGGCTGCTATGACCGGAAAGTGCGCAATGGAATCAATGGATAGAACGGTATGTAGGGCACTCCACCGGAAGCACCCAGCAGGTTGGCCAGGGTAGGTAGATAATGTAACCAAATTCGGGCGCACTCCGCTCATAGCAGCCACCAGCGAATCGTGAGCGGTCAAAGCCGTAGGAAAGCAGGAGAAAGATGTTGTGTTTCCCTACAATTTTGTGAGGAGATCGGTTAGAGGAGGGCAATACCGTTGTCGGATTGTCCTCGTCCCAAATTCAATGTTGTCACTCGTTACACGGCAGCAGAATCCCAGAGCCGCCGTGTCGGTGTGACAGGGTTGTGTTCTGGAAGAAGCCTTGGAACCGTTGGGACGGCGCTCTCACAGATGATTGGGAATTTGGAAACCGGTTTCGTGACAGGGTGGGGGCTGCACGCGCTAAATTAAGCGCGCCTTTGGGTTCTATGTGGGGAGGGCATCAGCCCTACGGCCAGCTGTGCAAGGTTCTGATCGCGGACCTTGCACGTGTCCTTGCCGGCTGTGCCACACATCAACCTCAGGTGGCTCACGTATCGAAGTCCACATCCGCCCCAAGATGTTGCACAACCAGTAAGCCAAGAGATATTTTGGCAGGTGGTTGCGCGGTTAAGGTACGATCTCCTCTCGAGCGCTCTCTCGGTCATTTTTAGTTGTTATCTAACAGTATCCGTAAATAAGCCCGCTCACGTTAGTTAGGGCACATGCATGGATCCGTTTGGCTCGCTTTTTTAGCGGTCTTGCTCACCGGCTGCTGCCCGTCCCGGTGGAAATCTTCGAAAGATGCCAAATCAATCCATCCTAATTGGCTTTGACTGCCACCTGAGCGGTGCTCTGCCCTTTCTTGTAATCGAGGCTTGCAGATGGATTCCTCATCATTGGGTTCAGGCAGCGACTTCGAAGATGCTTTGCTCGGTAAATAGCAAATTGTGCCGCACAAAACGCCCAGCACAAATCCACCGCGCAGCTGCGTAGTCCTCTTGTCTCCCAACCGCGGAAGCCGATTGGTTCCCCAGAATTCAGATCGGATTCAGGACCTGTTACAACCTGCCGACTGTCGTATACTGCGCCGCCACACCTTCTTCTCGACGTTTCCCACACCGAGATAGCTTCTACCCGGCTCTGAGTACCGTTCCCCGCAAACAAGGGGTTTGCCCCTGGGCTCTCCCGGCCCCCTTACCGACGGCGTCGACTCATCAAGCCATGAAGTGGGGAGTGTGGCTCGTCGTGCGACCGACTGCCGACACAATGAATGGCTAGCTAAGTTGCGGCACCATCACTAGGGGGTGGCGGTCACAGACCGGCAAACATGGCAGCCTGGCAGCCTGACTGTTGTCACAACTCTCGTCTATGTTTACTTACCTGCAAAACAGATGCGGTCCATGGCGAGCACATGGTCAGCAGCTGCTCCGCCGTTCTGGTCCAGACCAACTGACTGAGCATCTGAGTAATGTGTCGTGCCTTTATCATCGACTGGTGAGCCCTTGCAATCAGTCCATGCTCTAGAATATATACCATGGGATTTCGATGTTCAAGCCTACCGTGCCCATTAGTCCGATTGATCAGCAGAGCCATCAATAAGCCGACTGATAAACGGTGGCATTCCCCAACCCTGCTTCGTGCCGTCCCGTCCCTTGGCTTTACCGAATTCTTTGCCACGCTCCCGTTCGGCTTCCTATCCCGTATCTCGTCATCCGACCCTCCCGCATTCCGACATGTACAGAACGAAGCACTTCAGATGGAAGTTGACGCACGTGTTGGCCATCCTAGCTCATCTCGGTCTCACTGTCGCCGCAAGCACAAGCTACATCTACAATCTCAACAAGGGCACGCGGATGGCCGAGTGGAGAAGCCTAAGTCTCCAGACTTCTGGCGATTCTGTCCCTTGTCGCTTCGCAGTTTTGGGCGGGCTCGGGACCTTCGGCACGTTTGACGTTGCAGTCCGCGGGTTGCTCTTGACGTGCTTGGCCGTGGTAGGAACCTAGTTTTTCATTCTGCCCCCCGGCCGAGTGTGGTCGGGACCGAGCTAATCATACTCTCACAGGGGGCGATTGGAGCCGTGCTAAACGCCGCCATCTTTACCCTTCTCTTAAGCATGGAGCCCAATAGAATCATGCTGACCGAGGGCGAGCAACACTGGCGCAAGCAAGTTGTCACATTCTTTGGCTGCGTCCTCAACCTGCTCCTGGCCGGTGCCGGAGTCGGTCTCGCGGGCACATTGGGCACCAGGACAGCCGACTCCAAGTCGTTGATCGCACCCCTCGTCTGGGCATTAATTCAAGCGTATGTTGATTCGGCGCCAGCATGCAATGGCCAATGATGCAATGCGAAGCTACCCTGTCCGCCATCCCACTGCTGCACGGGACCGTACTGACAATACTGCCTGCCTCTCTAGAACACTATCCCTCGCGGTTGCTATCTTTGACGCCGTGAAAAATCACAACGAAGGCAAGGATCTTTTAGACTGATGGCCGGGGCATTTATAGCTTTTCTATTATAGACATCACAGCGATTGGCGGCATGGCGATTCCTTAGATAGCAGGTGCATTAGTTCTCACGAACTTGGGCGTTTGGGTCTGGCAGTCACGACCAGGGGGTTTGCTTGCATTTCAGTTCTGGGTCACATATATTAGTACTGGCAACTACGAAGTCCTCTGTGTAAGTTAAGCATGAGCATCGCGCTGTCCTCACCTCATCATGGCAGCAGGCGGAAACCCGCAAACTGAAAATTTACTCTCACTCATCTCCACGTTGTCAAAATGAAGTGAAGAAGACCCATCGCATTCCAGTCCTCTTGTTTTCACCTCTACTTGTTGTCGGGCTTCACTTGCAACTTTGCGAGCAAGTGCGAAGGGTGGGTATGACCTTACGTTCTGCGGACTCAGGCTCTCAATTTCGCCAAGAAATTTTCACCAGCTCGTGGGCGCTTGCCATCTGCACGGTTCTTCCTGCTGTGCCGCATTCCTCCCGATTTGGCGTGCAGTTTCCCGACGGCCTGCTGGGCAGGCAGCTGGCTATAAGGAATTGTGCGCAGCGTCATCGAATTACATTGCTTTGTCAGGTTTCTTGCATCTGCCCACTCCATTTTTTTGCTCCTCGCAGCTCCGCACCGGGCGGCGCGCAACTTAGCGGCGGCCACCATGAGACAGTGAGACACAAGCTGCTGGGTTTAGTCCCGCCCTAACCACCGCATCATGTTTCCCGAGAACCATGCAGCACCAGTTCCTCCCTGGCCGGGCCAGGACCTTCCGAGAACTGCGCCCGCGCCGGCGCACATGGCGGCGCCGATGACGGATGGCCGCCCAACGTCAAGCCCAGAGCGGAATTGCCGGACCCTGCAAGGCCCCTCGGCGAAGGAATGGGCCCGACATCGCGACACCATCATCGACCTCTACAAACAGTACCCGCTCAAGCGGGTAAACGAGATCATGAAAAGACACCATGGCTTCTCCGCAAGGTATGCCTGTCTTAGCTCTTCTTGGTCAAAACCGTCCCCCAAACCCCGATGCAAGGTACTTCGTATGGGCCTGCAGCGAACGCCGCACAATTCTTCCACGCCAAACAGTCCCACCAATGGCTCGGGTCATCCAAGCCCTTCTCCGCCGAGAGGATGCCCCTCCCGTATCCATCGCTTGATGTCCCATGAAGTACAAGAATCGACTACAATCCTGTCGTCGACCGCCCATTCTCGCCTCACCTCCGCCCTCTCACCCGGTTAGCCTTCACAATGACTCTAATCAGGATTACTGATTCCCTCGACAGCAAGCGTATGTATGACAAGCGCTTTCGGGAGTGGAATGTCTTCAAGAATACCAATGGCGACGAGAAAGAACGGGCCACACGACGGGCACAAGGCTCGCGGCTACCTGTGAGTCCGGGCGCCAGCAGCAACATTAGCCAGGAAGACTTGCGCCAAACTGTACGATGTGCCAGGACGATCAAGCAGGACGTAAGGACATCGCCGGCAAATTCCACGCCGGTCAGTCCGGTCATTCCGGTGTTGCCTTGCCCGGTTCCTCGGGCGCCTGAGAGAGGCAGCATCAGCATTTCGGACCTTGTCAGTCATCCAAATCCTGGACAGCCAACTGCCGCCATCGAGTTGCCGAAACTTGGGATGGCCCCCAACGCACCGGTTCCATTACCAGATGGCACATGCCAGACACCCCACTCAAGCTCGGACTTGTCAGCAGAGCACACGCAGGATCGCTCCCAGGCCCGTTCCGCGACCACCACCCCAGGGCCCAGTCTGGCCACTTACAGAGCCCAGCTGCACACCCTCGCTAAGTCTCCTCCGCCTTTGGTCGCACCCGACGCAAGGACCCGCACCATGGACTTCATCGCTTTGAAGCTCCGGGAGTACTTTGACTGGCAGCTAGAGAACATCCCTGGAGGTGTGGCCCCGGATGACTACCTAGGACGGAGAACTTCAGTCGAGTCCACACGGTATTGGACCACCATCAAGGATGCTCTATATCTGGTCAAGATCTCGGCCGGATCCGTGGACGACCTTGACAACCGGCCGGATCGGCGGGCCTGGCCGGCCTTTGCTGAGGCAGGGTGCCTTGCCGCCGAAGCCATGAAGACACAGCCCTTCGACTTCCTTCGGAACCTCTTTGCGACCCTTTCGCCGGCCAACACCAGTGCCCGTCCGGAACTGCGAAGCATCCTTCTCCAGTTTCTCACCAGCGAAGCGCAGAGCAGCCTCTCGCCGAATCACCCCATCACGCAAATCTGCCAAGAGCTTCAACGCGATGATGATTGCCAGGAAGTGTCGCGGCGCGGCCTGCAGTGCATGCTCGACATTTTTAACAGCCGGCTGGGCCCGTCGCGAGCCACCACCTTCAAGCTGCTCGACTCGCTCGCCACGCTTCTGCGGCGCAATGGTGAGTTCCATGCTGCCATGGAGGTCATAACGGAGCTGCTCAAATCGTGCCGCGAGACGTTTGGGCCTGATTCGGACGAGGCTCGGGCGGTTGAAAACGAGCTAGCGCACTTTTATATGTCAATCGACGAGTGCGACCTGGCACTCGGCCACTGCATGTCGGTCGTGACGCGCCCACCAGCAGCGAGCCAGGAGGGTAAACCCGTCTTCTACCAGGACGGCATCTCGGCCCATACGATGGAAGATATTGCCGAGATTCACCAGCGCCGGGGCGACATGGAGCAGTCCATTGCTTGGTTGGAACGCGCCGCTTCCATTGCGCTCAGCGTGTGGGGCCCCAAGGCGGTTGCTACAGGTCACATCATTGACAAAATGACCAGCCTCCAGCGACAGTTTGGCAAGGATCTGCTGAGAAGCGCGAAGCTGTGGGAAGCCGCTCTTGATTAGTGAAGAGCGCTACTAGTAGGCGAGGCAGACGGCCGCCTTACGCCGTACGACGCTCCTTTACCGCTGTGAGTGCAGCATTACGTGATACTAGCCTTGGAACTTCTGGATACCAACATCGTTGCGACGCCGCGGGTTTGTTGTTGGTGCGGATGAATCATAAGGATACTTAGTCCTGAACTTGGAGCAACCCAAAAGGGGTAAGGGGGACATGTATCTAGTTGAGAAACGGCGCGTATTCTAGTACCGGCTCGGGCTCAAGATACAGCGGATCTACCTACCTATATCTCTTCTAATTCATATCAGGATTATTTTTGCCAGACGATTTCCTTCCAAGAGAAGAAGTTCAAAAAAAGAGTTGTTGCTGTTCAAACCAGCTTAAAGGGATCCGCCGCGACACATCGCGTATTAAATCACTCTGAGGTCACTGGCAGCGCTTGGAGAAATTGGATACGCCCTGTGACCCGTTCGACCTTCCAGTTCTTTCTCTGCTTGGATAAATCCTATCGGACCGAAGATGGAGCTGACAGATTGGCGCTGACCCGTGAATGGGACCTGACTGGTTGGAACGCGATGTCAGCGTGAGACCTAAGGTGCTGTACTATGTTGAGGTCAACCTGCTGGATGGGTGGACCCCAGCAGAATGATTACACTACTAGTATGTACCTTGCCTTAGGACAGGCAGCAACGGTTTCTTGCTTTTTGCTTGCCGCCGTCGCCGGATTACTCAGGCCACATATTATTACTCCTAACTGCGGCCGCAATCTGGAGCTTTGCAGATTGAAGTTGGGTTCACTGACCCCCGGTCTTGTCGTATGGTAGGGATATCAGGGAACTGTCAGACCGTCCGTAGTAGTCAAGCTTGGGGAATGAAGTGAGTCAGGTGGGTGTTCTGGTTGGAACTGGGGCAGTCGACTTAGGTAGGTACCTAGTCTAGGTACTCTACTACATGTACTCAGTACATTGCGAGCAATGCAAGGTGCCTCTAAGGTCTCCATTACTAAGTTCGCGTCGAGCATAGGGTGCGAGTGCCTGCTATCCACGCAGTGAACATATGCATTCCACATGGCAGTCAAACATCGTCTTTCTTGCCATCTCCAGAGTTGTCCTTCTTGACAAGTGCCAAGACCCTAGCCCAGCTCGCTCTTGTTGTCGAAGGACCATCCCTTTCCCTCCTAGTTTCCTCCTATCCTACAGTTAGCGATGCATCAAGGCCTCAGGCTGTCAATATGTGCCAGGGGAAACCCGTGACGAAGTACATACATCTAGGGTATACTTGAAGATGGACCAGACAATGATGGTGATGCCTAGAGTGGCGGCAGCAAAGGGAAGGTAGGCCCACCAAGGCGGGTTGAAATCTAAGACGTCTACGTTCATGCCGAAGAGGCTCTGTCCAGTCGTCCGCCATCACTCCGGTGTTAGCATAGTGTACTGACAGTTACTGTATGTACAACTGGCGACGGAGTAACATAATGACTGGTACTAATAAGGTAAGGGAAACTTGTGCGCGGGGATACATACGGCGACAAATGTGAGCGGAAGGTAGATGAACTACATGTAGGAGGCAAAGGTGATGTCAGCTAAATGACTTGAGGCGTGTGTCTAGAACCTCACGATGACTGAAACGGGGCCAAATGGTTCTCACTGTTATCCAGCTGAGCCGCTTCATGCTCAGGCTCGTCGAAGTCGATTTCTGTGCTTCTCGGATTGATGTGAGGTTGAATTCCTGGTGTAGCACCTCCGTTAGAATTCCCAACCGCAAGGAGGACATGGATCAGGCGAGTGTGCTTGACCGGGCACCGCAGCACACTGAATTCACCCAGGTTTGCAGCGCGGAAACCTACTAGCTCGATGAGTTCCTTGGATGTCGTTTTGATCACGCCCAACTGCTCGTTGAGGAACCCTCTGAGGCTCTCGAGCGCCTCGTTGAACCTTGCCATCTCATCATCATCGTGGAAATTTTCATGTAAAGCTGTTTTAAAACTCTTGGATCGGGGTTCGGCTTTGTATACTGTCTGAAGTTCCTTGAAGTCGCGCAGTTGCTCGTGTACACCGGCTTCGAGTCTGACCCAAACCATGGCGTCTTGCAGAAGGGTGTCGATGACTCGTGGGTCAGAGCCCTTTTTGAGAAGTATCTTGAAACGCTGTGAATGTACTCCCGTCAACGACATCACGGTGCCCAACTGCCCCCCTGACCTGCCCGAGTCTTCAAGGCTGATATGTGTCCATCCATGTGTTAGGGAAAATGCCCTTACCATTGTTGTCTGTTGTTGGCTAGCGCTCTGGAATGTCTTTGTCCAGTGATCCTGAACCGCCAGCACAAGTGGGACGAAAAGAAACACAGCAGCCGGGAGAATTCGTCCAGGCGTGTGATCGGACGTAGTGATGAAAATTGTAGACTGCAATGCGTTAGTTTCACTCTCCAATCTCAAAGCATTTTCTTCATCTTCAGGGGTGGTCGACGCCGGTTCATCGTTCTTGGGGAAAGAGAGGAGATAATGTCCTTTTTCGGAAGCTTCGTCATCAGCCACTGGATGCCGTGAGCTCGTTGAGAGAAGTGAAGCGCAGGCAACCGCCGCTCATCGTTACTCTCGCCTCCAAGTCGTAGGACAGGGCATAGTGTGGAGAATGTACAGGAGAGAATGCCTTTGAAAGGGGTTAGCGCCGAGACGAATCAGCCTTGAGCTTATATCCAATGATGCCCTGAAATGTTGAAGGTGACTTTCTTGCGGAACAATCATGGCAAGATTTGAGTGTACATCCGGCAAAATCTACCTATGATGTGGAACCGTGACCGCTAAGGGAGTGGACCTGAATGACAGCTGACCGTACATATGTCTGGTAGTTATGGATGTGTAGGCAATAAACCTTAAGCAAAGCTTCAAAACCCACCCATTTCTGGAAGGCCTTGCTCGACTGCTATACGACTGGGCATGCTCTCGTAATCAAAATGGAACTCCGTGTCATCTAAGGTCGTGATCCGGCGCCACCAGCTGCACCGGAACCCCTTGTGGTGGTACTGATAGGGAAATCTCGTTGGTCCAGTAAAGCTATGGCATATCTTAGCAATCGATTCTGCGTATTATCATACAGGGGACGATGTAAGAAAGGGGAAAACTGAGTCCGTACATTAGAAAGCGCTCCTTCAAGGAGTCTTCCGAGTCGAAGAGCCAGGAATCTGGTGGCGCCCGGTGCCAATATCTGGAAAAGCTCGCTCTTACTAATGAGACCAAAGTGAGATGCTGAGAACCTGATAAGCTTGGGCTCAGCTTGCGGTCCGTCGCGTTCTTGTCGGCTAAAATCCGTATACAGGCTCCTCCATTTTCGACCTGGGATATTGTGGTTCGGACTGGCCGCGAAGATAACCCTTGCAAGCTCGACGGAGCGAAGACTAATCTTCAGTGCGGTTGTCCCGCTGAAGTCAAGAATGTCACCCCTCGCTCCGTGCTCTACCAGGTATTGGGCGATGGAGGTGTCACTGTCTCGCAGGTGGTCCAGATCGCGCCAAGAATGGTGTACTCCGCCATGAGTGACTTCTCCGACCGCCCAAAATGCGTCGTCAAAAGACAAGGCCGCTAGATGCAGTGGCGTGCTTCCAAAGGCATCCTGGTAGTTAATAAAAGCTTTGGCGCGGGTTCTGAGAAGACGCTGTAGGATGGCCCGGTTGCGGAAGCAAGCAGCAAGGTGGAGGATCGTAAACCTTGCAGGGAGTGATGCTGTACTAGTAGCGGTCTCGTCATGTATAAGACCGCGCTTGATCACCATGTCCAGTGCGTCAAGCAGTACCCTGGCCACAATCCCGACGATGGGCTGCAGGCTGGACTTGCCTTCATTGGCGCGTACTACTATGTCTGCACCATACTGAATAAGCAGAGAACAGATTTCATTGGCACCGTGCTTCCGCATTACAGCCGCTTGAAGTGGCGTGCCGAGCTCTCCCGCCAGAGAGTTGATGTCGATGAGAGAAGCCGACTGGTGTGACAGGACGAGTCGCAAGAGATCCAGATCCGCACTCTCGGCGGCGTGGTATATACACTGGGGGTACAGATTGGCGCCACTGGCAAGCAACAAGCGGACAATTTCCGTTTTGTTGCTCTGGATAGCCTTCGAAAGAGCCGTGGTGTCCTCCCATAGCATTTCGTGACGTGCTCGGGATGATGCATGTGCTTTCTCGTATATTCTTGCAAGTTGCATTGCAACCGAGCTGGTTTCCACTCCCAAGCTTCCTGCGCCAACTTCGGTCTCGTATGTTTCCATGTGTGGGAAATGCCATGTCGGCTTGTTGACGTCGGCGCCAGCTTGGATGAGCTTCCGGACCATGTCGACGTTGCCATTCTGTACAGCCAGATGAAGCGCCGGCTCATATCCGCCCTTGAGATTCACGTCTGCACGACGTGCTATCAGAAGATCGACAACTTCGGCCTGGTCATGTGCTACAGCATGGTCTAGAGGGCTTGCCTCGAAGAGGAGGGGTCCCAGGGTCTCCCAGGGAGAAGATGCGACTTGCAGAGTCCTTGTACGGTACCTTCTCCCAGGAGATAAACCTCAGGTTGAGGTCGACACCCTGTTCGATGAAGGAAGCCACAGCCTGGATGTCTCCCCTTTCGATGGCTTCCTGGAAGCTCATTAACTCGGAACTGTCCATTTTGCGATAGGCGATGCGGAGTGCGATCGATGCATCATTTGAGATCGTTGCTAACGTTGTCGTAGGCGCGACATGGTAAAGAGACTAAAGAGTGTGCTGGGCGATAACCGAGGCGCGTGCAGGAGAGGAGTTGAACCTCAGGTTGGGCAGGGACTTGTACCTAGGTAGTTGGTACTATTTTCAGAAGGCTGAAGCACTGCAGCCCCTGTCGTGGCCCCCATGTTACCTCAGCTTACCTTCCATAGCATGCCCGCTGCCCCTATTTCTGCAGCGTACCTTCCATTGGCCCTGAATTTTCTTTCTTTTCCTCCCGAGCCTCCCGCTCCTTCCTCAGTGCTCCGTAGCCCTGTCAATCAACTATTTTGAAGAGCCTCTCTGCCTTCCTTCGTCCCCTCGGTCCCTTCCGACAGGACCTGAATGAGGGGCACATCATGATACCTATGCACCCGGGACTGTCCAAACATAAGGTAGGTATAGTTCCTAGGTTGCCACCTTGCCCTAGCTGTCAACACATTGATAAGTACCAGCACCGGCACACCCACTTGCCATCCCGTCTGGTGCGTCACGGTCTTTTGACGCAGATTTCACTACCAAGGCACTACTAATGCTGCCGTGACTTGCTCACGGCGCTCTCGAGCATTGTAGCCGAGCTCGAAAGGACACTCCTCAGGGCGTCGGCTACGCGCTCAAACTGGTCGTCCGTCATGACGTAGGGCGGTGTCAGGAGCAGGCAGTGCTTATTTGTACTCGCGCGCAAGACAACCCCGTACTCAAGCAGCACCTTTTGCTCAATATCGGTAGCAATGTCCGAGATGAGGTCAACACCCAGCATGACGCCGGTGCCGCGCACCTGCTGGACCACATGGAGCCCCTCCAGCTTGCGTTTCAGGATATCCAGAAACACCCGGCCGCGCTCGGCGCACTTGGTGATCAAACCCTCCGACTCGACAATGTCGAGCGCGCGCAGGGCCACGGCGGCGCACACGGGGTGGCCGGACCACGTGTAGTCGTGCTGCCACACGTCCGAGACCATGAACTTGGTGCTCAGGTTCTCAAAGGCGGTCCGCCAGATGGCGTTGCGGAAGATGACGGCGCCCATGGGCAGGTAGCCGCACGTCAGGCCCTTGCTGATGACCATCATGTCCGGGCACACGCCGCCGTACAGCTCCATGCCGAACCAGTGGCCTGTTTTGGCAAAGGCCATGATCTGATAACAGTTGGGTTAGCTCGGCTACATAGGTCCTGTACCTAGGTAAGGTATGATTTCATTTTCTGTCGTGGTTAGACTGTGCCTGCTTACTTCGTCGGCAATCATCAGCACGTTGTGCTTTTTGCAGATCTCCTCTGCGAGGGGGAAGAAGTCGCGGTGCATGTCGACGGCGCCGCCATCGCCCTGGACTGGCTCAAAGACAAAGGCTGCTACCGTGTCCGGCCCCTCTCCCAGGATGGTCTCCTCCAGTTGCCTCGCTGTTGTCAAGTCTCAGGTTAGTCATGACAGGGGAAAGGGGGAGTGGGAAAGGGACGGAATTGTTCCAACATACCAGCAGCCTGCCCAACATTCTCCCCTGGCTTAATCTTGCTCTTGTCCATAAAGAGCTCGTGCGGTGGGTCGATATTGACAAACATCCTGTGCGCAGCACTGCCATAGACCTCCTTGGGCTGGCCCTCCATCCACCGCTTCCACCCGTAGTCGGAGAACTCGGGCTTCATGGAGGCCGGGATGAAGGTGCTGCCGTGGTAGCAGTTGCGGAACGAGATGAGCTTCTGCTTCCTGTAGCCGCCGCCGTAGCTGGTGCCGAGCGGGCCCGACTTGTTCCAGTAGCGCAGCGCGAGGTGGTAGGCCGCCTCGATGCCCTCGGCCCCGCCCGCCGTCAGGTACACGCGCGCCCCGTCCATCTTGTCGGCCCCCGGAAACGCCTGCGCGGCGAGTCCAGACAGCCGCTCGCACACCTTGACGGCATTGGTGTTGGTCAGGTTCCGCTGGTTGGATGAAACCTCAAGCTTTGCCATCTGCCGTGCAAATACAGGACATAGCGCGTGATGTCAGCCCACGATACAGCACGCCATCAGCTGCTGAGGACGTGCTAACGGGAACTACGCCTAGATAGTATAGCCAAGGCAGGGATTCAACGCACCTGTTCGTAGGCAACGCGGGCTAGATCTTCGCGGCCATGGCCAAGGTGGGCCACGGTGATGCCGGCCATGGCATCGAGGTATTCTTTGCCCTCAATGTCCCTGAGCACAGCGCCGTCGCCGGATTCAAAGACAACCAGCTGCCGAGGCATCTTTTGCATGGCCGGGTGTCCGAACCCGTGCATCTGGTGGGCCACATCCGAGTCCTGCAGGTCCGAATACGACGACTTTGGCTGGTCCCCCTGAGACATGGTGATGGAAGTGTGTCTGAAGAAGCGTTTCTGAGGCGCTTTCTGCAGCACAGGAGTAACTGCTTGTGCTGCTCTTAGGCGGCGAATGCAAAGGGGAGCAAACATGGAGGAACTGGGATTGCTTTGTGTAAGGTACCTAGATGGTAGGGTATAGGCTGCACAGGGTCCTTATGTACGGGTGTCGGCCCAAAGCTCAACAAAGATACCTGCTGTAGTCTATTAGTGTAGACTGTGCATGTGGATAACTATGGCTTGCATTATACGAATAATGATGACGCCCTGATACTGCGGTATTTCCATCATAAGAGCGATGGGGACTGGTAGCTCTCTCTACGTCATTGACTTTGCAGATACAACTGTCCCACTTCAGTCCACAGTCGGGCCTGTTTCCGTGATTCCGTCTATAGACTGGAGCCGGTATGAAAGGGAATCTTCAAGACTTGGAATGCAATTCATGATCTGTGCAAAACCAGAAACGCCAGTAGGTACCTAAGTACTTATGTAGTATTAAAAGGAACATTACGTATATTACATGTAAGAACAATGATAATAAAGCGTTTCAGGCATCCCTGGACGTCCATCCCACGTAGGTAGTAAAATATGTATTGAAGGACATCATGATGTAGTGTTAAATACTTGTCACCTCTGGTGTTCCCGGGGCAGGCTGGGCTGAGAAGCGAGTCTCGACGAAGCACTTGACCAGCCCGCCCTCCCTCTTCTCTTGCAGGTGATAGGCTTTGTCGATATCGTCAATGCGGAAACGGTGTGTTAGCATCATGGTTGGGTCGACCGTCCCGTTCTCTACCATCTCCAGGAGCTCTTCCCAATCTGCTGTGCCATTAGCGTTTTGCAAGACATGGATGGAAAGATAAAAGCGTGCGTGTCAGGGCAACTGGACTTGGACTTACACTTCTGGACTGGAGACTGGCCGCACCCAATGAGTTTGATGCCGCGTTCCATGAGTGATCCCACGTTGAAGTGGTTGGTGACTATTTTCGGTCAGAACATAATCATGAGTCGGGGTGAGGAAGGATTGAAGATCTGGTGTTTTCTATCACTTACACCCGACATAGTCGCCAATGATGCCCACGGCACCAAACTTCCTCGTCGACATGATGCACTCATTGATCATCTCACTCGTATCCTGCTCGGCACCAATCTTCAGCTCAACCTTGTGGACTAGGCTCTTGGCGTACTCTCCTCCGGTGGCGTCGATGCTGACGTCGACGCCGCCGGGGACCATCTCATGAATCTTGGCGGGCACAGTTTCCTTCTTGGCGAGGGTTGTGTAGTTGATGGTCTCGAGCTTGGGGATCTTGGACTTGGCGAACTCGGTTCGCCAGTTGTTGTCAATGCCGATGACTCGCTTCGCCCCCTTGAGAAACGCCCACTGGCAGGCCATGAAACCGATAGGGCCGAGCCCCCAGATGGCGACAGTGTCGTCCTTTTGCACTCCGGTGTAGACGACGCTGTGGTAGGAAGTGGGCAGGACGTCTGATAGATACAGGCCTTTCTCGTCGGGGATGGAATGCGGGAGCTTGAGCAGGTTGTTTTCGGCCAGGGGTATCCGCACATACTCGGCCTGGCCTCCCGCGTAGCCGCCGGTAAAGTGGGAGTAGCCAAAGATGCCGCCCATGCGTGATCCGTAGAGCTTCTCGTGGAGGGCGGATGCGTTTGTATTTTCGCAGGCCGTCGTCAGTTTCTGCTTGCAGTACCTGCACTTTCCGCACGACACCACAAAGCTGTTGACAACGCGCTCTCCGGGTTTGAGTTTGGTTACAGCTGGGCCGACGGCCTCAATAACGCCGCAGAATTCGTGGCCGAGTATGTCTCCCTTCTCAACTTGGAGAATGACACCGTGCATGATGTGGACATCGCTGCCACATACTGTGGTACCAGTCACTCTGACAATGGCATCCGTATCCTCGACGATTCGAGGTTTGCTGGCTTCGACTAAGGCAGCAGTCAGCTATCTTGTCATGATGCTCTTCAATTTTGTACGAGACTGTAGTGGCTTCAGGTTGTGTAAGTGGCCGGGTCATGACTTACTGACGCGGACATCGTTCTTGCCCATCCATGCCAGCGCCTTCATCTTCTCTCCGCTCTGATCCGCATACTTTCCGCCCTCACGGTCAGGATTAGCGATATCCGTGTGCGTCGCTCTGTCTTTATCGTCATGGCCGAGGACCGTCTCGGCCTGCTTTGCGGCAATGTTCAACGCCATTGTAGCTCACTTCAAGTTGTCAAGTGTTTCGACTTGTACGTTCAAGTTTTACTGCTTCGACTCCCAAAGAAGTCCAAATAGTCCGCTATGATATTTATGGCTTGTGATGCTGAGATGAGCCTGAGTTTAATCTGGATGTTGTATGCCGTTTCATGACGCATCGGTGACGACATGCTGGCAGCAACTGTACAATACAATACAAGTTTCTCCACACTCGAGCTCTATCTAGGTACCTTAGGTACCTACTACTAGCCTATCTGATGATTGCAACTCTACCTACCTTAGGAATATTCTGAATACGGTACACAATGCATCGGAGGGGTAAGGAAACGGACTTGGGAGTAGAGTAGGTAGTGGGAGTTCCAAGGTTGCTAACGTGATAACAGGCTGTGCAGTAGCTACCTTACCTCTGACCTAGGTAAGGTTGGTGTAGTTAAGGAGGTACCTACATGATACAACCAATATATCTATTGCCATGACAACGAACCAAAATACAACATCACCCTATTTCATGTTTACGTGTTGAACCCCAACACCATGCTTCATCAACAAACCACCAATGCCCCTGAATATCCACTTCCGCTTGGTAATCAGCAGCCAAACCAGAAAGACAGCGATGGTGGTTGGTACGGTAAAGGCCCAGTACACCCAGAACCTGTCCTGCACGACAGCTGGCTGGTCCCATCGCAAAGACGGCATCGAGAAGAGAGCGGCGAAGAAGGTGGCCGGTAGAAAGGCCATGGTCATGATGGCGATGGTCTTCATGGAGGCACTGTCGTTTCTAGTCGCTGCCGCGAGCCCGATGCTGGCGTTGGCGTCTTCGTGCGTCATCAGGGCAAAGAGCTGGGCAGTGCAGAGCATTAGCTCATTCCCAGTACTTGAACGCTAACAGTGCAGTGCGTTCGGAGGGACTCACCACGCTCGAGAGACGGTCAGCCCTCTGTTTGAAATAGACTTCAAAGTCTATATATGCCGCGATATGCCGCTCAAGAGCCGGCAGGGCCTCGATAAGCTCTTCCATCTTCTCCTGGTGCAGCTGCAACGCCTTACCGGGCAAGATGCCATAGTGTCGGCCGCCGTTCTTGTGTTCAGCCTTGATCACCTCGAGCAGCACATACGAATTATTTTGATGACGGCTCCTGTTGCTGGCATTCATCGCAACCTCGTTGACAGCCTGAAGCCAGCTGGTGAGCTGATTGATATTAAACTTTTCCACCAGTTTCAGGGGCTCGACGCCGCGCCAGCCGAAGGGATGGAGGCCGAACCCCGTTTGTTCCTCGACGTGGCGTATGACGCCCAGTTCCCAGCCGCCCGCGTCGTGGTCCGAAATGTGGAGCAGGAAGTGGCAGGATAAGTAGCAGGGGAAGGACGGCGTGAAAATATAGGCGCGGTGCGCGCGCACGAGGTCGACGAAGAGCGGGAAGGTGTCTTGCCGGTTTTGGCGCTGCAGAAATAGCATTCTTGTGGTGAGGGTTGTGGGGTCAAAGGTCCAGACCAGCGCATAGACGCTCGTGCCGATGAACCTTGTCAAGAGAAACCCCCGGCCGTGGTATTCGTGGAAGCCGTCGTAGTTGCGGCATATCATGTATTTCACCGAGGGGTCCGCCTTCATGCAGTAGAGCAGCTCGTTGAAGACTGCACGAGAGATGGTGAGGGACATGTCCGGCTGCCGTCCTAGGCGAAGAAGTTTCAGCCTTGCTTTCGTGGTATTGTTCGGCAAAACTTCAGGTTCAAGGTTGCGGCTATTTGAGAGAAACCAGGCCCTGAGCTCATGTTGAGCTAGAGTCAACAGAGACCAGCGGTCCTGCGGCTTCGGCACCAACGAGCGATCATTGGACCGAGTCTCTCCTCGTGATTCCGTGATCTCCGTCTCTCCGATAATATCCTCGCTTAGTTCTAGAGCGCTGTATTTGTAGCGCGGTGGCGGATCTCTAACCCACTGCTCCTTTTCGAACACAGAGTCGGCCAGTCGCCTGAAGCCTTCCATTATGCACTGCAGTGTGGTGACGAGGTCTCCAGGAGTCTGTTGCAATACGGCAAAAGGTGTCCTTGCCTGCAGAGGCTCTGGGTTACCCTACCTACCTATATAGTACAACAAGTCTCAGCTGCACACAATCATGATAATGGACTAGTAAAGAACTTGAAGTGGCGCAGGCAGTCGGTCTGGATTTCGCCGCACCTACCTCGTACTAGTACGAATAGCGTCTACAAAAACTGCAGAGCAACATTCAGCCACCGAACTAAATACAGCCACACTTTCCCCTTCCCTTGGCAGCTGAGAGGCCGCCAGATGTTCCCACATTCCCATCCTTCTCCACCCCCATGGATCTTATCGAAGACGTGCCAGCACCAGACATCCGACATACATTACCTAGGTAAGGTACACCTACCTTATCGTATATAGGGTAGAGGTACCTTATGCATCGACTACAGGGAGGTATATAAATGTAAATAGGTGCCTACCTACCTTACAAGGTAGGTAAGTCATGTTCCTATTACTAGTATTATAAGTGCGTTCACCATGAATAGGTAGGTAGGTAGGTAGTAAAGATATCTACAGAAGTCTCAACACATGTACAACCTGAAGTTCAAACCATATATATCCTCAAGCTACTCCGGCTGTCTAGGTCAGTAAGGAGGGATAACCCGCAGATGCGGTTGTGCCAGATCGGTAAAAAAAGTGGCCCCCTTGACCGTAGTCGGCGCTCCCGCCTCAGTCACATTGCAGTTCTGCACCCAATTGCCCTCGGACGCGTACTTGTCCTGGATATACTTGGCGTAGCTCTCCAGGGGGCAGGACGAGCCAGGGCCACTGCGGCAGCTAGGAACTGGATAGACCTGATCGTTCAGTCTGATGCGCACAAAGGTCTCGTTCTTCATGCCTCCATAACTCCTTGCTGCCACAGAGGTTGGCCGTGGACGGCAAGGACGGCGAGTGGAAGTGGAGGTTGGGACGGAAGAGGTTGTCGTCGCGTTTGACCCGGGTCCCGTCGTGTTGGTCGGAACCAAGCAGTTGAGTCGCTCAAAGGCAATGGTGCCGCGCATCGTGACAAAGCGCGAACCATGCCAGAGCCGGTCGTCGTCCATTTCGGTCGGGGATAGGGGTTGCTGGGCGTCAAACACGCCGCTTGCGGTCACCAGCTCGGTGAGTTGTCCGTCGTTGAGGAATGCCATCAACAATTTCGGGAGCGCAAAGGAGGTGGAACCATCCGCCCCGACCCCTTTAGTCCCAGGGCCTTGCTGGAGTAGACCAACCAAAGCGTTCAGGAACGGCGTCATCATCTTCCGCGGCAGGTCCGTCCCGGGTCCAATGCCGTAGTAGTAGCGCAGGTCGTTGGAGTACTCGTACATCTTGAGCTCCTCGTCGGTGAAGACGTCGCAGAAGGGTGACAGCCGGCCTGTGATCTGGCTCTCGAAGCCGCAGAGGTACGGCATCAGGTTGACGTCGCTGAGGGTAAGAGTGAGGTTCCCCTGAATGAGAGCCTGCAGCCGCTTCTGGACCTGGGGCTGCCAGATGGCGTCCCATGTCGACTTGTTAGTCCCGCCGCTGGCATCCTTGAAGTTGGGACACATGTCTGACGGTGCCAGGGAGTCTCCGATTGCCGAGGCTAAGCCCTTGGACGTGACCGAGACCAGCCTGCCCAGAACGGTGGCGTTCGGACCCAGAAACCCGTGCAGGAAGTTGCTGGCCGTCTGCAGCACGCGAGTGTAGTTGTTGGCCCAGACAAAGAGTTCTTCTCCCTCACTGTACAGCTGAGGGTATCTGTAGTAGTAGCAGGTGTGCCCGGTTAGACGTGTCTGATCACACTGGCACAGGGGAGGGCGCCCTTACCTCGTCCGCAGTTGGTACCCCATGTCCATGGCCTCTTTGTATCCGGTTGGAGACTGCTGCGCAATCTGAACCGCCGGGTTTGTCAAGACGGTCCTCCACTTGGGCAGGAAAGACAGCGCCCCTTGGGCCGTGTAGTTGTAGACCGAAAACTGAGTCCAAAGTCAGTAATTGCGGCATGATGATTCATCCACACCCCGTGACGCACCCGTGATTCCATTTCCTTCCACTCGTTGTAGGCGCCTGAGTCCGGATATCTCGATCCATGCCGGGACACATAGGCGGCCTGGTCGACGTAACAGTTGTCGGGCACATCGGTGGATATGCCGTGGACATTGGGACCTGAGAACCACGGGCTGTTGGCACCCAGCCACGTCAGGGGGCTCTTGGAGTTTTGGCCGGGCCAGAGCACAATGTCTTGCTCAGGGGCGAGGAAGCGCGGCGATGAGGCCCCCACGACCGCGGCGTTGAGCGCCAGGCATGCCGTCCCGAGCTTGAGGTATTGGGTTGACGAAGCCATGTTGGGTGACGAGGAGCCTGCGTTGGAGAGAGCGAAGCTGGGGAGAAGGAAACGGGCGGACCTTGTACGTTAAGAAACGAGTACCTACCTACTTAATCTCGCGGCCCTTGGAGCAATCCTATGTGCCTCGCGTCGTTCATGTTATCATCCTTGCCTGCCGTCTCTTCCGGGTCTTCCCACTTTTTTCCAACCTTCACACTATCACGGTGTCTACGCGTAGGGCTGCGAGGACGGACATAACCACAAGTAGGGAACCGAGATAATAGCCTTGCCAGGAAGCTGCACAAGGCTCGCTTAAAGGTTGTCGGAAGTCGTAAGCGCTCACGTGGGAAGGGGAGAGGGTGTGATTCGTGACGCCGGTGGGTCCCGATACTACAGTGGAGGTCTGCCCGGAGATGAGATTCCCAAGCGGGGGATGCCAATCGTCGGTTAGCTCCCGTCGTTGATCACAAAGTGGAGAGTGGACCTTCCAAGGTTTGGTTACATGCACCGCTGTGGGCAGATCGATTTCTACAACATATAAGTAACTAAGTTAACAGGTGAGATTTGAGAAGTCAGTCAAGTGGAAGGAGCCGAGGAACAAGGGGTTGTTGTTAGTATTAATTATTACACCTATGAGCCTCCCCTTTTTAAGTTATTTCTTGCGAAGATTGGAAGACAAAATCGCTATTCTATAGACGAGGTAGCATGTGTCTGCATGAACAGGATACTACTACTACTAAGTCAGGCGGAATCACATTATCAAATGCGTGCTTTTGTTCACTGGCTAAGCTGGTATTGTACCTGCTGCGTCGATGCAGGTGTGGAGATGGAAATCTGGATGGACTTCTTCTAGGCCGTGGAGAATGGAGATCTGGAGATATACATGTGTAGCTTGAAAGGAGATGGTTATCAAAACCGCTACATGCCGCTAAGAAAGTTCCATCATGAGTAGACGTTGTGAGGATTCCTCCCCAGGGTACTGTACCCCCCGATATGCCCCTCCTGGATACCTAAACAGACAGTTATGGTAAGAAATCTCATAAACAGCATTATTATCCCTTAGCTCTGACCAAGACATCAGGTCTTATCCCCCTGACATCTCATCCGTGTACCACGTATTGTACCTTCATTCGACCCTGTTGCGGCGCGACCCCTCTGATGTCTGGAGTCTGGAGGACACTGGTGTAGTGCTAGCCATATGTCACTCTTCCCCTTCCCGAAGCTCCTTTTCGGTGTATGGCAGGCCGAAACAACCTCATTTCCCATCCCGAAAGAGCAACCCCTGACATCCGGGCGACGGGAGGCTAGAGCTCCAGTCAGGAAAGGCGGGTGTTGGCGCCCATGTTGGGATAGGCTTTATAGAGGTCCTCGATGGCGCTGGTACTAGTAGTTGTAGTGCTCTGGCCTTGCTGGGCTTGCTGGGAGGAAGAAGCAGTATCGGACGCCGCTGATGACTTGTTCAAGCCGTCGGTGACTCCCTGTTTCTGGGAGCGGCGAAGCTTGCTCAGGAGGCCCCCGTCCTTGGCCTTCGTGTCCTTGTCCTGCAGCAATGGGGCGTTCGAGGCGAGCGAGGTCTGGTCGAAGTCTTTTCCCGAGGACGACATTTTGGTATGTGTCAACTTGTCAAGTGAACCGGGTTTGACTCAAGAGAGCGCGTCAAGTTAGGATGCTCAGGTGTTAAGTATGTTTTGCACCGCTGCAACAGTGGTTGAGCTGGAACAACCTGGACTCGGTCGTCAGGTTACGATGAGGAATCGCCGCCAGATATACCAGGGCCCAAAAGCGATACATCTAAAGATTGAGGCAGCGCTGCTGCAGGAACAATACCTACCAGTATGCTGACACGCGTGCGAAAGATGGGGATGACGCTGCATATCAGGCATCCACGTACTTGTTGACGAACTAATACTGGAGAGATACTGTACTGGTTCGCCTGTTAGGCAACAAAGAACCCTAGAGGGAAGGCTTGAAGTCCAACCTGGCTATCATTTACATGTACAGTAGCCCATCTTGGCCTAGGTCGCTGCTCAGGGGTCACGTATCATGATGCATCTCTCATTTTCGAGAAACGGTGCAGTGACACTTGACATCCCGCGCTCCTCCCAAATCCCAATCAAATGAAGGCGGTTGGTCTCGGCCAGGACTCATTAGAGCTTGCAACATCATGCAATGCGACGGCTGTACGCAAGACATGGCGCAAAAAGCGACGCGGCGCATCAACTGCCAACCAGCAATTTGCACCTCAGATATGATGAGCAAATAGGGATAAAGTCAGCATACGAACGCACTCGTGTCTTTCGATCCCAAAGCTGTGTGTCAATGGCGGTGAGCGTCGCGGCTAATATACAACTCGCGTTGGGTGACACATCATGATGAGTCACCTAGCAAATAAGGTACCGTGACGTACTTATACTACCTTATACATGAATGCAAGTGCTGGCCAGAGCCTGGTAGCGAGTGCGATAGCAAGTACAGCTCGTATTGGCGTGCGTGTTTAATGTATTTGTGACTGTTCGCCCTGGTCTGGTGGTTGTAGGCCGCTTTCAAGAACCCAGATCGCTAAGGCATGCTCAGGATAGAGCTCGTCGCCTCGATGGCCTGATAGGGAAGCTGAAATAGGTGGACATACTGCGTGACGGGTCTTCTGGGTCTCCGTGTGAATGGTCAAGATGGGTATAGTACCTACGTACCTGTATCGAAATAGGATCAGGTTCCACGAGGTCTATGCAGTACCCCTATTAGGGAAGATGCCATGCTGTGTTACATTCCACACCTCCTCGGCTCCTCATCACGGGACTCGGCGGTCTGCACCTGAGTGCTCAAAAGGCACTCGCATTGCTGGGAAACAACAGGATAGGGGAGGAGGGCGAACTAGATTTGACTGGTTCATTGGATTCGTATTCCTGGAACACTTATGTACGAGCCTTGTGCTCAGCAGCTGCAGTGGCTAGGTATTTTGTCTCAGATATGTGAATATGCCGGCTGCGGTGGTTCTGTACCGCTGATGAGGTATGAACCAGGCTGAAAATCTCATATAAGCCCCTAAGAACTCCAAAAATGGGCAAACATGAAGGAGGCAAAGGGGGCACAATTAGTCCAATCGAGGAGGATGTGCGGACATGCGGTGTTTAACTCCATGCATTTGGCTATTCCCTGCAGAACTTAATCATACATATTCAATGAAAGGCTACATCACGTAGCCGACCCCTCTCCTATCCATCTCACTCGACACCGAGGATGTTTGACTCATAGACGGTCGTCGTCTTTCCAGTGTTTGAGTTCTCGATCTAGACATATGAGTGTCAATACATTGTACCAGACACCATAGACATCAAACTGATATCCAAACTGGCGTGCCATGGCTTACCTCGTACCGCGGGTTGTCGGAGCTCGCCTGCACGTTCCGGCCGGCCTGTTGGCCAGGCTCGGTGAGAACATTCATGATCTTTCCAACGCTCTCGGGCGTATTGGAGTCGGGACCTATCAGATGGAGTGTAAGCAGGCCGCAAGTGCCAAGGGAGTGTCTCTGGAGTGATGGAAGACGTGTCACCTACCGCCGATGGGCTTGTACCGAACGGTCTGTCCTTGTTTGTAGCCTGCCATGGTGCTCACTGATTGTTGAAATAAAAGCTGAAGGTGATGTGACTGGTTGAGTTGCTCTCTGTGGTCTGTAAAAGGTGCAAGTTCCAGGAGAGATTTTCACGCGCGTTGCTGAATGTCAGGTCAGGTCATGCTAGGTTTATATACCTCTTGAGGAATAACAATCTCACACCGGGCCTTCCATGACAGATGTCCTGGTCAGGGTTGTCTCTACAGGGCCTGGAATGTCGCAATAAGAGCAAATGATGTCACGAAGACATCGCCGTGAAAGCGATTGACAAAGACGTCAACCGTCGAAGCCATCATGGCTGGAAGCCACCCCACAAGACATGACGCAACATGTTGGGAATTCGGATGCATATTGCTCTCAACTTGCACGTCATGACAAGTCCATGGCGTCCTGACACTCGAATGCATGTGCGCAGTGGCGTCAGTTGCGGAGGCACTTTGGAAAAGTGGATTGATACGAACACAGAGAGGGAATGGTGCAGTCATGGAAACTCGCACGTATTGCAGTAAAAGTTTTGAGATGGCTAGGTATCTGAGAAATACAAGTCCTACTAGTGATTTGGAAGGTTGTGTACTCGAGATATTTACATCAGGGGGTGTGTAAGTTACCGAGGTACATCGGGATCCTAAGCTACAGCTCCCCGAGCCCCGGACCATTTCATCCCCTCCACACAGCCGGGCCAGGCGGTTGATACGCATCCGGCTGCATGGCGTTGATGTTGACCAGGATGCCCGGGTCGTTGCTCTTGTAGGCGCCCGGGAGGGCAACCAGCGGGCCCGGCGTGCCATTGCCGCCCCCTGTGATCTCAATCTGCGAGCATGCAAGATAGAACTGGGCCTTGTTTGGCTGCATGGCCATGTGCAGCGCAATCTGCTCGACTCGCAGGAGGTATTGGCCCGAAGGGGTGCTGGCGGGGATGGTGGTGTTGACGGTCTGGTATGTGTCTGTTTAGGTTGTCAGTGCCTGTTGCTGTTGATGTCTGGTTCTGAACATGAGTGGAAATGGTGGTGCATACTCTGTCCAGGCCACATCTGCTGCTTGTTCTGGTCGATGGTGGGCTTCCCCGTCGCGATCTTGAACCAGACGGCGCCCGAGCCGTCCCACGTCTTGGCCGACGCCCCGGCGGGCACCTTGGCGAGATAATACTGGGTCGGCCCCGGGTGGTTGATCTGCTGGGTTGAGATGTAGTGGATGGTTGATCCGGCCGGAACGGTGGCTATGTTGGGCGCATTCTGGGACGAGTAGCAGCGGATGTCCGGGCTGGTTGGGTTCTCGATCCCCTGCTTGCTCTGCGCGTTCTTGGTCATGCGCGTGACGGACCAGTCCTTCTCCTCGGGCTTTCCGTTGACTACAAGTCTCGGGAATGTGTCTGGACAAGATGGTTAGTCCGCATCTCTGCTCCGGATGGTTCAGAGGGAGACTTGCAATGGGCTTGGACGGCCGTAGCCGCAAGCAAAAGGCTCGTGAGGAGCTGCATGCTGCTCTCGTCTGTTCAATATTGACTGTGAGACTCTTCAAGATGACTTTGCAAGAATACCTAAGCTCACAGGTCTGCCTCTGACAGCACTGCCAATCTATCCGCAGTAGCACGCACTTATAGTTATAATTCCATGTAGCCCCCTGAACGGACGACAAGCCACCCGCCGCCATCAGGAACGGCATACCAACCAAGTATTGTCCAAGATACGGACCACGGTCTCCGTTGCCTTCTAGGCATCCTCTTGCTTCCAAGTTAGGTCCGGGGTTGAGACAGAGCGTTGTATTGGACTTGCAGACCACGGTCATTTAGCCAGCATCCGACCGATTCCAATGGAACTGCCGAATCGTGGGGTATCCCAGAACAGGAGAATCTTGGAAGTCAAATCACATGGACACCATATATTAATCCATATCGAATCTTCGGCAATCGTCTTGTTTCTTTTCCGGGGTGCATCTTCTGGGCAGTGACCGGCTTATGCGGCCGCCCCTGACCCCCTTTAGAGACTTGCTACGACCTAAGCACAGGGCATCCACCCAAGGAGTTCAAAATGGTGAACGGTAATATCTAGGTAGGTTCGTATGTGCATTCTCAAGTATAAAGTATATACAGAATTTACTCTGGCGATTGCTGGGAGCCCTATGAACAAGTTTCGCCTGCTAAGGTAGTATGCTCTCATCTCCCATTTCAGTCCATTAATGAGACAGACTTCAGACGGAGCGCCCATTTTCAGTTTTCAACCGCCAGCTATCTAGCAGCTGAAGACCGGGGGGCCAGGGTTCTGGTACGACGTGGGAACAGGCCAGTTGATGTTGATCAGGATGCCCGGGTCCGAGGCCCTGTAAGCGCCAGGGAAGGCCACCTTGTTGGGGGGATCGGTGCTGCCGCCGCCAGTAACGCCAATCTGAGCGCACGAGATGTAGAACTGAGCGCCGCCGGAGCTCTGGGCAACGTGCAGGCCAATGTGCTCAGCGCGGAGGAGGTAGTAGCCGGACCGGATGCACCTCGGAATGGGGACCTGGAAGGAGCTCTTGCCTGTGATTCGGAGATATGCACGTTAGATACCATTTCTTTGTAATTCTCCTCTTGTTGCGTCCTTTGCTCTGTCACATACCGTTGTTGGGCCATGTAAGCTGGGAGCCAAAGTTGGGCTGCTCATGGTACACCTTGAACCACACGGCGCCGTCGCCCCTCCACGAATTGATGTCCTGGCCGTCGGGCACCCGCGCCATGTAGAACTGCATGGGGCCGGGGTGATAGACGTTGGGGGCTGCGTAGTAGGTCACGGAGGAACCAGCCGAGACGTTGTAGACGCCCTGGGCCGGAGCATGGCTGGACTGGAAGCACCGGATCTGCTGCGAGTTGACGTCGCCGACGAAGCCGTTGTTTTGCCAGTTGTCGGCCCTGCGAACATACTGCCAGTCAGATCCGCCTCCGGCCCTGGGGAAGGTGTAGTGGCCGCTGACCCCGAGGGCAGCGGCGAAAAGAAGGGCAGCGGTTGCCAGCATTGTCGTGGCTTGAGTCTTCGGGGGGCGAGCCTTGAATACAACACAGGGGACGATGATGATTCTCTCTTGATGGCGTCAGTGACAACTCTTTCATCTCAGAGCCATCATGAGGGTTCGAATTTATAAGTGCTCAGGCTGCCGCTAGCTCATGGTCTGGTCTTGCACATCTTGCCCAAATTGAGCAGCTTCCGTTGCTGGGGTTCATCAATTCGCTTGGCAAGGCCATCCGTCCCCGGATATCACCCATACATGGTCATGCTAAGGCTCTGGTAGCCGGCTGCCGCCTTGTCCCGGCCGGCTAAATTGCCTTTCCTACCACTTACAGAACGGACCGATATTGTTATAATCTATCCCAAAAGAGACGCCCACTTCACTCCGCCTCACGAGAACCAGACTCAAGTCCCGCGATGGCGCTGTGGGGTGCATGAATGGCGCGCTAGCAAGCCGGAACTTGATGCTCTCGAAGCCGAGAGACTCGATTCGAACCCGCATCAACCGCCGCAAACCTGGAAATGGGCATTCATCGCTAAAATTGTCTTTATGCCTCTCTGCTGGAATACGCAATCGCGCATGAGAGCCCTCATGTTCATGTTCTCGGATTTACGGTGTCAAAGTCGCGTGTAAACAAACCCCTGACGTCCAAGTTGCATGTCCTAGTGCTGGTGTCACTCCCAAAATTTGGATCTATAGGTACCTAGGTAGCTTGGTAACTAATCTTGAACGTCCACCACTACATTTTGTCGTTGCCTTGATTGATTGGGGGTCAGGGGTACATGTGTGCATGTGCAAGGTGCAACAGTGAAGTCGGTCCGTCGTACATAGCTTGAGGCTGGGCCTAACTCACCTTGCATATCTGACCCGGACATCTAAGGGAGGTACCTGGGCTATGTAACATCACGAGTTGCGGCATTTGTTACTCTTGGTCCCTGGTACAGCTCCTGGTCTACCAACGTTGCTTGGTTTAACTGATTAAAACAATCTTATGCCAGAGTCCACTCGATCGAGTCTCCGAGCACGGACAAGCGGTAGTATGAGGCTAAGGTACCTCGACGAAAAGGATAGCAGTTAGCTGTAGAACTGAAGAGGCGCAGAGGGACGGCCTGAACCCCCGCGACATTCTCTACTCCTGGTGGGCCAAGGTAGGATGCGTTATGGGCCACTAGCAGATCGTGATCGCCGCGGCAACATTGGAGATGACGTCCCGCTGTCCCGGTCGCGGAAATCGGTTTCGCTTGCCGCTTGCCCGTGCAAGGAGTGGAATTACCTGGGTTTGGCGACCTGGCAAGCTCCGATACCCCTGCCCTAATGGTATCAAATATCTCATCCTTTCACTGCACACTGCCACTTCATGTCTTACCTTTAGACAAGCCCTAAAAGCGAAGTTGACTCGGGAGAATACAGACAGGACACCAAGTCAACTCTGCCATCATCGATATCTCCAGTCATGCAGCAGACTGGCAGACCCCCTTATCATACCTAACATTTATGTATACACATCCCAAACTATCGACCGAACATAAGCAGTAGTATCTGTTTCAATATTGGACAACAACACCCGGCAAGCCACCACTGTAACATGAATCCAGCCGAGTCCAAGACATTCAACAGGGTCATCTCTTCAAGACCTCGCTTTCATCGGATGGGGTAGTGCCAGGATCTTAGTCGCCGCATGCTCAGACACAATAACGATGGCCGCAGACGGGTTGGCAGTGATCATGCCAGGGAAGATGGAAGCGTCCACAACAAAGAGATTGTCCATCCCGTAGACCTTGGTGTTCAGATCCACCACGGAGGTGCCCCCCGTCCTCCCGTCGTCGGTGCCCATCTTGGCGGTACCTGTCGTGGCTTGGTCAGTACTACTTACATCGTATTCCACTGAGTCCACTCCAGCACTGAGCACGACTTGAAGGGACTGAACTCACCAATCCAGTGGTTGGAACACCGGCGTGCTGGTGTGGCAGGTATCTGGCCACTGTGTAAGTAAATGCGGTCTTGCATAGAGCATATGTGTCCAGGATCTACTAAGGTAAGGTATTCTTACCGAGTTGACAAACTGCTCGGCCGTGACATTGGACGGGGGAGTAATCCACGTCAGATTGGCCACACCCTTCAGCGACTCCTGGAGATTGATGAGGCCCTGGATGACGGCCTCCTTGTCGTGCTCGTCCCGGAGATACGGAGGTGTCGAGACAATTGTGTTGAGCTGCCTCGTAATGGTCATGCGCCCTCGCGAAAGAGAGCCGGTGCCCAGATATTGCGTGATGGTCATGGACGCTGCAGCACATCAGTTCCTGTTCCATACCCATCGCTAGGCAGGGTCGCCCGCGCGTAATCTAGGTAGGTGGGTACTAGGTAAACTCACTGTTGCGTTTTCCTTCAACCCGGGCTTGCCAGTGAAGATGCCGGTTGATGCCATCCCTCCCCTTGATGATCTCCCAGAACTAAGGGCAGACTGTTAGTACTACGAGAACTGGGCTTGTCGAGGCTGTCCACTCACGATTGGTCCGATATTTGGGGCGGCTTGGGCAAAGGGGCCAATTCTACTTTCTTTACCTCGAAGCATTAACCCCTTATTCACGCATTTCACCGTTGAAGCCTTGAAGGGTAGGTTAGGAACTACTCACTCAGATAGATCTCGGTGTCGCTGACGATTGGTTTAGTCCATGCGGCATAATAGTCGTAGAAAACGACATCGGGATGTTCGACCTCGATATCAGTCTGCCAAGTGCAAGTCAGCAGTCGGCGGTTAATATTGGGGAGTTGAACGGCTGCCCGTCGTCTGTCAGGTAGATCGGGGCTTAGGGTATTCTTACGCCCACATGGTCGTTAAGATTGTACCCGACCGGCAAGTTGATCCACTGGTCCGATGAAATCATGGTAGGCCCGTCGGCCGAGTTGTTTACGACCCGCAACTGGTCTGCCGGTCCGATTCCGCCTGCGTTTCGTCAGTCAAGCTCGCCGCCACTTGTGCAACCCCATCATATCGCCTGATCAATGGAAGCTTACTCCTGAACAACAGCTTCGCAGAACCAAACGCCCCTGCTGACAAGATCACCCGACCCGTGTTCGGAGTCAGCGACACAATGCCAGCATGGCCTCCACGGTTGCATTCCACCTCGACGCCAGTGGCATGACCACCAGTTCGAACAACCCGCTTTGCAATCGTGTTCGTCCAGAGTGTAAATCCCTTGCGCCCGCTCGCTGTGACGAGATAGGTGGCCAACGGACCGCCTCTTTCGCCTCCCGAGTACATAAAGGTGCTGTGCCCGTACGTGCGGTTCTTTCGCTCGGGGTGCTCATTTGGGACGAGGTACTCCCAGCCAGCCGCTTTCAGACTACCGCCCAGCATGTCGAACCCCTGCGACAGATACCGCTTGCCGTCCATTGAAGGGGCAATGGTACCGGGGATCCGGGAGAAAACGCGCTCCGTCGCCGCTGCGAGGTCCTTGTTCTTCCATCCCTCTGGGAAGTTCAGATCCCAGTCGTCGGGATGCGGCTTCCACCACAGGCCGGCGTTGACTGCAGTTCCTCCCCCGAGCATGCACCCGGCCATCTGATCGACGTCGGTGCAAGCCACCCCGGTCGGGTCAGCCCAGATCTGGTTGCAGAGGCCAGGGACGTCGAAACGGGTCAAACTCGTGTTGTTCAGCCAATCCGGCTTCATGGTTCCGCCCCATCGTCCAGTAGAGGGCGGCCCCTTTTCGATCAGGAGAACGCTGTGCCCTGCCTCAGACAAGCGGTCTGCCATTGGGATGCCCCCGGCACCCGAACCCACGATAATGTAGTCATACGTCTCGGTCGACGAGACATTGGCGCATGTTGCCTGGGTCGCCCCTGACCGCGGCCCTGAAAGAGAAAGGTTAGCCGACACCAATCGAGGCAGTCGCAACCCAGCATTTACCTACACAAGGCAAGCGCGCTCCCAACGAGCCCGAGCTTAGATGAGACGTGCATTCCGACTTACACCGAGAACAAGGCGGATTAAGGGGAGGGAGGCGGGGGGTAGAGAACCAGATCAGCCCTGATCAAGGGAGCAAGACCACCTCTTAAGCTGGGCAAAGTAAGATACCGTCTCGTGCTACGCTACCCCTGGTACCAAGGACCAACGGCGCCCCAACCCAACGTCCCATCATAAACATCCTTTCCCCCTTTTTTCCTCTGCATCATCACTATGTCCTTTCCAAGTTCCCCACATTTTCCCCAGACTGGACCCAAATGCGGAGAATTCTTCCCAGCCTTAAGTTGCAAAAGCTTCCAGGTTGGGTACCGGTGGGTGGTGTTATATTAGCCGAGACAGCGGGACCTCAACCGAAGCGTGGCAGACGCGGCAGACCGCACGCGTGGTTCGGCCTCAAGAAAGTCTTGCTTATCTGGGGTGCGTCGGAGCAATATACGTTGGAGCGGGGAAAGCCAGCTGGGGGCATATATTAGTGCAGGGACGCCGGGCATATATATTACAAGGGCTTCGTCTCGTGACATCCAACCGGCCGCACGCAACTTTGATGGGACAGGCACTCTTTCGGCGTCCATTCGTGACCGCCGAACCAACAGAGGGAAAATACCAGAAATGATTGGCCAGGTTGCCCCGATCAGCAGTCAAGGGGTGGTAGAGTTAAGACTAAGAACGAGTGCGTCTTACTTGAGCATTCATTTGTCTGGTCTCATCAGGGGTTTATCCTGATGATCCTAGCCTGAATCCTTGAGCGATTCGGCATATCCACGACCATACTACTGTTATACTTCAGCTAGAAGCAGGATCCATGGAGGTTCTCGTACTGCGCCGTGGTTGGCACACTCTCATGGCTGTCTGACATATGAACATGATGGGGGGCGGGTTCTAGACCGAGGTGGATATTACTAGGTACCTTATGATCACGCCCGACGGAGTGAAAGCGGTTCTCGAGGCCGGGACCTCATTATGTTCGCAGTTCATACCGTGACATACAAAACGAAAGCTTACATGTACGACTGGATTCCGACACTCCCGTTCTGTGGTTGGACTATGCGTTGTGCTTGCTTCGCTTCCTGCGGTTTGTAGATACATAGCACTTCATTCAGTGCAAACATGTAACACTGGGACGGTCATGCCTTCGCCTGAACTGGTTATTAACTCTTAATACTACAGCTACACTACCTAAGGTAATCGGATCATTGGCAAGAATGCAGGCCTCTAGCAGCCGCGTAAAGGGAACTACTAAGTACCTAGGAGCCATCGCGTTGAGATTCAGGGGCAGAGACCACGAGCCATCACTACTAAGTATCACAGGATCAATTGAGGTACGGTACCTCTGTGAGAAGGGATCTATTCGACTATATCTAAGTACATGTATCTTCAGGCTGTCCCCAAGCCAGAGCCTTGAGGTAGCCACAAATGTTGGATATGATGATCATCGTATCCCATAGCCGTGTCATTCATACAACAACTAAGAGCTCATCGACCATAAGCAGCATATAAGGGAGACAGACTCGCATACCAAGAGGCCAAGCTAAGGTAAGGTACCTTACGTACCTTATATATTGCTCTAGGAATTACCTCCAAGTTAGTAGTTACCTATTCACACCCGGCCACTCCGTCAGTACCTAAACAGCTTCACTTCTGCCTATCTCTCTTCGTCTTCACGGAGGCAGTTCTGAGTTGAAGCAGTTCCGTACCTACGTTGGGGTAATCAAAGATCGGAATCAACCATATTGCCAGTGCACGCAGAAGACGGCGGAATTCCAGATGAACTAGACTCATTGGTGGGTTGAGTTGGTCAAGACGGCCCGGTCACTGTCAGTTAGACTGAGTGTCCCAAATTTGATCCCACTGCCATCCTCCCCGGGCACACTGTATAGATACCTACACAGACTTTTAGTCAGAGCAACCGAGTTCAATAAGAGTGGTGCAGCCAGGGCATTGCAAACAAAACAAGCAACCCGCAGCACTGACAGTGAGCAACCTGAATCAGGGACTCAGGAGACGGCAGTGCTCGGCATTCACTATAAGAAGCAGTTGGATCAACGGGGGGCGTAGTCAAGGCATCACTAGTAACAATATAACCGGAAGATTGGTCGAACAGACCAGGCTAGGTAGTAACAGCATATCCTGAACGTAGACGAGATCATGAGGCTTAACAGGGTACGGGAAAAAGGCAACAGTGTTGGGGTTAGATATGGCACTCTTCCCCTGAATTCCCCCTGAACGTGTCACGTGAGAGAAACTCAGTGTTAACCTCCAGAAGAGCAGTGGTCTGAGATTGCTAAAAACGCTCTGGAATGATAGGAATTCATGAAATATGATGTCAATGAGATGGTCACACATTTCCACAATCTACGAAGTACGGCACTCTTGAGAAAGGGATTTTTTTGGGAAGAGAAAATGAAGGCTACCGTACAAGGAGTTGGAAAGCGGACTGGTTACGGGTTAGGGTTAATGGTGGGTTTTCGGAAAAGGAAGGTGGTGGTTGAGGTGAACGTGGCCCTGACCAGACAGTGGGGACTGGGGACCAGTCGGAAACCTTCACAAAATCTATCTGGCGATTTGTTGCCCCTTTGGAACCTTCAGCTTCTCAACATCGACAAAGTCCTCGCTCTCTAGAACAACAACCCTCTCGCTGTCTACCTATCAGTATAAGTCAATCGCAATGGCTGGACTCAATCCGCAGATGTACGACTCTGAGGCTCTTTGCGCCGCGCACGCGACAGTTGGAAGCTAACATTGTTTACCGCGCAGCACGAACCTGATCATCATCTTCGGGATGATGCAGGTTGCCAAGAAGATTCCCTTCGAGGACCCGACGGTCTTGAACGCGATTCGCGCTGTCTATGTTACCAGCAACCTCATTATCCTCGGCATCTACCTCTACATCCGGGCCCAGGTGAACAAGAAGAAGGGTACGTTCTCGTGGCAGCCCTCCGAATATCCCGGTGGCGCAAGCACCCATGCAACACCCATTGCCGATTTCTGCGCACTATGCAACTTCCAGGCTAACCGCAGCATTTCTCTCAGACATGACCACGTTGAAGTACGTCGAGCCAGCCCCGATGGGTTCGAGCGAGGAAGGGAAGCTCGTCACGACCACAATCCACGCCTACGACATCGGTCAGATCAGGAACCTTATGCGCGCACAAGCTATGGGTGTGCTCATGATGGCCGTGATGCACTTGTACTTCAAGTACACCAACCCACTCCTGATCCAGAGCATCATCCCGCTGAAGGGCGCGCTGGAGGCGAACATGACCAAGATCCACGTTTGGGGACAGCCCGCTTCGGGTGATCTCAAGAGGCCCTTCAAGCAGTCTGCCGGCTTCATGAGCGGCTTGCAGAGCGGCCCTGCGCAGAGTGACAAGAAGGCTGTCGAGGCCGCCGAGCGCGCCGGCCGGGGTGGTGCCAAAGAGGAGTAGACTACCCAGGAGGACTTGTGTGGGCGAGATATCATCTTTACGGAAGGCCTTGTACGTTATCATAGAGATCTTGCGGGCGTCGCGGCATCAAATCTTCTAATAGACCTGCGGGAGTGAAAGGCGACAGCGGGTTGAATACTTGTTTGCTTTCTGTGTGAGCGCTTACGGTGATAGCCATGCTTTACAGTAAACGATCCCGGAGCGAAAGTAACGGACGTCCTAAAAATCCCCTTTTCTAGTCGGAAGAAATCTTGTGGTGTAGAGTACAAACGGTGGCGAATCAACTTATTAGTCAGACTCTCAGGGACCACGCATCAAAACGGGGATGCTTTACCGTCCAGGCACGGTATCAGCATTAGTGGGGCAACTTCCCGAACCGCAGGACTCGCTTTCGACGACGACAATACAATTGTTTGACCTCTCAGGGCCCGCTTGAAATACAGTGCTCCGACCATCCGTATCGCTCACGCGAGGATTTGTTGTCATAAGCAGCCTCTGCTAAGCCTGCAATGGAGCGACCGCGCACTCCGCCAACGGAAACATCATCGACATCGAGACGCCCGCCAACCCCTCCAACACCGGAAGTGACCCGTCGCATAGTGAGCAAGCGGCTGACTTTGGTGCCTCATTTGCTAGCACTAACTCTTTCCAGGAAGAAGCTCGCCTACGTGCAAAAGCTATCCGCGACCAACGTGAAGCCGAGCAACGATCCGCCGCCATCTCCACCGCACAGCCGCGAGCCAGCTCCAGGCTTGTCGCAACGGAAAATGCCGGTCCTGCCGGCCAAAAACGGCCTTACGCATCAATATCCCGAACCGAGGTGCCCACGACGAACCGTGATGCTCGCACAGCGCCATCATCAAAGGATACCAACGGGGGCGGCGGCGCGGGCGGCGATTTGCTGCCCGTCTCGCGCAAGTTCTCCAAGTATGTTGACTACAACTTCAGCGCCATGACCGACACCAAGGGCGGTTTTCTCAGCACCGAGGACGATCCATGGAACAAGAGCATGTCTACGGGCAGCACAGCTCGCCCAGGCGGTGGTGGCGGCGGCGCGCCCGAGGGCGAGCAAAAACCGGCGCACATGACGGCCGCCGAGTGGGAACGTCTGCAGCTAATCCGCAACCTGCAACGCAACAAGGCCGGCCCGTACGAGCCGGGCCTGAGCATCCTCACCGACGAGAAGACAAGGAAACGATGTCGAGAGTGCAACAGCTTGGAGATTGACTTTGTGTGGGAGGAGGTCTTTGGCTGTGCCGTCTGCAACGCCTGCAAGGAGAAATATCCGGAAAAGTACAGCTTGCTCACAAAAACGGAGTGCAAGGACGACTACCTGCTGACAGACCGTGAGTGTGTCTTGGAAACAATCCAGCATCGCAGCCATTTGCTAACAAGCGCCCAACTGCAGCCGAGCTCAAGGACCCAGAACTGCTCCCACATCTGAACAAACCCAATCCGCACAAGTCGCACTGGCACGACATGATGCTTTTCTTACGATACCAGGTTGAGGAGTACGCTTTTAACCACAAATGGGGCTCCGCCGAGGCATTAGATGCCGAGTTTGAGAGGCGCGAGGCCGACAAGAAGAGGCGGAAGGAGGCCAAGTTCAAGGAGAAGCTGCTAGACCTCAAGCGCAAGACCAGGACAGACGCGTTCAGAAGGAACAATGCGAAGGCCGGAGGCGGAATTGTGGGAGGAGGTGGAGCAGGCAAGCCCGCCAAGTTTGGAGATGCCATCGGCGGCGGCGGGAAACATGTCCACGACTGGGGCCGGACTGTGGAGAACGAGGAGGGCATGACGGTCAAGACATGCTTAAGTTGTGGCATGGAGGTTGAGGAGCTCGAGTTGTGAATAAGCTTGCTGCTAGATCATCGAGTGCATTCCAGGCTAGAGAAGCCAACCGCCTTCCTGATGGCCCTTCGGAATGTTGGTTCCATGGGAACCGACACTGGATTTACAGGCTTTTTGAGCCACAATGGCTCCCTGTGGTGTAATCGGTTCCAGTTACCCTACGGTGCTGCTGTATTGACTTACCTCTAGGCCGTTAGACGTGCTGCTTTCGTACCAATGCTGTGTATCGTCGGACCACAAAGCTGTCAGTTGCGAATTGGGTGGATCCTGCTGATGTTGGTCAAGAGAGAAAGAGCTTCCAAAGGCCCTGAGAGTGAGACCTGGACGAAATGCAACGGTTGCACAGAGACCCACACAAATCGATGCCTTGCAGCCTCACGGTAACCGACGGGCTCTGATTCGACAGCCGCGCTCGTATCCCTGCGGTCCGCCCCTTCCCCAAAGAGCAGAACGGCCCTGTCGCTCTTGGCCAGCATCCGCAGCGGCCAGCATCACCAACCCAGGCTAGCATTGCCGCCCTGCTGCAGGGTGATTCGGCCGCCAAAGAGAAGCAAAAAAATCCTGTCGACACGACACCCCTTTTGCTGGGTAACTAATCCTCAATTTCGCCGTTTCGCGCCATCGGCATCTATCTTCGGTCACCGATAAGCTTGCTCTGGCTGCACCAACAAGCTTTGCCCTAAAGCAAGCAGCAGCAGAGCTTGTGAGCCCTGCTTGGCAGCCGTCGCCCCTTCATCCTGCCGCGCGTCGGCCTCGTCCATGGCTAGGTAGTCCGAACTGCTACGAGTCTCCCGAGATTTGAGCCCCCTCCGCCGTCATGGGCACAAACGGAGGGAGCGGGGTAGGCGGCGGTGCTGCACACGACACGGGCGGCATCATGGGGCCCGGCGCAAATCAGCTGCCTGCCACAGAGTACACTCTCCAAGGTCGGTGCAGTTTTGCCAAGAAGACGATTACACTCAAAGCAATGACCTGGCCATCGTATCATCGATGCTAACAATGGTTCTGTATTGTACAGGCGTCATGCGCTTTCTCCAAACTGAATGGCACCGGCACGAACGCGACCGAAATGCCTGGGAGATCGAAAAGCAGGAGATGAAGAGCAGGATAGCCAATCTGGAGGGGCAGGCGCGGAGGGCGGACGCGACCCAGAAGGCATTGAAAAAGTATGTCACTATACTCGAGAAAAAGGTCAAGGACCAGGCTGCACTGCTCAAGTCGGGCAAGACGCCCGAGACTGAGCCCAAGCTTGATCGTGCTGCATTGCTTCAGGAGAAGCTGCGCCGTGAGTTCCCCAATCCCTGTTACGTCCGACATGTCATGCTGATCGACGGAGCTGGCTATGCAGCATCATCGGAGAAACTCGCCGGTTCCTTGGCCGAGTCTGCTCTCGAGGCCGGGCTTGCAGACGAGGAGGCTGCGCGCAATGACCTCAAAACGTTCCTCGACCAGTGCCAGGCCGAGTTCACGTACCTAATGATTACGCCCGCGAATCCAATACCCCCAAGGGAGTCTCCACCTCTGCCCGTCATGGAAGACTTGCGAGAAGGAGAGGCGTTTGGCCAGTCAATGTTGGATCAGTCATACCAGCAAGGCATGCGCCGGCACCAAAATCTAGCCCGCGACATGCTCACTGCCCAAACCCAGCCTGCTCCGGTCCCAAACCACCACCCCCCAGGGCCCCCAGGGCCCCCAGGCCCAGTGAGCTTCCCTGCTAAACCGCTCGATATCCAGGCGCCGCCAATGGTGCGCACGTCGAATCCTGAGCACAACGCCATGGCGTATGGCAGCACCAATGACGCTGAGTGGGTTACCGTGCCTGAACCTGGGAAGGCAGTGGCCGAACCGATTCCCGGACCAGCCAATCCTCCGAAGCATTTCAACAAGACCGAAGATAAAGGAGAAGCTGCCGAGAAGCGTGGTGTGGCTGAGACGGGTAGCTGGGATTTCAACGATGCCAACTTCCCAGATACTGCGGCCCCAACTCAGCCTCAGCAGCTGTCGTCCAACCGGCCCGACACCGACGTGTTCCCTACTGCTGAAAACATTCCACGATCACCTCACCGTGCCCCTCTTGCGCATCGAAGAAAGAGCTCAAGCTCCATGTCCCGGAGGAGGAGTGCGGAACACGAACTCTCGCTCCACGCACTGGGCCAAAAAGCGGAGAACACAAACTTCAAGCTCAGATTCGGCCTCCGCGGCCACCTGGACACGGTTCGCACCGTAATTTTCTCGGGCGGTGGCAGCCCTGGGGAGCCTGAGATCTGCACGGCAGGAGATGACGGGATGATCAAACGGTTCCACATACCGGACCGACATCCCGGACATGTGGGGGCAAGCAGCTCTGATCTTGACGTCATCGCCGACTTCACGCACCGCGGCCACACGGGAGCAGTGCTATCGCTGACCTCTTGGTCGCCGTCTCCGAACTTCTCCACGGGCGGCCGAGCGCAGGGCGACGGCTGGATCTTCTCGGGCGGACAAGATGCAACGATTCGGGTCTGGGAACGGGGTCGCGTAGACCCGAAAGCCACCCTGGACGGTCACACGGATGCAGTCTGGGCTCTCTGCGTTCTCCCAACCAATCTTGGCGCAATCTTTGGTCAGTCAAACACGTATGGGCCGCCGGATCGCATCCTTTTGGTGTCGGGTGCCGCAGATGGCACCGTCAAGATCTGGGCAGTCAGCGCGCCTCCGCAGCTTACCTCCCCGCAGCCTAGCGGGGGCCGGCGCGGCCCCGGCGGTCGGGTGCGGGGTAATTCTATGAGCTCCGGCTCTGCGTTTCCCAGCTCGCCGCAGCCCACGACGGCCTCAAACTCACCTTTTCATCACACGCTGATACACACCATTTCGCGTCCGAACTCGAAGGCAAGCCCGACGTGCATCACTCCGCTCAGCCCGAATGGTGAGGCGTTTGTGGTCAGCTACTCGGATGCGGCCATCATAGTCTACGACACGCGCTCGGGAGAGGAAATCGGGTCCATGGCAAGCCTGGAAACGTACGACGGCACCGTGGGAACGAGCGTGAACGCGGTCGTGGCTACAACGGTCGGCCTCGATCAGCCCCATCAAGGTCTGAACGAGGAAGACGCTGGCAGTGGAGGAGGACCCACCGGAGGCGGTCGCGCCATGGCTGGGTCTGGAGTTGAGGGTGTCATTATCTCAGGCCATGAGGACTGCTACGTCAGATTCTTTGATGCCAACAGCGGTAAGTCTTTCTGTTGCGCGCTATCTGTTTTCCCCGCCAGTATCCCCACATTCAGCCAAGTTACGCGCATCCCCGGCTGCAGGATTGAGTCCAACTGACATGTGGAACAGGTCAATGCACATACAACATGGTCGCTCATCCGGCGTCCATCTCCAGCCTTTCGCTCAGCCCTGATGGCCGGGAGCTAGTCAGTGCGGGCCATGACGCCTCGCTGCGGTTCTGGTCGCTCGAGAAGCGATCCTGCACGCAGGAGATTACAAGCCACCGCGTCATGCGCGGTGAGGGTGTCTGTGCCGTTGTCTGGAGTCAGGACGGCCGGTGGGTTGTCAGCGGCGGTGGAGACGGTGTGGTCAAGGTGTTTGCGCGGTAGGACGTGCGAGCACCACCAGCAAGGGGCAGCAGACAAGAAGCCGTCACTAGATATGGCTTTAGACGAACACTGGATGCATGGACGGATTGACCATTTCTCTGACCATGCTCCGTGGCAGCTGATGCGGGATGAAATGGATAAGTGGGGGGTTGTAGCAATGATACCAGCAGCTTGGGGCTTTTTCTGTGGAGAGGGGTATTGAAATGGCTCAGGTTGGAGCTCCAGGAGCAGAGAGCTTGTGGCAGATTCGAACTGAAAACCGATACCACAACAATCGACGCGCAGAAACGAGCCGGCCGCAGTATCTCTCACCAAGGGTCCAACAGCCTGTGGCACCCCTCGAGGGCGCCACGAGTGGGCACTACTGTGTAATGGAAGAACTGTATGATACATGTTGGGGGATTGTTGTGTATAGGCTTCGGGGCAATGTCAAAGACTTTGTTGATCAGGGCAGGGAGCGAGCGAGGAGCTGCACCTCGGTTGCACGAAACGCAGTCCAACCTGCCAGCGCGTTGGCTGTATTCTTAATATGTCCGAGACCGTCGGGTTATTGTGCAGCAGGTCTCGGCGGTCGATATCTGCCATTTACGGCCTTAGCAGCGGCACAAAAGATCGGCAGGCCAAGGGCGGAGGCGAGAAATCGGACGGACTTGAGAAGAATCGCCTTCGTTCATCCGTCACTTAACACTGAGATCTAGGCATACCAGGCACTGAAGCAGGACGATCTGCCCTCAGACGGGTGCTTATCACGGCTCTATTAAAGAGTCATATATGAGACGGGGCGCTCTGTAACAGGGAGCAAGTGCCGTAAAGCATGTTTTGGATCTTCATGCACGACGTCAAGACCAACCGCATCTGGATAAGGTAAGCCAAGGTTTGTGGAATGCAAGGGTCACAGCCAAGCGCGATCTGCCGCCAGAGATGGCACCGTTTCTCCCAACCCGATAGGCTGCTGTCGACGTGGGAGCTCATGGTGCTGCACTTATCTGCCTAAACTGCCGAAGCCATGCTGCGGGTCAAGACCAAGTTAATTAAGCTTTGCGGACCTCCCATTCGTCGACACGGCGGATGAAGCTATCAGAGCTTCCCTGGGGGGCCATTACGCAGTAATTGTGTCGATCGAGCTGATCGAGCTCAGGAGGGGGAGCTCCCCTTGTAAAGTTGTTGGTGTGGGCTTCTATCAAAACATCTTACCTTAACTTACTACCTTAGGTAACGTTAACTGCTCGTTTCCAAGACGGAACCAACGCCGAGGGGCTTGATCTGCCCAAACAGGCAGCTTCACTGCCATTCTCTACAACTCTAACGAGGGCCTCTTTCTGCCGGAGCGGAGGCGAGAGTGCCAACCTGCCAAGCGTGGCCAGCACTCTCCGTCTCTGGCAACAAAGACCACGAGACCAGCGGGCAGGGCCCAATGCCATGCCCTTCCGAGCCTGTTGACCCCGGGCTTTGTGTTCGTTTGCTGGTCTCGGCACGGCAGAGAGGCCCCCTTGGCCCTTATCTTCTGCATTCCGATCTACCTTTACCGCCTGGAACTCATAGTGTGCGGGCATCCGAGATTGGCCTCGACCGCTCGTGCTTGCTGGGGTCAGGTATCGCCATCCCGGGCTGATATTGGCCGTATGGCGGGGGGATGCTCGGTTGGAAAAGAGGTACTAGGAGTAGATAAGCCCGCCGACCTCAGTCATCCGTCTGCCCCTCTCGTGAAGCAGCGACAGAGGCCGTCTGGACAGAGGATCTGGGAACTACTTGCTCCTCGTTGCTCTAGTTACCCTCGGTCCATCTGCTCACCCCGTTGGACAGGCATTGTCAGGCTTAGCCCCCTGAACCCCTTTTCACCTCAACCCTCGTGCACCTCGCGCTGGCCACGATGGTGACCATTACAAACCTGTTATTCAGTGCTGCCGTGCTCGCAGTCTCGGGCTTGGGTTCTGCCCTGCCTCCCAGGATCGGCACGACCAACATTGTTGGCAATGGCAATGCGAACAGCAACGCAAAGGGTCGGGTCTCGCTCAAGCAGGCTCGCAACCCCCACTATCGCTACTTCAACGGCGCCCGGTCCATCCAGCGGACGTACCTGAAATACGGCGTCCCCGTGCCCGACTATCTCGTCGAGGCCGCGAACCGCATCGACGCGCTCAACAATGCCGGAGAAGAGTCCAAGCGCGACACTGGCAGCGCCCCCGCGGTGCCCATCGATGAGGTCGACATTGCCTACGTCACGCCCGTGACCATCGGCACGCCGCCGCAGACGCTGAACCTGGACTTTGATACTGGCTCATCCGACCTATGGGTCTTCTCTAGCCACATGCCCAGCTCGCAGATCCGGGGCCAGGAGATCTACACCCCGACCAAGTCCAGCTCGGCCAAGCTGCTCGCCGGCCAGTCGTGGAGCATCACGTACGGCGACGGCTCGGCGTCGCGCGGCAACGTCTACAGCGACAACTTCACTGTTGGCGGCCTGACGGTCGACTCGCAGGCTGTGCAGTGCGCCCAGCAGGTCTCGTCGAGCTTCACCAGCGAGCAGCACATTGATGGGCTGGTCGGGCTTGGGTTCAGCTCGCTCAATACCGTCAACCCGCAGAGCCAGTTGACGTTTTTCGATAATGCAAAGCCCAAGCTGGACAGCCCGGTGTTTACCGCGGATTTGAAATACAAGAAGAGTATGTTCAATGTCGTGCCCTTCCCTTTGGGTTTGCATGCCATCGTGATATTCCAGTCGCGAATGAGGGGCAAAAGGGGAGAAGTCATGTCAGGACTGGACAGACTAGAGGATTAGAGATTGACCCTGACACTTCGTTAGCTGGCACGTACGATTTCGGCTTCATCGACAAGGCCAAATACACAGGAGAAATCACCTACGTCCCCGTCGACACCAACCCGGGCTACTGGACCTTCACGTCCTCGGGCTACGGCGTCGGCTCCGGGAACTTTAGCGCCACCTCCATCAAGGGCATCGCCGACACGGGGACGACGCTGGTGTACCTGCCGACGGCCATCGTGACGGCCTACTACCGGCAGGTGTCCGGGGCCAGCAACAGCCGGAGCTATGGCGGCTACGTCTTCCCGTGCACGTCGACGCTTCCGTCGTTTACCTTTGGCATCGGATCGACCCGCTTCACCATTCCGCCGTCCTACATCAACTACACGCGCGTGTCGCCCACGTCGTCGACATGCTTTGGCGGCCTGCAGAGCAGCAGCTCGCTCGGCATCAACATCTGGGGCGACGTCGCCCTCAAGGCCGCCTTTGTCGTGTTTAATGGTGCGAACCCGCCCACCATCGGCTGGGCGCAGAAGCCGCTCGAGACATGACAATTGTTCAAGGTAGTCTAGGTGGTGTGTCAGCAGCAGGTGGAGTATGTCAGATGGGTGTTCCATTGTAACTGAGGGTCCATAGCATCGTTACGCAAGACTGGGGTTGATTCACTCAATTAGTGTGGGTAGTGAGGTCGTTATCAAACCAATCACGCAATCAATGATTTCATGATAGTGTCTGGGCCATTGGTCTCACGACCTACCTTTTCTGGTTTAATGATTGAATCCTACCGGATTCTCGACCTGTTTTGGCCTTTGGGCATGGGGTGGCAAGCGCTTGCCGGCGGGGTCTGAGGCGTTGGCGAAATGTCGGCAGTGACAGGAGAGATAAGAATCGTGGGTGAGCTGCATTCGAACATTCGCTCCTGCTGAGAGCCCAAATCAGGGCTGTACTTCGCTCTTGCTCCGGGACATAATGAGATTGCTGAATTGTTATAGCGGTTTGGACGTAAGGCGAATACTCCAAAGGCATGGTGCTCGTTAGCTCGTGGAGATGAGTGCCAAAAAAGGAAAGGTGAAAGATCGCCAAGACAAATGGAAGCCCTTGGCCGAGTTCGAGAGAGCGGCTTGGCGCAGGACAAGCCTTCGGGTCCCGAATCCAAGAACTGCCACACCACAGCTTGTTCGAACCTCTCTGCTTGGCAAGGCTGTCCTGACGCCGAAAGATGGACCTCCAAGAGACACATTTAGAGTCATAGACCCCTTAAAGAACACGTATTCACATGTAAACCAAGCCTGCCGAATTTCTAACGACGGCCTGCCCCTGACTGCGGCCACGCCGATTTGGGTCTGTTCTAGATTTTAGTGCCGATGGAGCCGAGGATGGCGACATGCCGATGTTCCCGAGGTTTTGGGAGGAGAAGGGGCGAGTTCGGACGGGAAAACGCCAATTGTGCGGGAAAACGCTGCATTCTGGGGAATTGCAAATCGGACTGAGCTGATTGCGCTTTGGCCGGCAGCGGTTTGGAATGACCCCAGAACTTCATCACAGGAACTTTGGGATGCGCTTTCCAATGATGCGGCACTGTAATGCGTCCTGCTTTCCCCTCCTTCCCCCTCCGCAGTGAGAAACATGCAGGTTCGCAATCAAGGGGTTCAGTGACTGATGCGATCCAATCGAGCGAGAGCACCACCAGCGGAACGGTCGGATAAGAATCGCCTACTGTACGATGTGGATGGGGTTGAAACCTGCCCTGATGGAGAATGTATGGGGTCCCGACTCGGAGGCGACCTTCAGATGAACTCCACCACATCCACACAAATCGACAAGAATTGCTGGGCTAGCTTGTCGTGGGTTGCTCGTGTCGAGAAGGATCCTTCGATGGGGACTCCTCTCCATTGCCACGGGCACAAGCACTTGATCGAGGAAGGAACCAACGCTCCCCCGGACAAATGACGGACATGAAGCTACCCAACCTGGAAGGTGCTCATGCTTCTATCTATGTCCCCAGCGCGCACCACCAATCAGCATCCCAGGTTACTGGAACCGGTCCTCGATTTACATCGCACGCTATTCGCCCTCTTATCAGTCGCCGCCGCATGTTTGATGCTTCCCCCATCCCATTACTACGTTCTCCATAAGTACACCACATCATCCGGCTGATGAGAACTTGCCGTTCCCCCGCCTCTCTCCCTCCCTCAGCGCGTTCCCTTCCGTCCAGTGAAACCTGCACACCCAACGCGCTAGGTACGCCTCTGTACGGATCAGCCGAGTATGGGTAAGTGAACCTCGACACAAGGATGCCGTGTTTACCCATGTGACTGACTAAGGATCAATTGCTGATGCGTCAACAGCGGAAAAGGTGCCCTCGTCCGGCAGCGACACGGCCGAAAAGGCCGGTGTCGACCTGGAGAAGATGCCGCGCACACCTCCAGGTGACCACCACCCAGCTTATCTGAATCCGGACGTCATGGAGGGCGAGTACGAGGGCAAGCCAACCGAGGAGGAGATGGCCGTCTTGCGCCGCGTGCCGGGGAAAATCCCGACCATAGCCTACCTCATCTGCATTGTCGAGTTCTGCGAGCGAGCCTCGTACTACGGCGTCCAGCCCTTGATCAGCAACTATGTCAACCGACCGATGCCCATCGGCGGTAACGGCTGGGGCGCCCCACCTCAGGGCGATCAGCAGACCCCCGGCGCGCTCGGCATGGGCACCGTGGTGGCCAACGCCGTGACCCAGTCCTTCAGCATGCTTGCATATGCGCTGCCTCTCTTCTTTGGCTGGCTCGCCGATGCCAAGACCGGCCGCTTCAAGCTGATCTGTTGGGGCGTTGCTGTCTTTGGCGTTGCTCACGTCCTCATGGTTGCTGCAGGGGCCAAAGACCTTTTGGCCAACGGGACGTCCAAGGCGCCCTACTTTTTGTCTGTTTACATCCTGTCAATCGGCGCGGGTAAGCCCAATTGAGCGTACATTCCTTTCCTGCGGCCAGCTGACATGCTCGCAGCAATGTTCAAGCCCAACGTGTCACCCCTCCTCCTCGACCAGGTCACCACTACTGTCCCAAAAGTCGTCACGCTCAAAACCGGCGAGAGAGTCATTGAAGACCCGGAGGCTACCAGCGAGCGCGTCATGCTTTGGTTCTACCTCATGATCAACATTGGCGGCTTCATGGGCGTCGCCACATCGTATTCGGAGAAATATGTCGGAGTAAGTGCCACATAACGAGCATTAACTTGCTATCCAGTGGCTAACCGTCAGTAGTGGTGGCTTGCATTCCTTATCCCTCTCATCCTCTATCTGCCGCTGCCGCTGTTGCTCTGGTTCCTCCATAAGCGCATCATTCTGCACCCGCCTGGCGGTAGCGATCTGCCCAACGTCTTCAGGGTCCTGGGCATCTGTCTTCGTCGGGGAGGGGTGAAGAAGATTGGCCGCCACGGATTTTGGGATCTCGCCAAACCCTCCAATATCGAAGCCGCAGGTCTCAGCTCGACTTACAAAATCCAGTGGAATGACCAGTTTGTCGAGGATGTCCGCCGCACCTTCCAGGCAACAGGCATGTTCTGTTTCTTCCCAATCCAGTACATCAACGACAACGGCCTTGGCGCTGCAGCCAGCTTCCTGTCCACAATGCTCGAGACCAACGGCGTGCCCAACGACGTCATCAACAACTTCAACTCACTCAGCATCATCGTGACCACCCCGATCCTCAACTACGGCTTGTACCCGCTTCTGCGGAGACTCAACGTCCATTACGGCCCCATTGCCCGCATCACCACCGGCCTGGTGATGTCGTCCCTCGGCGGCATGGGATATGCCTTGCTGAACTACTACGCCTACCAGCAGTCGCCCTGCGGGGAGTACGGCTCGAGCGACTGCACAATCGGGACCGGCGTGGCCCCGATCAGCATCTGGTGGATGGCCATCCCCTTCGCCGTGGGCGGCATTTCTGAGCTGTTTGTAAACGTGCCGGCATACGGCATCGCTTACTCGCGGGCCCCCGTAAACATGCGGGGTCTCGTGTCAGCTATCAACCTGTTCAGCACCGCCGTGGCCTACATCATCGGCCTGGCCTGCTCGTCGGTCGTCACGGACCCCTACCTGACGTGGGACTTTGGCGGGCCCGCCATCGCCGGCGGCATCCTGTCGGTTATCTTCTACTTCATGTTCAGGCACATTGACAAGGAGGAGTATGTCCTGAGCCAGAACGAGTACCAGCTGGAACTGGAGGGGACGAGGAATGTGGTGGGCGAGAACGAGCTCAACAAGACGATCAACAGGCCGGCGCCCATTGCCGACAATGAGGAAATGATGATCTCGCAGAAGCAGTAGAGTCTGGTTTGGAATCTGGACCGGAGGGGAGCGAGAGGGTGCACTGGAGTTTGGCGTCGTGTCGCTCAAAGCCTAATGTGTGGAACGGGTCGTTCATGAATCATGCCGGAGTTGTATTTAGTATTGGAAAGATTTAATGTAAGCATGCCTGCAGACTGTGTTCAACTTCCATCATCCATGCCATTCCCGTTCCTTGTCTTTGCATGTCAATGGAAGGAAGTGAAGGTGGAGTATGGTGTCGCGGGCTGGTGGAGAGACCTTGACAACTTCAATCCTCAAATTTCGACCATGTGGCTCCTGGGCCGGTCTCGGTCTGTCGGACCGGACGCATGATAACGAGGCTGTCTACCCGCGATATCCTTACGTTAAACGTCTTGACAGCATTGCCTTGGCGCCATGATTTTCATCCACCTCCACCTGTAATTATTTGACCGAGACACCCATTGTGCTTCTTTTGTATTTCTATGCACAAGATGTCCTAAAGAAACCTCTCCACTCGGCGGTCTGTCATGTGCAGATTTGGACTGGGAAGGTCATCAAGACCTAATAATCACAGCCATTCTCCTTGTCTCTTGACAAGAGGTGCCTGTCCTGGCCATTCTCATTTTAACCCTCGGCTACTGATCGACTTTTCGCTTCTCACAGAACGAGGAACGGGTATATGCACGTCAGATTGGCCCTTGACATGTCCCGCGATGTAACTCGGATAGGTCGTGTATTTTGATGACAGGTTACTGGCAGGTCAGACTGGAGGCGTAACCCAATTCTCCACTGGCTATGGCTCTGGCATCAACAGATTTGATGGATTTGTAGAGGACTATACCGTAACCTTGCGTTTGTCACTACTTCTACAAATGCCATGCAACCCGCTGGCTCATCCGCTCAGGGTCCCTCGTATCAGAAGTTCTCTCCTTCGAGAACCCTTCACAGTCTTCAAATAGGCGGGGAAGCAAGTTGATTGCGATGTCGCACTTGTTGCGATTGAGACGAGGACGGTGGCGATGCTGAAGCCCAGGGTGCGGAATTCGCGGTCCTCGAACACCCGCTTGTTGAAAGACTTTCCGAGGGCGGTAGCATGGGCGAGATCAACGCGGCAAAGAAGGCAAGAGCCCGCTTCGAACACGGTCGAACACAAGCCACTTGGTCGTTTGGGGGGGCTGGGGGGTTGATGGTGGTGACGGAAGAGTGTCTCGCCTTACAGACCTGAGCGGTTCATCCACCCGTCACTTCAAAGCTTCCAGAGAGAGGCGTTCTCGACCATCCAGACACTGGTGTGCTGCGGCTCAGGACATGGACGAATGCCAGAATCCAAATCAGACGTCAAGTTTCGAGGATAGGAGAGAAGGTGCAAGGCAACAAGCGTGCCGCGTTCTTTATTTGCTTTGCATCACAAAAGCACGGTACGCAAAACTGACAGAACGACGTAAATAGTTCCGACAAATCTTCTCTTCCTCACGTCCCGAATTGAACCCGGGAGCGCAATGAAAAAAAAGTGAGAAAGGCCGGTCAGACTTCCATCGACACCCACCCCGCCCGAGCGCCCGAAGGCAAGACCTCGAGAAACCGGGGTACAGATCATCGCCACTCTCTATACAGCCGCAGCCCGAAGGCCAGCGACCGCCACCTTTGCAGGTAGAGCGAGAGTAAAAAGGGACCTCACTGTAGGGTGCCGAGGATATTGATCATCAACCCGGGTGGGATCTGTGGCTCCTTTAGGGAACACAAAAGAGGACAACTACTATAGAAATGATTCTCTGAAGTATTGTCGACATGAGGAAAAAAAGAGAAAAGGGAATCGAAATGGTGGGCGAGGAGCGCTCGATATATAGACTCTGAAAGTGGCCCGTGCGCGTCTGCAAATTCCAGTTGACCCACTTCCTCCGCGCTCCACAAAAGGAGAATTTTTTGCGCAAGATTGGTTGATGAGTGGGGCAGAGCATTCTGCCAGGCAAGACCGCCAAAATTTCTCGCAGTGCAAGACTTCTCCTTCCGAACAACATCTTTGTCAAGGGCATGATGGTCGTGGGAGTCATGTGAGTACCTTCAATTTGGCTGGAAAACGCCTCAAGATGGCTTGTTTCTAAACATTTGACCAGCCTTCCGGTTGTGCTTCGCTGCCAGGGAGGTGATCGTCAGCATGATCGGTCACGGCCACGACACAGGACTCAGATGAACATCTTGACCATCGACGCTGGTAGCCGATCGTGGCTTTCCCTTAGGGTTGGGCACACTGTTCTGAATCTCTCTTCAGAATGTCTACCGGAGTGCCGTTGATGGCAGTTCCAAACCAAATCACTAACCACCTCTACGCTTCGGCAATGTGTGATGTCTCTAGTCTTTCCATCTACATACTGTCGCAGATTCACTCTGTGTAGAGCCCCTCCTGCTCTATCCACTGCCTCACACTGGGCGAAACCATCTTGTCCAGCCTCTGCGAATCACCGTCTCTTGCCGCGGCCCGCGCGTAGGTGCTGCTGACGGCGACGTCCTGCGCGCCAGCACCACGTCCTCCCTCAACCATCTCGATCTCGATCCTGCTAGCCCACTCTTTCCTCCCGCCCACCCTGCTCAGCCCATCCGCCTCGAGCAGGTCCGCCAGATACGCCCGCTGCTCAGTTGCGCTCCCCCACTCGTCGTCCGCCCGCATAACCATGCGCAGCCTGGCGCGCGCGAAAAGTGGATCAAGAGCCTGCTGCATCGGCGTCGTCGCAGGCCCATCATCAGTGGATGATGAGTGGTAATATTTCGGGTTGAAAATACGGATGAGCGTGTCGTAGCCCACAAGCATCAGCTGGTCCATCCCACCGTCACCGTCACCGTCACCGTCACCGGCGGCGTGGCCGTAGTAGAAATCCGACTCGGCAATGGCGGCGCTCTTTTCGTGGAAATACGGTAGTGTGGAGAGGCCTAGATCGGCCGTTAATCCTCCCTGCTCCTCCTCCTGCCCTCCCTCGACCCCCTCAGCATCGCTGTCACTCTGTAGCTGGCGCTGCAGGTCTCGAGCAAACGCCCACATCATGGCGAGCCTCTGGTCGAACGCGGCCGGCTTGGGCGCCTTGTCGGCGTTGTTGATCGACAATAAGAGCAGCAGGCGCAGCGTGTCCAAGGGCTGGAGCTGGCCGTTTCTGTTCTTATTTTTGTTAACAAGATGGCGGATCGACGATACGGCCATGCGCAGGTGGGCCCGGGTCGGCGGGTTGAAGGACGAGTCTAGCACGATAAGCGTGCGGGGGCGGATCCGGGGCGGAATCGGCGTCGGCAGGCCATTTTGACGGTGCGCAGCCGGCGACGAGCTGCAGACAATGGAGAGCTTGGCGCCAGACTGCCGAAACTCCGAAAAGGCGCGGGAGAAATAGTCGGCCAGCACCCGCCCGGATACGGGCGGCTGGCCTGGCATTTCACTGTCTGTCACAGTCACGGGGTGATCAGGAGAGCGCATGGCAGCTGGATGGTTGATCGGTCGGTGCACAGCTTCTTGTAAGTTGACAGTGGCATTGTATTGGCATGAAGGAGGTGAGCATTAGCTTCTGTGTACGCGAAGGTTGATGCTGCATTGCTAGTAAGGGTGGGGAAGCGATTGTGCCGAGTTATGTCACATTTTCGGAGATCCAATGTGGGGCCGGCCGGAGCCCAGGCAGGCCCGGATGGTCGGAAGCTCCCCCGAGTTCTTAGGGAGACTGCGTCAACTGACTTCTCAAGTGACAGTGCCGGCTGACAAGTGTCGTGGCAACCTACAAATAACGATTCTAAGCAATCCACATTCACGACTGATTTCAGTCAAATCAAGGACAATTTTCTTTTCAAAGCTCTCTTAGACTCAGCCCATCAGCATCGCTTGGAGAGACACTGGCCTTTCTCTTGAATCCCGGGGTTGCAACTCAAATGTGCCCATACCTTATCTTTGGCGAAAAAAATCGCTTCAAGCGTGCCTTACACCCATGACCAGTCCAAAGGTAATTCTGAGAATGAATAGGTCATTGTGTTCCGAGTCTCATTAACCTTCTGCCCTTAGTGTTGCCCAACGCCCGAGCAGCGTAAGTTGCTATGTATGTACAACCGCCACTTGTAGCCACTTCCGAGTCCAGTTACCAACACATTACCTACAGTATCATTACATCATTCTATAACAGGGGGTATCGGGTATCATGGAAACCATCTAAACCAGCCCACCCACGGCTCCCACCTTTTTTGCTTTCCGCAAACGCCCTAACAAATGCAGATCACGCCCCGAAACGCTACCCCTTGAACCACAGCGCTCGGTGTTCGCCTGTACCAACATATGAAGCAATGCTTTCATCGAATCTCAGGATCGCGCATGAAATCGGGAAAATCGGAGAAACCACCGTCGCCGTTACGGGGCCGGGAAACAGGGTAGTGGTCGAGTGCATCCAGCAACTCTTGATACGTCTCGTCCTCGTCTGCCGCTAGGCTCTGTGCTGCCACTCGACGGCCAGAGTTAAGATTAGCCGTGAAGGACTCGGTCGGATCTCGCCCTGCAGCACCCATGGAGCTCTCGTCCAAAGCATATATCTTAATGCCGCGGATGTGCGTATCTTTGCCGTTCTGGTGGTTTTCCTTTATGTGCATCTGCACGATCCAGCAGCAAAGCGAGTGCCCGTCCGCGCCCCCACCGCAGTCTGCAATGGGAACGTCCTGCCATCCGACGGGGTTGCTAAGCGGCACTTCGGCGAACTGGATCAGATCGTGGTGCCCGGTGCCGGCGTAAAAGACAATATGGGTGGGCGTGTATGACTCATCTTGGTTATAGTCGACGTAGAAGCGAATGGCTCGGATCTCAACGCGGCGGAGGAAGTGGATGGTGAGCAAATGTGGCTGTTGGCCATCTGATCTGAGACAGGTAAGCAACGTGGCAGGGCAAGGAAACACGGTGGAGAGCTGGAACTTACTGCCAGTATTTATCAAGGTCTTCGCTGAGAAGCTCCTCCACGCCGTTTCCGGGTTTATGGCTGCTCACGCCAAAGTGGGCCAGGTTGTTGATTTCCTTTAAGCCCATCGCTGCAGGATCAAAGACGGGGCCGTGTAGGTGGTCGTCGGAATCACCGTGCTCGTCGTCCTCGTGTTCGTCGACCATGTCCTCGCCCAAATCTTCTTCAGCCATGGCACCGCCCAGCAGTTCGTCGTCGCCCTCTTCAAGCTCCTCCAATAGCTCAATGTCGCCGGTCTCAGCCACCTCGTCGTCCGAGCTGAGTGTATCACCGGCAGGCGCTGTAGGTGCTCTATAGTCAGTCCATGCGATAACCTCGTCGGCATCGTAGATTCCAAGCCGAAGCCCTTCAATGACGGCATCCTCGTTTTCCTGTGCATATATAATGGGTGCTCGCTTATTCAAACCGCGGGGAGAATTGAGATCTCGGTTACGGTCCAGCTCAGCCAGGACCCGTCGCCCTTGACCAATGCGGCGACCCAGCGACGGCTGCATTGTGCCAGAAGCATTTGAAATGAGCGGAATTAGAGAAATCGGGAAAGAAAGTACAATGTGAAATGATGTGGCAGGAAGAGGCGCGACCTCGTCAAAAAGAATCCGAGGACGGGCCCAGTGCCTGTCTGGCAAGGTGGGACAGAAGATGAAGGCCCAGGGAGAAATTACACTAGGGATAATACCTTATGGGCAACTAAATGCAATGGATGGGAGTGGTGAAGCAGGAAAGGTGGTCCCATTGCCAGGAAATATTGGGAGAGGAAGCGGGAGGAGGTGAGAAAGGAAAGGTAAGGTAAGGCGGTGGTGGAGCTAGTAAAGTGACCGCCCCCGGTGGAGGAGTGAAAAGCCGTAACTTACACTGAGGATCGGCAACATGTGCCATTGGAGATGATCTGAGCCTGTCAGGAGCAAAAGCTGCACGTGGCGCCTGGCGCCGGGTCACGCCGGTGACCGAGGCTTGCTCGATTCCTCGTCGAGCTGCTGCAGCCCTCGAGCGTCGCGAACCTCGTGTTATGTCGGGGAGATCAGCCATTTTGCGAGCGGGACATGTGCGATATTTGAATTGGATGGAATATATCCATCAAGGACTTTGTCAAAGTGGTTAGATGAAGACCGCCGAGCATATATGTTCAAGGTTGGGAGGTTGAGGGAGAACCCCATATCGGAGGTTGCTTGTGTCCTTGTGAATGATGTGTGATGCTCCCTGTCTCTTTGTATCCCTCGCAGACTGGGCCGTGCTGCGGCGGTGGGGCACTATATTCTGTCAGCTCACACCGCCCAACTGTTCATTGATTGCTGCCTGTGCATTTCATGTGACTGCGTGTCAACCCGCGTCTTCTCGACGCGACGCTGTTTCACCACCTTGGAAGTCCAAGCATTGAACTTCAAAAACCACACAAACGAACAACATAAAACCCAGCCAACTGCCGGAAGGGCCAGATCACTGCCAGTGTCAGAAATTGAGATACTCTGTCTGCTCTAGGGTTACAACAGGGTGTGCATGGCCGTATTCATTAGCCTCCAAGATGCCACAAGCTTCAGGTACGTCTCTAGCATCGCTTTCAACATGGATCAAAATCCAACCATGCCCTTGCAGCATCCCTGTTTCCTATTTCTCTAGCCTAGGCCCTCTCTAACATTCGCAGACTGGGATACCATCCGCATCTTGGTCTCGACCGACAACCATGTCGGCTTCGAGGAGCGAGACCCCATCCGCAAGGATGATAGCTGGCGTACCTTTGACGAAATCATGCAGCTTGCCCGCACCAGAGACGTCGACATGGTCCTCCTCGGCGGCGACTTGTTCCACGACAACAAGCCCTCGCGCAAGGCCATGTACCAGGTCATGCGTTCGCTTCGGAAAAATTGTCTAGGCATGAAGCCCTGCGAACTCGAATTTCTTAGCGACGCCACCGAAGTGTTCGAGGGCTCCGCCTCCTATGTCAACTATGAAGATCCCGACATCAACATATCCATACCCGTTTTCTCGATTCATGGGAATCACGATGATCCGAGCGGCGATGGCCATTACTGCTCGCTCGACTTGCTGCAGATGGCGGGACTGGTCAACTACTTTGGCCGCGTGCCTGAAGCGGACAACATCCACGTTAAGCCTGTTTTGCTTCAAAAGGGCAAGACGAAGCTGGCCCTTTACGGGCTTAGCAACGTGCGAGATGAGCGCATGTACCGCACCTTCAGGGATAACAAGGTCAGGTTTTACCGGCCAAACCAGCAGAAGGCCGAGTGGTTCAACCTGTTGACCTTGCATCAAAACCACTACGCCCACACTCCTACGAGCTATCTCCCGGAGAACATGCTGCCCGACTTCATGGACCTCGTCATATGGGGCCATGAGCATGAGTGTCTTATCGACCCGCAGCGGAACGCGGAAACCGGCTTCCACGTCATGCAGCCCGGCTCGTCCGTCGCCACCTCTCTGGTCCCAGGTGAGGCTGTTACCAAGCATGTTGCGATTCTTAGCATCACGGGAAAGACGTTTGAGGTGGAAAAGATCCCCCTAAAAACGGTCCGGCCTTTCATCACCGATGAGATTTGCCTGGCAACAGACAAGCGTTTCAAGGGCCTCGAGAGAAAGCAGGACAACCGCCAAGACATCACAAAACGCCTCATGGTGATTGTGGAGGAGATGATTGAGAAGGCCAATGCTGCGTGGCTGTCAATCCACCAAGACGGCGATGGTTACGAAGACGAGGACCCGCCACTGCCCCTGATCCGACTTAAAGTCGAGTACACAGCCCCTGAGGGCGCAAAATTCGAAGTGGAAAATCCCCAACGTTTCTCAAATAGGTTCTCAGGCAAGGTGGCGAATCAGAACGACGTGGTTTATTTTTACCGTAAAAAGACAGGGACAACAAGTACGTAAAGCTGAGACCAGGCACCAGCTAAACCAGCCCGTTGCTAACAGCGTACAGGAAAAGCGAAAGACTTAAAGGAGCTCCCAGACAGCGTTGCGGAAGCTTTGGGGTCAGTGGATGCTCTCAAGGTCGACACGCTAGTACAGGAATTCTTTGCGCAGCAGTCGCTCAAGATTCTGCCGCAAGCACCATTCGGGGATGCCGTTAACCAGTTTGTCAGCAAGGACGATAAGCACGCTGTGGAGATGTTCGTCATGGACTCCCTTTCCACGCAGGTGAAGGGTCTACTACAGCTAGATGATGAAAAGATCACAGAAGGGCTTGATGCACATATTGAGGACTTTCGGAAAGTCATGGAGAAAAGTTTTGTTTCCGGCCAGCAAAAACAAGCACAGCGAAAGAGGCGGTTCAAAGAGAAGCCTGAAGGATGGGATTCTGACCTGGACGGCCACTGGACGGCGCAACCAGGCGCAATCGAGGAGGTACCCGCGTCCCCCGAACCTGCCGCCAACGGACGTAGCCGTACACAGCCCACCTCGGGGATTGCCTTTAGCGATGATGACGGCGATTTGTTGAGCGACGAGCCTCCGATGGTAACCGCTCAAGCCGCTCCAGCAAGGAAAACGACGACGGCTGCAACAAGGAAAGCAGCAGCTCCGAAGAAAGCAGCCGCTCCCGCGAAGAAGCCAGCCGCCGCAAAGAAAGCGAAGGCACCAGCACGAGGTCGAAAGAAAGCGAACCCTTTCAAATACAGTGATGAAGAGGAAGAGGAGGAAGATGTGATCATGGAAGATGATGAACCTGAGCCCCCCGCCAGACCACCGCCACGGAAATCCGCCCGAGAGACGCGGAGCCGTGCAGCTCCGAAGACACGCCAAACAACGCTCAACTTCTCGCAATCCCAGACGGCGGCAAAGCCGTCGCAGAAGGCAATCGAGATCAGTGATGATGAGATTTCGGATGATGCATTTGAATCGATGCCCGCGACTCGAAGTGAGCGGCGGTAATGCGGCTTATAGGGCGGGAACGCTGGGCGTGTGCTAAGGAGCACTTGCTTGTTGCTTGCATGTACAATACCGTCTGGTAGATATTACGATTCTCAACCTCCAAGTTTTGGACGGGTCTGGCTTGCCCATTTGATCGAGAACTCCATGGGTAGATGAATTGGCAAGTCAAAAAACATTTGCTGAACCGCAGAAATCTTTCTTCCTCACATCTCGAGCAGAGCCCCAGATTGCAATGAAGATAGGTGTTCGCGTCGCCTGGAGGCAGTGTAATACCAGGGACACTGTGGCAGACGACCATGGGCAAGCCCAGAGGGAAGTCCGCCGAGTGACAAAAATTGGAATAATCACGATTCTGCTCCGTAGAGCAGTTTCAGAGATTAAACTGAAAAGAACAGATACTACACTTGATCTAAGCCAAAAGGCAAAGAGAGCTAAGGAAAAAGAGAAAAAGAGAAGTGGAAAAAGGTGGGAGGGGAGGCGAGATTATATACCAGGCCAGCATGGCCCGTGCGCGTTTGCAAACCGCAGACGCGCACGGGCCCATCGTGCCAACCCCCACCAGTAACCACTATGGATACCCAAGACGGCAACTGCCATTGTGGTGGCATCGCCATCCCATCCCTCCAGGCCAACTTGCAGGCGACCCCATCAACAGTGTCCTGCAAAATGGCATCCAACCCTCCTGCAGAAAGCGCTGAGCACAGTACTGCTCCACAATCGGCTCCTAATGGAACACAGCCGGCCGGCGAGGTGCCCGGCGCCCTTGCCAACCCTGTTGTCACGTCCGTGCCGGAACCCAGGTTACCGACGCGGAAGGATGCATCGCTCAAAGAGTTTCTGAACAAGATGGACGACTACGCTCCAATCGTACGTGGTGTGCTTTTCTGTCACCGTTGGGCCTGATGTTGGACAAGGCGGTTCACTGACGAGTTTGGCTAGATACCCGATGCCGTCACGAACTACTACATGACGCGAGCGGGCTTGCCGCCTCCTCCGCAGACAGACCAGCGCCTTGCCCGGCTCCTCGCCCTGGCCACGCAAAAGTTTATCGCCGACATTGCGGCTGATGCCTATCAGTACAGCCGCATCCGCGCGAGCAACACGAATGCCAACAACCCGATGGGTAGCCTCGGCGCCGCCGCGGGGTTCCCCATCCCCGGACAGCCGGCCAATCAGCCTGGCAGCAAGGATCAGGGCCGCGGCGGCCCGTTGGGGATCCAGCGCCCAGGGTACGGAGGCGGCGGCCAGGGAGGAAGCCAAAATCGTACTGTCCTCACGATGGAAGATCTGGGCATGGCAGTCGGCGAGTTCGGTGTCAATGTCAAGCGGAGTGAGTTCTACCGCTGAGCTGGAAGATCGCTGCGTCTTTTATCTTTCTGGAATTGTATCGGCCATGGAACAACAATATGGACGTTCACTCAAGGGCCAGGGCCTGGATGGATGGGTGGCGGCGCAAGGTTGGGCGGAAATAGATGGATTTTGGCGCAACGGTGGAATGTATACTGTGAGCAGCATCTCGGTTCTCACCTTGACTTCTCAGGAATGGCGTTGGACGGCTTGGCGTCGTTAGGTTACGAATTAATACCTGAGCACACGGGTAGACAACTGGCGAGGGCTTGTATACGTGATCAACGTTAGTTTATTTATCAGTTGGTGTCCCAGCCAGTTCCGCTCCTCGAAACATCAAGCGTGAACTTCGAGTGTCCATAGCCGTGAGCGGGATCCGTGTTCGCCGGCTATCACCGCAAGTCAACAACAAGCAGTATGGTAGCATAGCTGGCATGGCTTAGCCACGCACGCACCCTTCGCAGCGTCTTAAGTGTTACAAATGTTGTTACATATATGCACAGATCCCTCTTCAGGAGGCCCTTGTAATTTGGGTATCTTAGAAAGTCTATCCTCCCACGCCTCTATTTCCTGCCCCAAATGAACGGCTTCCGTGTCCTGCGAGCGCCAATAAGGTCAGCCGAAAACGCACCTCTTCAAACCGTGGAGGATAGGGGGTATGTCGTACGGAGAGAATTCGCCCAGCTTATGGCCCACCATCTCCTCGGTAATGGTCACGTCGTGGTAGACCTTGCCGTTGTGCACCTGGAACTTGAGACCGACGAAACTGGGCAGGATCGTGGCGGAACGAGCCTGAGTCCGGATCGGGGCGACCTTCTTCCCTGGCTCGGGCCGCACGATGGGCAGACTAGACGAGAAGCGCCAGATGTGTTAGAACGTCTTCCGACTCGAGGATGTCGGGAGGCAAAGGGTCGGAAAGGGGCGGGCGGAGAATTCGAGGCGATGCTTACGGGACAATGTGCGGCCCTAGAAGACAGAGTCAGCTGCTGTTGAAGAAGGCGGTTACCCAAAATAGAGAGCTAATATTGCATTACCTTTCCAAACAGATCGTTTAAGTAGACATCTCGTCGGCTGCATGGTGAAGCGGAAAGACGAAGGCCTTCTCGTCCGTAGATCCTTCCAAACGACTTGCTAAAGTAACCTTCTGTCAAGAGATGGTTTGCCGAATGAAAATCGGCCCCAGCGACGGAAAAAAGCGGGTCATTCTGGTCATGTGATACCTACAAGGCTGCACCTCAAGGTAGTACGTACTATGTACCCGTTCGTGCTTGACTGTAAATTCCGGCCTTCGACTTCCTCCCCTTTGTTTCAATGGCCCAAATTCGAGAGTCAGCAAAGCGATAAAGTGATGTCGAAATAAATTTTCCAATTCTTAGCACTCTTTTTACATCCAGAAGAAATTACTACATAAACGACCAAAACCATAACGTAGACATCGAACCTGACCATTCCCCGTCCTCGGCGGACTTGAGTTTCCAGCCGTCCCCACTCGAAGACTTGATTCCATGTCTAGGTACCGATCAAAACCCAAAGTCTTCCCACAACTAGGCAGACGGTAGCCGATGGTGGTATCAGACTTGGCAGGCGCGCTCGCAGCTCGTATAGCGCGGTGTACTCAGGTTGGCATGCACTGTTACAATTTCCGAGCTTGACCTTGCTTACCTGGCTTGCGGCAAGGTTTCTGCGGTTTTCACATCGGATTACGAGTGAGGTCACGGTACGAGAGGCCTGTTTCGAGCAAATTCCAGACATGCTCGTCGAAGCTGGTCACGGTTGACTGCTGGTTGAAACGCTCTCTTAGCAGCTCCCCATATCATTACGCATGTGGGACAGTGGGACCGGGGGGTGAAATGGGTTGACTGGTATGTTGCTCATGACCTCAAAGTCTTGCCCACTCAAAGTGCTCTCTCTTTGCTGGCTTTTTGATTGCATATCGGTCACAGTTGGTCGGCCAACGGTATGCAAAGTGACACCCCAGTGAGCATCACGGACGTGTGTCTGACGCACGTCCATACTCATCTACCGATTACCTAAGGTGCCTCCTATCCCGCGACGATCCTCGACAAGGCTTCTCCAGTGGGAGGAAACGAGGTCATCAAGCGACCTCGAAACAGGAATCCAGAACATTATGCCATCCGCACGGAGAAACACAGTCTGGCGCAAATGTCAATGCCGTGATGGCTTCAACTAAGGCAATCTCTGGAAAAGATGCAAATTGCCTCGCCATTGTCGACAAGACTTGGATGGCAATACGTTTGAACACTCTGGTCGGGCAGACTTGACCAGAGACTCACGACAAGCCCTTAGCCCTCTCTGGACACTCGATTTGGCCAAGTTACCCCGTTGCTTTCATTATCGGACGAATGGATTTGGGAACTGAGCGTGGGCTATGACTGATGCAGGCAGCGCTTCGGCTTTTAGCGAAGGGCTGTCCTGTCGTCATCGGTCATCATCTCTACTCCATCACTCGCCCGTTTGGTCTAAGTCGCCAGAATCGCCGCCAGCATGAGCAAGCATGTGTCGACTAATCCATTGAAAGAGCACGGTCTCGTTGCCAACGTAGCGTGTACTAGATTCTGCTCACACCTCGCTCGAAAGTCTCAACAAACGGAGCGTACATGTGGTAGATGGTCAGTCAACCGTTTACACAACCAAGTACATAACATTAGCCACCCATAGATCGCCCAGGCTCGCAAATCAGCCCGATGCGGTGACGCGAGGAACCGACGGAACGCACGTACTCGATGCCATGCGCGGTCCTCCGCACAGCGCGCAGTCACGTCATGCATGTCCGGGCCTGATGACAGGCGGCTGCAAGACAAAGTGCCACTGCAGGCCCAGTACCCGCCGGTCAGGGATCGCTACATTTACCTGAACGCTCTGCAAACCAACCACCCTAGCTACAACCAGGACAAACCAGATTGAGAGCACTCGCCATCAAGATAAGTTTCGTTGACGGCGAGCAGGCCTGGGGCTCTGCCCCACCAACCACGTATATAAGCTTCCAGCTCGTCTTGAGCACCTCTATCTAGCCGCTGTAGTCTCCAAAGCAAGTATCTTGGATTATCGAGGCGAGTGAGCCTACCCTTCGTCATTGAAATCTGGGCGTGCCACGATGCCAAGGCAACACTTGACCCCAAACGCCTGTCTTGTATGTCGGAAGAAGAGAACAAAGGTATTAGGATTTGTCCACCGTCGCCTTTACCGGGCCAGGAAGATTTCCCCGTGTCATCGCCTTCGAGAATTGCACAATTGGACTTCCCCTGGGCGTTCCCTACGACAGCCAACCGTACAAGCAACCAGCTGACGCAGTTTCACAGTGTGACGGCCAGTTGCCGTGCCGCAGGTGCAGGTCACGGGGAGAAGAGTGCGCGTACGAGGACAAGAAGTGGCGGACCAAAGATCATTTGAGGTCGGAAATCGAGAGGCTGCGGGCAGAGCAGCGGCAAGGCCACGCCCTTATCCGGGCCCTCACAAACAACGACCCGGAGAGATGGGAGACGGTGATGGGCCGGCTACGAGCCGGAGAACCACCGGACACCATCGCAGAATGGATTCATTCCGAGAATTGCCTGTCAGGGAAGCAGAGTCACCCTGTGCGGCCCTCTGCAGAGTCTCCTTTCCGCGATGACATTTCTCGGTATTTATCCTCCCCCTTTCGGCCCACAGGCACGCTAGGCATGGAGACCATGTCCGCTGAGAGAATCGAAAGGATTGAAATAGCACGGCTCGGTACTGCTAAAGACCAAGGCCATGGCTACGCGATGTGCAGCATCAGGGTTGGCCATGTCAAGAGCTCCAGCGCGTCTCCCATGAGACTTTCCCCTTTCCGAGGCTCTCTCCCTTCTCAGCCATCTCATCAATCCTTTCTGCTACCGGACAGGGATGGGCATCTACATGCGCCACCTCCTGAAACCCGAGCAGATGGGCCAATTCTTCGCACCTGGACCAAGGTCACACACGACACACGACTTGTCCAGCAACTGCTCGATTTGTTCTTCTCTAACTCGCTGCCGCACCTCTCCCTGGTCTCGCAGCCGCAGTTCATGCGCGATTTTAAAGAGGGCACGCCCCGCTACTGCTCCGAAGCCCTCGTGAACGCCATGCTAGGCATGGCGTGCAGGCTCACAAGCCAAACGACCCAGCCGATTCCCCATATCAGTTCCAGAGAGGCATTATTTATAACCGAAGCCAAGGCGCTGCTGGCGACCGAGGAAACCCACGTCAACCTGCCCAGTATACAGGCGCTCGGGGTGCTGGCGCTGGCGGAAATGAGCCGTGGAAATGAGGACGAGGCCGGTGATCTCGCCCGCGAGTCCGTCAGACAATGTATCCGCTTCGTCCTGGAAACCCAGCGGCTGGACAGCCTGCAGGACGAGGATTTCAGGGCGGTGCGAGCCGCGGCGTATTGTGGAGGATTCTCCCTGATCCGGTAAGATATTGAAACTGAACGTCCCTTGTTCTTCTGTGTCTCTTTTTGCATCGACAAGTCTAACAGAAGAAACCCCATCGGCAGAGCACTGAGGTTGCTGACGGGCGATCTGGAGCCCAAAACTGGACCCTTGTTCATGCGCCTTCACCCCGACTCCCGAGACCAGGGCGAGGACTCGCCCGAGTCACGTGTAGAAAGAGGTGCGTTTGCATTGGAACTCCCGCTCCTCCCCCCTCCCCTCGTCTGAGCCGTCTCTCTCATTCCAGTGACAGCCCCTTGACTCCCTTGTCCCGTGTTTCGTGGTGTCCATGACCGGCTAACTGACTGGCTTGAAAGGGATCGCCTTGCAGATGCAGTTCTTTACTGAACTGCCGCACTGTCCGTCGCTTGTGCGGTTCGTTTTCGAAGTCACTGAGGCCGCCCACACCTTCTCGTCGTACAATTACTCCAGGGCCATGACGGCTGCGGATCTCGACGGGGCACTGAGCAAATGCGTGAGCTGCCACGGCCGGTTTGTCGAGTCGTTCGCGTTCGACACCGATGGTGGACCTGACGTCTTCTTCGCCCAGTCAGTTATGGTCTTTTCCAACCCCCGAGCCCGATTTATCGTTCCAAACGTGCTCGTGTGATGAAACGCACTGACAATGAGCCTGATTCATTCGGCAGAATATGGTACCACTTCTGTCTTCTCAGCTTGCTGCAGCCATTCGCCAGCAGCTCGGCAAGCCTCGTCGATGGTTTACCCACGAGCTTGATTGGCGATGCCTCCTCGCCGAAAGCGGTGTGCCAGCGGGCCTCGGAGGCCATCATTATCCTAGCGGATACATACCAGAGCCGCTACTCCCCGGCATGCCTGCCGCCGCTGCTACCATACATGGTGTTTGCTGCCGTGCTGTACCAGCTGTCTCTGGACATGGAACAGCCGCTGGTTTCGAACGAAGAAGATCGCCACGTCAAAGCAGACTCGCCGCCTGACGTCAAGCTCTCCCCGCCTGACGTCAAGCTCTCGCCGCAGATTACGCACAGCTCGGTACGCAGCGACTTGAAGCCAGGTATGGCCGCGGCAAGCCTTCCGCTGTCCACAGATGCAGTGTCCCAAGACGGATTGCCAGAACCGGTGTCGCCCCTCCTCTCCACATGCATGCAGCGTCATACTAGCACGAGTGCTTCAACACGGGTGGAACGGAGACCTTCGGCTGCTTCTTCGGCATGCTTCTCAGCCGACGCCGAACCGTCGCGGCGATCGAGCGTGTGTAGTTTCATAACCGCCAACAGCCTGAGCACCACCATCTCGGAGGAAGGGGATGACTCTCCGGATGCAGCGGCAGCGGCAACATGGTCGTCATCGGGCTTGCTGATGCCGACCTTTGGCGCCTCCAGGCCGGCCGACCTGGTGACGGTTGGCTCGCTGCAGCTTGAGTCCATGGGCGCACAGCACGCGGGCGCTGCTCACGCCGCGAGATGGCTCAGGGCGGCTACGGTCTGGGCTCAGCCGGAGTTGGCGTCTACGGGGTTGGGGTTGGGGCAGCTCGATCAAGCCCCGTCTGATTCTTTCGTCGTTACTCCCCTGGAAGTTGGTGGGTTCACTGGGTTGAATACACCAGCACCTGCGTTGCATGCTGGTTAGGTAGATATATTTGGTTCTGGTGGAGCTCGGTTCATGTTGTTCAGCGTGCCCCTTTTTTACCTTGTGGCGCCTGCGATAGAAGTCTTGGGCAGAGTACGTTCCGCGGAACCTAGGTAATTACTGAGGTAATTGGTCGTTGGCAGGCTGGGGATTAGTTGCTGCCTCACACTTATTAGTATGGCTGAGGAACATGTGGTTCTTCTGTCTACTTTATCAGTGGAGTAGGGTTAAGGTGGCTTGTGGTTATTGGTAGATAGTAGTAGTGATAGGTTTGTCCATTCTAGAGTTCGTCATGACTGCTTATCTGCTCTTTTCTCACTCTGCGATCCCACGGCTGGACGTTGCCCCTGGTAATGTCCTCTATAAAGGCCTCGACAACCGGTGCGGTGACGTCTTGATGCCCGGTAAAAAGGAATATGTCTCCAGTAGTTGTGTTCTCCAGAGCTAATCCCGTCTTCTGGGTCACCTCAGGCTTGAGCCCGAACTTGGTCAAGCTGTCCGGGTCCTTATTGGCGTCGGTAATGGTGAAACGTAGGGTATTGGCGTATTTCTTGGCCAGAGCTCGCATCTCTTGCCTGTACGTCTCCTTTTCGGCGTCGCTAGTTGCGAAGTAGTGCACAATGCTCTTCCCAGCCTGCCAGCAGAGAGCAACCAACAAAGTTTGTATTGATCAGCCAACCGTTGTCAAAGTGCCAGCAGTACTATCAGTACTAGTAGAACTCACCGATCTGTATCTTGCGTCATCCCCTTCTGTCCAGTCAGGGATAAGGGGCTCGGCGCACATGTTGATGAAGCTCTCCATGGCCCCGGCCGTCACCACGTCCGATGCCGTGTGCTTCACGTCGTCGATGTTGCTGTAACAAACCAGCACTGAAGTGTCACCGACAGGGGGTGCGGCAACAAAACTGAAACGGTCTCGATATTTGTTGGCCAAGGACCGGAACTGGTCAAAGAAATCCCAGTCGTCAGGCTGAGTGTGAGCCATAACGACAACATCATCGAGCATTGTCATCACGCCGGACAGATGCTCATCTGTCTCGAGATATGGCGGGCGAAGCATTCTGTGGAGAAACATGGCAATTCTAGGTAGGTACGTCAGTCATTACCTAGACATAAGCCGATGACAGGGGAACAACACCCACTCTCGCCCCTTTCTTAGCCCGCGGTATCGGTCAATCCGCCCATCGCGGTGGTACAGTCTAATGGCTGGGAACGAGGCCACTTCGAGATCACTGCAAACCATTGAATGGGCATGGCAGTCAAAACTGACGATGTTGTCGTCCTTCTCCGTCTCCTGCATGGCCAGCCACTCAGGCTCTAGCGCTTCACTATCTCCACTGCTTGTTGTTAGCTTATAAGGTAAATATTGAATTCGTCAGTGGAAACAGGGAGTTCTTACTGGGAAGGCTGATGGGTGGGACATCAAACGCTCAGTTAGCCAGCATGTGATGCCCAATGGAGGAGAGGCAATCTTTACCAGGACAACTGAGGATCCACGGAGCCAGGAGGAGCAAGTAAAGTGATCAGTTTACCAGCTATTATCACAGCTCTTCAGGTTGCATCTTGCTAGGTACTTACAAGCAACCAGCGTATATCCATTCGAGTCCAATGCATCTTGGAGTTGCTGCTGGGTGACGTGGTTCCAGGCCACGGCGCCGTGTCCGAGACAGCAGACCAGAGCAAGGACCAAGCAGCCATGAAGCAGCATCGTCCTTGTCTTAGTTTGTTGATGATGCCGGCCAGTTCTTGTTTGTTGAAAAAAAGCAAAGGTACATGTACCAAGTATAAGAATGAAGCAGCCCCATCTGCTTGGCCCCTCGAAAGGACAGCTTGCTGCTGTGGCGTTGCAGGGCGTTGGAATACAGTTTAGCCGCGCATCGTTGCAAAGAACCTACGTGACTGGAAAGGCACTACTATACCTCGGCTAAAACAACGGTCCGCATACCTCCTGATATGAAACCCCTTAAACCTCTGCTTCCGAGATTGGTGATAACAATTGTTCTCGACCACCGAGATCTTTGCAAAAGGATATACCGTTACGCAGCATATGGTTACACCGAGGACGAGAACCGTCCTGTTCCTGAGTTTACAGTAAGAAATGTTGTTAATATCGCGGGATACCCGTCAAGTACCCCTTGCCGCTGGCTGCGTACCAGACAGCAGCGCAGTGATGAATGGGATCTTGCTGAACTTGCATAACCTAATGCGGCCGGGATGGCAGGTTGATAGCTGAGGACAGCAGATCTATAGCCAACCACATTCATTCTTGGATTCTCTTATTGATACCTCCGAGAAACGGACTTGCGGCATTCGATGCCAAATTTCTCCTCCTTTCCCGCTCATACTATCCACCGATAAACTATCAAACATCACATATCATCATTCTAGCATTACTAGCGGTTGAAGATCGATGCCACGCCACGTCCCAAGATGGACGAGTTGAACAGGTTTCTCTACCGCCTTTGCTTCTTCTGCGCTGTCTTGGTGCCCTCCATGGTAGCAATCACTCGTCAACTCTCGGTCAATGCATTCTGGATAGCCTTGTTTCTGGTGCTGCCCTCTTTGTCCTGGCTTGCCGGCGAGGCGTCTCCCGGTTGGGTTGTGTGCGAGAGCGGCATTGCCATCGTCTTGCGCGACAAGCTGCAGTTCATACAACTGGATAATCTTGGCTGGTGGATCGGGTTCAACCTAATGTCCGCCCTTCTATTCCGCAGTCTTGCTCCGAGCTTTCCCATCAGCTGGCAGCTTGTTGTCGTGGGCCTGACTCTTGTTTCGGGTATGGCAATACGTCCGGAGCGGTCGTTGCTGGGCTTCTTTTTGTGGATTCCCTCGTTAGGTTTTCTCTTGTTGCCAGCTACGTTTCTGTATTTCAGTCTTGCCTTGCATCCAGAAAGACACATCTTCCCCTATGTCGTGCTTGGCCGGCAGTGGAAGCTCAGTCCGCCAAGGTCATACCCGATCAGCGTGCGCCCTGATGTCGGGGACACACTCTGCGAGCGTTGCAAGCAACTGACGACCAAGTCAAAGCTGATTATGGGTTCTCGCTTCTTTCCATTTGTCCGATCGGAAGAGTGGCATGATTTCTGGCCGTCTTTCGAAGATCTACGCCACTCGGCCTTCAGCGGGCGGCCAGCTTGCCACGTCTGCTGTATACTGTGGTCCTCGTGCAGCGAACAGCGCCGGAGACAGATTATCTGGGGACGGCGATGGCTTTGGCTGCACTTTGCTCGAAAGGCCCGACGGATTGCCGCACAACAACGGCCTCGCTCGCCATTTGTATTGCAGGATATTGCAGAGCTTTCTCAGCCGAGGCCCTTCTGTCTGAAAGTGAAGATCTGGGACGAGGCACCGGGTTTGCCATACCTTAGTGCCCAACTCTTTCGGGACGACACACCCATTGGCTCTCGCCTTGTTATTGACGGCAACGATTGGCCCGGCACAGGTAGGCCATGTTGCTTCCCATCCTTCACTTCCATCACCGTAGCTCGTCAGAGGCCACTCCCTGCTAATCGTATTGTACCAGTATCTTCGGTTCGTGACTCCACCTCGACCAGCTCTGATCACCATATCATCCTGGCCAAGCAGTGGCTACAGCACTGTCAAATGTATCACCCTGCGTGCAAGGCACAGGGGAAATTCCAACGAGAGCCGCCGACAAGGCTTATATGCATCACCGCACCGGGAGAATTGGGAGGCAATACCTTTCCAGTCATCCGGCTCGTGGTGGCTAAGAACCCCAGCACCGAGTATGTGGCCTTCAGTCACTGCTGGGGAGGCAGCCAGCCATTCAAGCTTCTCCAGGCCAACTACCACGACTGCCTTTTCAACATCGACTTTGACCACTTGTCCCGAAACTGCCAGGATGCCGTGCGCATCACCCTGGCACTCGGCTACTCTTATCTCTGGATTGACTCTCTCTGCATCATACAGGATTCCAAAGCCGACTGGAAAACGCAGGCGGCCAAGATGGGCGACGTCTATGACCTGGCCGTGTGCACAATCGCGTCGACGGGCTCCTCGTCGGGCGACGGCGGATGTTTCCATCAAAGAGACCCTCGCAGCCTGCGGCCCTGCAAAATCGCTACTTCATCACGAGACCAACTGTTGCCCAAGTGGACCTGCCTGCGCCGTGAGGGTGTCTCTGCCTTTGTCCGTGGCGTCGACCGATCCCCCTTGAACAAGAGAGCCTGGGTGTTCCAGGAGCGCTTGCTTTCTCACCGGATCCTGCATTTTGGCGACGACATGTTGTTTTGGGAGTGTCGACAGCGGGTGGCTTCCGAGCTTGACCAGGATGGCTATGTCTATAGGCGGTTTCCCCAGGACTTCAAGGACAACTACACATTCCTAAGCAACAAGCAGCTCTTGCTAGGAGTGCTCTGGAAATTCCCATCCAAGGATGAGATACAACAATTGTCGAAAGAAACCGTTACCGCGTTACAAGAACGTCTCCCTCTGCCAGAGCTAGACCCAGACGACTTTGTCGTATCTCGCACAACCCACCAAGATCCCCGAGCGTCTCAGAAGCATTTCCTCAAACGCGCAAACGACTCTTGGAGAGGTTGGGAAGAGGACGGTGAGCGGCAGGGGAACTCCGGATTCCGGTACGCGTTCCAGAGACTGCTGGATCACAAGTTTCTCGGCGACGAGACAGGGGCGGATAGCTTTACGCACTGTTGGTACCAGATTGTACAGCTCTACTCCAGGGGAAACCTGACGTTTCCAACCGACAAGCTAGTTGCCATATCCGGCATTGTGCGCAAAATCGAGACGGTCACGGGCTGCGAGTACCTGGCCGGCCTGTGGAAAGAAAGCCTGATAACGGATTTGCTCTGGTTCGCTGCTGAACAGCCCAGACGCCGACTGATTGCCGCCCAAGTTGAGGGCTCTGCAAAAGCAGCATCTTCGCACCCTGCTCCCGGTAAACAATCTGGCCGACAGATCCCTAATCTTATTGCTCCCACCTGGTCATGGGCATCGCTCGAGGGCCCGGTGGCCACGGAACTTGTCCCGCAAAACACGCGCACCAATCTGCGATGGCACAGGCTGGCCTCTTTGGTCGACGTCAAGACCGGAATCACGGAGCTGGAGACGCCGGCGGCCGGCCGAGTTGACATAACAACAGGCGTTTTGCATTTGTCTGGACCACTGTGCAAGATCCTCAGATCCTGGTTCGATCTGAAAATGATGTGCTGGCGTATCGAGGCCGACGATGGCCGACAATCAGTCTCGGCCATGCTCCGGCCGGATATTTCCATGGACGAAGATAACCTCAGCCTGGACCCTGACCTGTTCTGTCTGCCCTGTTTGGCTGCCATTCACGAAGAGCGAGGGCAACCGCGGGATTCTGCGCTTGAGGAAGTCCAGGGGCTGGTGTTACGGCGGGTAGGGGGAAGGTCGAGGGGCGCGGATAATGTCTTTCTCCGAGTTGGATTTTTCACCACGGGCCTGCTAGATAGGGACTCTTCTGGTGGTATGTTTAGGCACACTCTTATGACGGTAGTGTGTATTATGTAGATTGTTGTACTTGAGGGATGTGGCTTGCCTCATCCCTTGACGCCAATGCACATGACACTGTCTCGCTACAGTACAAGAAACTTGAACTCCGACTCGGAGTTGCCCTGGGCCGTTGCTCAATTTACCTTAGTTTGGCAAACGCCATCTTTGCCCAATCTTGACAAAACGACTCTGTGGTGCCAAATCACCCGGGAGCCAAACGCGGCTCTCCCTTACCTTAGGTACCACCTACCTAACTTCAAGTTCCTTTCTCGTTGCACCCTGACTGCGCCTTGCCTACCATTGTTCAATTCCTTGTCCAATTCCTTACCTTTTCTTCCAACCACCTTCTCGCTGCAACCCGGCGATGATTCGCGATACATTCCGCCGTTCCCAACACTCGTTGCCCCGTCCCCGCGATGCCTCCTCCCGATTACAACGAGGAACCCACAAAGCTGGAAGCTGACTCGGATCTATTCACTGATTCCTCTTCGTGGCTTTCCTCTTCGTCGCTTTCTTCAGATTCAGACGTGTCCGACGAACCTTCTAGTCCGGCTAGCCTGAATAATAATGAACCCATCACTGGCCAGTCTCGGGCCGTTTACACACAGCCAACAAAAGAAACCCCGCCTCGCAGGAGAAGAAGAGGCTAGCGCCTGTCTCGCAGGAGAAGCAGCAAGCCCGTGTTCTGCCGCAAAAGAATCAGGCCGCTGCCTCGCCGGAGGAGAAGAAGAAGCAAGTCTCTGTTTCGCAGGAGAGGAACCCAGCCCTTGCCTCGCAGGAGAAGAAGCGAGTCTCTGTCTCCGGTGTCTCGCAGGAGAAGAAGCGCAAGGTACCGGTTCAAGAGAGCTCAAAAAAGAAGCCCAAGACATCCACAAGTGGTAAGTTTGAGTACTCCATTCCACCAGAGCATTGGACATTATCCAACAACCATACTTCCTAGGAGAGTGTAAAGAGCACAAATACCACCCCGCTGCCTCCGCTGCCAAGCCTACCCCTGGACTCGCTGCCTCGGCTGCCCGTCTCTTGGTCCCTAAGGCTGCAAGCCAGCCGAATTTGGAAGAGAGGATGGTCCTGGCTCAAGAACGTCAGGCCGCTGCCCAAGAGCGCCAGGCTGCCGCACTTAAACGAATGGCGAGCGCCGAAGAAGCCCTCTTTTGCGGTAATAGTACATCTTCGCGAGATCAGACATCCTTACACTCGAACCCTCAACATCAGCACACCGAATCTAAGCTTCTGGAGCCTGGAGCTAAGCGTGACAAAGGGCCGGAGAAGGAGGTCAGCCTCGAGGAGAAAGATGACGGGGAGGATGGTGTGCTGCTTGGAACCGAATTAGATGGCAGGTTTGATCCGGCAGCGCATTGGACCCGTACAGGATATGATGTGTAAGCCTCTAGAACAACTACTTTGGCATGAACAGGTCTAAGCAGATATTCTGTTGATTCAGGCCACTAGGGAGCTGAAACCGAAGTGTGACCCGACTTGAATCGTGGCTCGCCTCGGCTGGGCTTGCTTCGTTTGTTCGTCCCAGACCCAGGAGGCTACACCAGATAGACCGAAGTGAAAGTCATAATACAGAGTTGAAGTGGTAAAATGGTCATTGTATTGATTAAACGCTATATGTCTATCTGTAGCGGCATGGACGGGAGGACGGACATTGTCCCCATCTTGGAATTCTGCCTCAAGGCATATACGCCTATGCTGGGACCGGGAAGGACAGTGATTTTGGTGTTATAGGGCAAGCTCGAGAAGGTATCAAAACTTAGGGGTACACTAGACATTCATTGTTCACTCGCTTTGATTATATATCCTGACCACAGCCCCATTCAACCAACCAGATAGTTCGAACAGCCTGCGTATTTCATCTTCCAATGGCCTTCAACCACCATATATTTAAACCTCCTAGTGTCCGCCTCTGGTCGAGCTAAGCACTTCCAAGCAACACAACCACACGCACCCGTCTCCATTAGTAACCACAACCAAAACTCTACCAAGCAGGTCAGACACACCCATCCAGACCCAAGCCCAATTATCTCATGGAGGGAAACCAGCAAGCTAGCGGCGAGAAAGGGAGAAGAATGGAGGCCTCAGGGGACCAGTCGATGCCCACTGGCAACCAATTTGAGTTTTATCCGCTCTGCTGCTGCTGGATCTGCGTATGCAACGAGCCTGTGGACGATCCAGGTGATATTTGCGAGGCTTGCTGGTGGTGCAGGCCGGGCCAGAGAGACTATAACCGCGACAGCAACCATGACTCGGACGCTTAGTCCGAATGCGAGCTGGAGTATGGCGTAACTAGGTACTGGGATGACGACCCAGTCATTGCTTTTTCTGGCACCAGGAGGCAGAGAGCTGACGACACTCAGATGACTTGTACTGAGGTAAGGTCTCTAGAGCTAGTAACGAAGAGAATTCATGCAGTATATGTACCGAGATATGCCACAGGTGGCCGCGCCAGGCCTGAATCACAGTCGGCCACATGCAATTATAACCTAGGAGTGACAGCAATATATCATGTATTCTCCACCCCATGAACACTGGAACTGTTGAAGTTTGTGCACCATCATCCAGCCAGGGTGCTTAGGTATGCAATGCTGTGCCCACAGGGCACAGGATCGAGATAAGCGAGTACTAAATTGATATCACAGTAGTATAATGGAGGTTGCTCACCTTCCTCTATAATGGTTGGATGCATTGGCGTAGGAGAGCACACATTTAATCACAGCTACTATCCTGGAGATTTGCTAGATATCCAAACTAATGTTTCATTGACTAAGACCGTGCATTGTCGCCTCTAGGGGCATAACAACTAACTTCAAGAGATGACATTACTGTAGCTGGATGGTTGATGATAGCGGATCACAGCAGGCGGCTGAGACAACAGCTCCATTGCCAAGTCTGTGGGCCATGGCACACGCTGTTGTCCTTGCTTATCCTCTGCTAGACATCATGGACATAGCAAATGGGGAGCCTACCTATTTGCTTGTGTCCTGTTCCTTCGTACCACCTGCAGACTTCTCTTTCGGGGCAGGATCGATGACAGGCTCCACCCTTGGGGGGGGGGGGACAATTTGCTTCACACTCTTTACACCACGCCTCACCCTGGTAAATCCATCCTGGGCATTTCTTGCCTGGTCCTCCATGACGCTTGTTTTCACACCAGCATGGACGTGGCTCTCCACGTGAATTGTCGGCCATGTCGCGGTGATGTTGGTTCGGGGAGCTTTGGGGTATTCGAGATAAGCTCAAGAGAACTTCCTCAGGCTTTGCAAATAGTTGTAGTCTGTGCGTGTATAAGTGTGCTGTAGGCGAAGCTGCTACCCAAGTCTTCAGGGGTAATTGTTTGGCGTTTAAATACTTGTGCCAATGTAGCACAATAGAAATCTCCACAGGGTTATCGTGATCTCGAATACTGGCATTGGGTTATGTGACCCTGCCAGCTGGTGGCATGGGCATGTGCGGTTGTATAGACAAAGATAGTGATTGAACACCAGACACTCTTCACAGTGCTAGCAGCCACGCAGGCCTCCTACTGTAGGGCACTGCTGGTTACACAGACAATATCATGCAAGCAAATGATGCCACTCATGACTTTGCAATACTGGTGTTGCTTGGAGAGGACTGTCTACTTCCCAAACCCTGTGCATTGAGATGACAGCAATCATGTGTCCACATGTTGCGGCTCTTGGTCTGCCATATAGCCATGCCATATACTGGTTATTCCCTATAGTATTCCTAATCTACCCTCCTGATGTGTGTGCCAATGTGCCAGTGAACACAGCCCACCACAAGACCGATCCTTGGATGGGCAGCCAATACTGTGCGCAACTGCATGCCTGGCAAAGATGCCGTTTTTCAGGTTTGTCCAACTTGGGCAACAAGTGTCAGACTAGGTACCTATCCACACACTCCTTAACTTGTCGATGTAGCGTTGCCTCGTCTGGGAATACCAGGAGACAAGGAGCTGAACCGAAGTACTGATGTTGGTAGAATGCGCACCCACTGTAGAGCCTTGTCCAATCTCTATGTGGTGTGGGACTCGGGGGAAACAGTAAGTGGTAGGAAACAACAATGTACTTTGATGCGAACTTCATAACGTTATGTAGTCAATATTATGCAAGCGCAGCTGTCTTTTCAGAAAAGCAGGCTTATGTAAGTCAACAGTCAAACGGCAGGGGTTATACTAGGCTGGAGGTATCTAGCTTCTTGTTAGCCAGGAGACCAGGGAGGAGAGCCTGTTGG